ATTTCAACCTTCTTAACGTCCTGAATCGGGTCTCTCCTCAACGTGAAGCTCAAGCCTCTGTGAAAGAAATGGCCATTCACGAAATGTGTAATATACTCTGACATGCAAGTTAATTCCTCACGATGTTTTCCTTAACAGCAAACCCATCACCCAAGCAAAGCGAGTGCAAGTCACTAGTGTGACATAAAAACAGAATAATCACAAATAAAGAAAGTTAGAGCGATTTAATAATAAAAGTTAATGCTGTTTTATTATTTTGCCTTTTTTAACCGACTTCCAAAAAGGAAGAGGTTGTCAATTCGTCAGAAACTTTTTTTTTCTTTTTTTATATATGTTCACTGATTACTCGAAGACGCCTGAACCGATTTGGATTTTTTTTGTTTCAAAGGGTATGATTATTCTTAACGTCTGTCCTCAATGTGAAGCTCAAGCCTTTGTGAAAAAAATGGCCATTCACGAAATGTGTAATATACTCTGACATGCAAGTTAATTCCTCACGATGTTTTCCTTAACAGCATCCCCATCACCCAAGCGAAGCGAGTGCAAGTCACTAGTGTGAAATAAAAACAGAATAATCACAAATAAAGAAAGTTAGAGCGATTTAATAATAAAAGTTAATTTTGTTTTATTATTTTGCCTTTTTTAACCGACTTCCAAAAAGGAGGAGGTTATCAATTCGTCGGAAACTTTTTTTTTTCTTTTTTTTATGTATGTTCACCGATTACTCGAAGACGCCTGAACCGATTTGGAATTTTTTTTTTGTTTCATAATTCCCAGGTGGTCCCATATAAATTTTATCGAAATCGGTCGAGCGGTTTTTAAAAAAAAATCAACAATAAATATTTTTTTAAATAAATTGTTTAATCGAATATTTTATTAAAAAACTTTCTTCTTACAAATTACCTGCTCATTACGTCTACACTAAAAATGGAAAAATAAAATTTTTTTAACAAAAAATAAAAGCCGATGCAAAGCAAATCTATTATATTTCGATACATAAAATACATATTTACCTATTAGATAACTTAAAATATTGTAGGCTGGCACCGACTTCGAAAATATCTGATTAGGTATCTATTCTAAATGAAAACCTCCGTTTAGTTATTTTTTACATTTTAGTACCTGTAAGTCGGTTTTTATTTTTTGTTAAAAAGTTTTTATTTACTAGTATTTTATTGCGAGTGTTAATTATTTGTTAATTTTTCGTTTATCAACGGAGCAACAAATAGGCGTGATTGATGATTATTTACAGAGTGTTAGTTGAGAGTGACTTAGGCTATTTTTTATCCTGGTAAATTAACTCCGACGTTTCCTGTAATGTATTTGTCTGTAGCAAAATGTTACCGTAGCATACTAGCAATATTAAAATGTAAAGCTTATATCTTATGGAACAGAAAAAGCAAGATTAAAAGATGACGAGTTTTGAGCTATTCTGACTTTATTGGTGTGTAATACGATAAATACTTATTCTTATTAAAAGCTATAATACTTAAGTACGTACTTATTTGTTGAAGCTCCTGTTTCTTGAAATTAATAATGTTCTAAAGAATCAGATTACTTAAAAAGATTGTTGGCTTTTCTTACGTATTGGAATTATAAAAATTCTATACCAATATGAAACTCTTTAGGTAAGTCCTTTGCTAGATCCATTTTCAGAATAAGCGAACTGCCGCGTAATGAAGTTCGAATAAAGTCAATGCCTTTGTGCCTTTTATTACTCGCCCATGTTGTGCAATAACCCCTTACTCATTTAATGTACATATCTTGAGTATCGACAGATGTAATGTGATGTGCTTGTAAAAATAATAACTAGTCATATACATACTAGCTGAACCCGCGGCTTCGCTCGCGCTAAAACTACTAAAAACACTCTAGATAGGTAGGTTTCATACATACTTTCATCCTATATTTTACCCCCTTAAGGTATAAATTTCGAAAAATGTTAAAACACGTATTTATTTAATTATTTATCGAAGAGCATTAATATCAAGGTTCAAATAATTCTGATTCCTGATCATAAATATTTTTTTGGGTTGTATAATAACGTGTTTTCCCATGGGAATAAGATAATCTTCCAAGGTAAAAAGTAGCCGATGTTACTCTCCAGCCCTCTAACTATCTCTACACAAAAATTCACGCCAGTCCGTCACTCCATTTCCACGTGAAAGAAGGACAGACAGACAAACAAACAAACAAACAAACAAACAAACAAACAAACAAACAAACACACTTTCACGTTTATAATATTTATACATATATATATATATTGCACAACGTACACCATCATACATATGTTTTTTTTTTATGTATTAGGAGTAGGTATATAACGTACGTGCATTGTTCATTAAACTTTTTGTATTATTATTTATTAACTATTAAAGTTAAATTGAAGGAAATCTGGTTAAGTGATGATAAGATATATAATCATAATTATATATAAAAGTATCATACAGGTAAGTAAATGGAAAATATGAACTAATTATATAGGATAGTTTTATATATTTTTTTTTTATCTATACAGTTTTACCTACCACAAAGCTATCCAATATCTCCACGGACAAAGGTAATGGAAGTTTCATATGTTCCACGTTACACCACATAAATATTACTGCGCTATAAATTTTCTCAAATTCTTTTTTAATTTTACATATTAAAATTATAGCAGCCAAAGCAAGCCACATTATGTTATATCAATCAACTTTAACCTGTCACCCCGTCGCATGTTACGAAGTAAAAAATGACCAAAGAAAAGTGCTCCGTCAACATGTGTTTGTGTAATGAATATTATAATTTATACGGGCACTGGAAAAATTTATTACTTATGTTATATTAGAATGGCTGTACGTATGAATATCCCTGAAAAAGTATTTAAAAAGAAATAATTTTCTATGATGTTTTATTGTAAATAGGTACCTAGACCGAATGTCAAAAAGCCAACGTTACCAATCTAAGCAAGGTATCTAATTAGTTATAATATTTTTATGGTTTATACATATAATAAAATTCTAAGTGTAAATCTTATTGAAATAGTCATTATTATCGATACAGAGGCCGATTCTATATATTAGTATAATTTTTAGAAATTGTGTCAGTCTGGGAACATATCACGAGAAAACCACAGGACAGATTTTAATGAAATTTGGTATGATGATAGCTGGTTATCCGGATCAATAATACACAGGACGTATTGGATACTTTTTACTGCGGAAAAATATATCAACTTTGAAATCTATACTAACCGTTAAAATGTATCTAGGGACGAACGCGAGTGGAACGAGGGTGAATCGCTAGTATAACTATAAAAGTTTATCTATTACTTGCTTGCCTTAAAATAACGTTTACTTTGAATGAATGTCATCGCTGACCATATCTTATATCTTTAAACAGCAATTCTTGTATATGTGTATGTATATATATATATATATATATATATATATATATATATATTATATATATATATATATATATATATATATATATATATAATCTGATCTCGGAAACGGCTCCAACGATTTTCTTGTAATTTAGAATAGAGGAGGTTTCGGGGGCGATAAATCAATCTAGATTAGTCTTATGTCTGAAAAAACGCGTGTTTTAGAAAATACCTTAGCTCGTGATAATATCATATTAATATAAATTAATGAATTACGAATTTTTTTCTTTACTCAGCCTTGATTATTAACAAATCGTATGGGAAGTCCCTTAGGATTAGATTCTAATGCTTATGTTTGCGAAAGAATTAAAAAAAGAGATGACGTTGATATACAAAACTAATTTATATTAATCCCTCCACGACCGCAGACACGCCGGCGTTACAATTAACAATAGATTTCTTAGAATTTTAATTAATTTCTTAGAAATTTACCTGGAGGTGTTAAAATCCACCAATTGATACATCTTTACTCGATCCATTTCAAAAGGATCAGTTTCTCAAACTCTAAGTGCCTTATTATTTGTGTATTTTACCAGTAAGATTCTTAATCAGTGAAGGAAAAATACCTATATTTAATAATCTCATCCCACCCTGTCATCGACAAATATTACCCACGCCAACGTGTAAAATAAATAGGTAATCAATATATCTGTGTAGACAATGGCAGCCCAGTGGTAACGCGCTCGCTTAAGCAACCGACTGAAGCAGGTTGAAATCCCAAATCTGGCACCCCTGATATTTTCATGCGCGAATCATTTTCCAACATGATTACCACTCATGTTACGTTGAAGGAAAACATCGTAAGGAAACCTGCATGTCTGCGAGAACCTAGCAAGTTTGCGAAACACGCACTTGGCCAGCGTGTGGGCTAGGGTTTGATCCCCCTCGTATTGAAGAAATGCCCGTGCCCAGCAGTGGGACGTTCAAAAGGGCTGAATACAATCAATGTAAATATTATAAAATTTCCTTTTGTATTCTCCAGGTCATATAAAATATTTATTTTTCTTTATATATGTATCTATATTTTTATTGTACGGTAATTTATAGAATGATGAGTATTTTTTATTACACAAAAAACGAAGGTGTACGTCATAATTTATTTATTTATTAAACACTTCATCTTCTCGGAAATATAATTGTTTTTTTTTTATCTGGCAGCATTTAATTATGTTCAGAGATTTTAGGTATCCGAACAAAATAAATTAAAGTATTGAAATATATATGTAGTATTAACGTTATCATTTTATTTGTTTAAAATTAATCTATAAAATATAATTATTACAAATAATATCTACCATAGCTGAACTATAAACGCATGAGAAAAGGAACGTATTTGGAATGTCAGAGGCGGGGCATACTAAATCACGAATGCGGAATGACCGACAATGAGTAATGAATGAGGAATGACGGATTGTGATTGTATACATACGAGATACCAATCACAATTCGTGACGGACGATCCGCTAGACACCTCATCGTTAGTGAAATTCTAATATAGTTAATAGTGCTAATAACGTTATAAACTCATAATAGTATAGTATTAATTAATATACTTTCTTTCGTCGAGATGTGGGATCCAACTCACGTACAAGTTACAGTGCAACGAGCTAAAGGCTTACTTATTAAAGGCAAAAACGGTACAAATAACTGTTTTGTTACAATCTCGCTTGCAAAAGAAAAATTTCAAACTTCTGTAAAACATAAAGCTACAGAAAATGTTGAATGGTATGAAGAATGTGAATTACGAATTCCATCTCAGGGTAATACTGCTGAAATAGTTTTAAAAGTTTACGATGAAGACTTTGTTAAGGATCACTTATTAGGTCAGATATCGATTCCGTTAAAAGAACTCGACGTGTATGAACGACCAAGAAACCGCTGGTACACTCTCCAAGGAAAATCAGGCAAGGAAAATGATAAAAATAGGGGTGAACTGGAAGTTAAAATTGGTTTTACTGTTAAAGAAGGAAGTTTAAATGACCTTAGTAAAAAGGACAAGCACAAATCATCTTTATCCAGCATTGCTCAGAATGTTGGAGGTAGCCTCATGAGTATTGGAAGCATTGAAAAACGTAAAGGCCTAAAAAAATTAGCAAAAAATTTGGGGTCTAAGATGAATTTGACAAAAAAGGATAAAAAGAGTGAATCTTTATCATTAGGTGGCAGTGTCGGGAATCTTAGAACTTCTGTGTTGTCTACTCCAGATACATCTACTCCAAAGAGATCTTCAGCTGAAGCAGACCCAGGTGTTATTAGTGAAGATGAAGATGAATTTGCTTTTGACGACTTATCACATAAAAGTTCTGGAAGCTCTCTTAATGTTCAAACCTCATTTGCACCCAGAGGAGTGAAATATACACCATCCCCTGTTAATGCTTCACTTGAAAATTTAGGTGGAGGGGAATTCTTAAGACGATCTACAAGTAGTACTTTAGCAGTGCCAGAAAAAACAGCACCCCTCAAACCAGTTCGTTTGAGTCTTGATACATTTACAGCTCCACAATTACCAATGCAAGTTCTTAATAAAGACGATGAGTGGTCTCAAAAACTCTATCCTAGAAAATCAATCAGTCAAACTATGATAGACAAAGAGAAATCTTCAAGTCTAGAAAGAAACAAAAAGTTGGACAGTCCCAGTTCACTTAAAGAGAAACCCAGCCCTAAATTCTTTAAAAAGTTTGGCAATAATAAACAAAAAAAACTTTTAGAAGAAAGAATTATAGTTGGTGAGGAAAACATTGTTGAGGAAGATACTATTAATCCTGCCTTTAATAATATCCCTAAAACAGTTCTTCAACAATTTAATGATATGACCCGAGAAGATCTCATAGTCATGATTTATAACTTACAAAAGGATGTTGATTCAGAAAAGAAAAAAAACAAAGATCTTGAAAATTATTTAGATGATTTATTACTGCGAGTAATGGAAACAACACCAAGGATTCTACAAAATCCTTATGTCAGAAATAATAGTATGCATATTAGAAACAAATAAGAATGGCAATAAATAACACTAAACATTGTTCAAAACTTTTGATGACCTCATGATACACATGCGAAAGTTTTGATAAAAGCAATATATACCTATAACTTATTAATAATTGGAAAATAGAGTCTTACATTGTGCCTTAAGTATTTTTGAAATCTGTGATATCACAGTAGATCAAATTTAACATAAATGTAAATGATAAAAGAACACTATCTTATTTTGTTTGATTAGATGAAGAGAGATTCTGAAACCAACAATATCAAAATATATAATATTTGCAATATTATATATTTTGAAATTGTACTGTGCCAAAATGACTACCAATATAAAGTAGAATATGAGAATCATATGTTACAGTTTTAACCCTTCAGAAATAACTCTTCTGGAATAAATATTTTACTAATTATAGAAGCTACTAATACTTAGTATATATAAGTCTTAAATTATGATATTATTAAAAATTAAAGTGCAAATGTAAATCCTTTGTGCAATTTGTTAAATAACTGTGTGCATATGTTTTTTTATTAAACAAAATATTGTTAGGTAAGAACATAAATAAAATATTAAGTCATTATTACATTAAAAATTTTAGACCTAAGTAATAAAAACATGTTTTCAAATGCTGTTAAAATATTTAGCACTAAGATATTATATATTCCCAGTTAATGATCTAAAAACTAGATATGATTTATTATAAGTTTGTGATTTTGAAGAGCTGATTCGATAATGCATATTTCCATTGTTCTATTGTTGATTATTTATTACTACCAAAATATATATTTTTAGTGATAAAGCCTAATTATATACCTTCATATTACATATTTATTAAACAAACGCATTATGCATGTCCATTAAATAAAATTTATCTAAATTGTTTCACGTCGACAAACAGTTTAACTAAAAAACTGCTTGCTCTTAAGTTACTTTAGATTCTAAATGTTAAGAGAAAAGTATGTTTTGTATAATTGTTATAAAAGTACCTATTGTATTAAAAGATTTGTCCATAGAGATTAATAAATTTTTTGTTAATACTAAAATTAATGTTTTTTATTTGATTTATAGGTGCTAAGGATGAAACAGGATAGTTTTAAATGAAAAAGTTTCACTTTATTGTTAATGTTAAATATTTATATTTAAAAATATAAAAAATCACAAGGAAATTATTTATGACGACGACCCTTCACTGGAACTGGTGCAGGAGCAGCAGATACATATGTCTTCTGCGATAGTTTATTCATGTAGTAGATAGTAATTAATGAAAAAATTAAGCTGAAAAGAACACAAAGATCAATTATTTATACTGATTGTTAAAGTTTTATACAAATCATTGATGAAAAGCAAATAAATATTCTTGTCATTTATTTTATTTCAAAAGAAAACAATAAAACTGCAGTATATTACACTGTGACAGCCAGGAGCAATAAATTTCTTAAAAGCATATTAATAAATTAACACTTTTACATAGTATTTATAATATAATATAAACTAGCACTTTTATATATTGTTATTGTAGGTTTAGAATTAATCAGGATATATTAGCTAAAAATTTTTTAATCAAAACACAAATTATCCTTCTAGCTGCATGGTTCAATACTTTACAGCTATCTGCTCAGTCCCTCATCATTGCCTTCGGCATAGAAAATCTTTAGTACTAACCCTTTACTAGCTAAAACTAAAGACAAACTTTTTGTGCAAACCTGAAATAAGCTTGAATGACATTAGCCTCCTAAAATTGCACAGGTACTGTTACAGCTTAATGTTTATGTTATATTTTTATATTATTTATAAGTTCCTAATACTTTTATAAACTATATATTATAACCCTGGATACAAACAGTTGTGTTGTATGCTGACTTTACAAGCATATGTAACTTTTATGTGAACTATACAAGAAGAGTTATGAGTAAAAATAAAAGTTTAAAATAACTGATTATATTTACCATGTTGTAAAACAAATCCTATGCACCATTCCCGATGCAATCAAAGATATTACCATAGACAACACTATCTCTGGTAATTTCAACTGAAAATTTTTTCCAAATAGTGTAGCCTCTAAATTTCCTATTGCCTGTATTATAATTAAGGAAAATATCTTTCATCATGTTATTGCTGTAACTAACATATTTAATTTTTATGTTACCCATATAACACTATAATTATTATCATATAATTTATGTAGCATCAACATTAAAATGTGGTCCTGGTTTTTACATAATTTACATTAAGTTCAATTACCTTCCTTAATATAATTATTTTATTTAAAAATAACCCACATTTTTTAAATATAAATAAAGGATACAGTTACGAAGAACATAAACATAACAGAGCCCAAATATCCTCCAAATATAATTGTTATTGGCGATCTTATTAGTATCGGTTTATACATTTGCATTCCCGAAAATATCAACAAGGTTAAAATCGATGATAACACGAAAGACGTGGCACTGTTTACTGCTAAAAAATTATAAATAGATTAGATTATAGTTATTTATACAATATACATAACACACTAAATCGTACCCATTTTCATAAATATATATAAAATCTGAAAAATTAGGATATAATAAAAAGCCGGTGCCCGGTGTTAATATTTCTTAATTCCCAAAGACGCTAGGGGGAGTGAATTATTCCTACTGACATTGACAATTGACATATAGATAATAAAAAAATAATGGTTAAATAATAAATGTACGTGTATGTATTATGTACACTCAAAAACTATTTTTTTAATCTTACATCTTCATAAAATGGGGAAACTTGAGAAAAGGGTGCTACACGTATGATCTACTTACATTCTATGATAATATAGATATCTCTTTTGTACCTGGTTTTTGCTTCTATTATGTTCGCATCTTACCTCTCCTTCTCACCTCTCCTTCTTAGTACTTCCTTCAGCTGAAGGAAGTACTAAGAAGGAGAGGTGCATGCTGTAGTGGTTCTGACTTGCTGCTGGATCAACACACAGCCTAAGCCACTGGTCGTAGCTTTAAGATAAAAAATAAGAAACATACTATTTAATGAAAAAAAATGAAATATATTATTTCATTTTTTTCGAAATTCATGCCTTAAAGTGTAAAAGAGGGTAATAAAGTTTCTATGGGCAAAGAAATATTTAATCAAAATCAATTTTTTATATACAATAGTAAAAAGGACAATGTGTTTTGACCGGGGTGCCTATTAAAATGTGCCCGCTAGTATGTTTAATTAAATAAATAATAATTGACTTTTTGGAACAAAAACAATGCATTTGTTATTGAAACGAATTATACTCCACATCACAGTAATATACGTAGAGATCTTGAAAAGTGATAGCTGCCGTTTCGCACCTGGCCGCAACCTCTTCGAAGCCAGGTGTAAGCAGGTCATATTTTGTTACGTTTATACGTTCATGGCGTATATTCATCATTTATATATCAAATTAAAGCTATTTTTTTCTGTACCGATAAACTACATCTGACTATGTAAAAGTGGCCGCAAAAGTGGTTGCGAGTCTTTAAAGATGTTTTTGTTACATTTATGCGTTCATGGCGTATATCACCATTTATATATCAAATTAAAGCTTATTTTTTTCTGTACCTGATAGACTACGTCTGCCTATGTAAAAGGGGCCGCAAAATTGGTTCCGAGTCATTCAAGATTTTTTTGTTACATTTATACGTTCATGGCGTATATTCATCATTTATATATCAAATTAAAGCTATTTTTTTGTGCATGAAAAAATACCTCTACCTATGTAAAATTGAAAGCCATGGAAAGAAAAGAAGCAAAGAATATAATATTATATATCAATTTTGTCAGACAATAACAACGGTTACCATGATTGTTTGATTAAAATTACGCTATGAACGTAGCAATCTTGCAGCGGGATCTTAGTCCATTATAGGTCTCTGAATTGGATTGCATTAAATGGTCGCAAAATATTCTTTCAGTATCACTTATTATGACTGAGAAAGACCCAAATGTCAGCATTTTACACACTACTTTAATACTTGTCTATAGTCTATGCATTTAATGATTAATTGACAATTTGACAATTGTGAATTGACATTTGACATGTGTCTAAATAAAATTTATAATTTTGTAGGTACCAAAAATTGACCGACATATTATTTTACAATTTTTAAATGAGTACTAGGAACAATGACGATTATATTATTTCTATTTAGAAAACAGATTTGCAAGGGCTAAAATGTTGGTATACATTACTGTACAAATATTGCATTATTATTATGACAATAAAATTAAAAAGAACGATAATAATTTGATAAAGAATTCATACGCTATCATTAAATAAAGAATGTTTAACAGTTTAATAAGTGATAAGCATTGTACATATAATATCTACGTAACTAAACTTTAATTTGTATCTGTGTTCTGTGATAATATGTGGAAATATTTCATATTGTAGGCGAAAATGATTATATTAACTAAAGCACGTTATTTAGGTAATTCTCTCGTAAAAAATACAAATCTGATAAAATATCGTACAGCTGTAAGTTTCGTACACATTGTAAAATATTACGTTAATAATTATATACATTTATTTTTTTACTAATATGATTTCTCCAGACTAGTACACTATCAGAATTAAGAATTTATGAAGTTGGACCTAGGGATGGGCTGCAAAATGAAGCGAAATTTGTACCAACTGAAATAAAAATTGAACTCATTAATAAAATTGCTGCTGCAGGTATTAAAGATATTGAATCTGCAAGGTAATATGAACAAGTATTATTATGAATGGACTTATTATTGTTAGTTAATAATTAGATTTTATTTCCTTATATAGTTTTGTGAGCCCTAAATGGGTAAAACAAATGAGTGATAGTGCTGATGTTATGAAGAATCTGATAAGAGCTCCTGGTATAAATTATCCAGTATTAATACCAAATTTAAAAGGATATGAGAGTGCTGTAAGTACATTTTTCATAGATTATCTTGTAGATATATAATGAAAAATATTTTAAGCATTAAATTTATTACAATATTATTTATTTTTATTTACAGAAACAATGTAATATTGAAGAAATAGCAATATTTCCTGCTGGATCTGAAGGGTTCTCTCAAAAAAACTTAAATTGTTCAGTGGAAGAAGGTCTCAAAAGGTTTAAATTAGTTGCTGACCAAGCAGTCAAGGATGGCATTAGAGTCAGGGGATATGTTTCATGTGTTTTAGGATGCCCATATGATGGCCCAATACGTCCTAAAGAAATAGCTAGGGTGAATATTTAAGTTTATTTAAAAAGTACACATATATAATTAATACTTGAATCATAATGATACTATTTAATATGATATTGAAATATTCAGTCTTTTTAAAAAATATATAAAAATATGTACCAAAACATTAATGATTAATAATAATTGGTATAAATATTGTACAAAGACAATATTTATTATTTTTATTAACATAGTTTTTATTTAATACCAAAAAGTATTGAAATTGTACCGTGTAGTAGTGTGTGTAGATACATGAATATGATAGAAAATAATCAATTTAATAATAAATACTGTGCACTAATATAGTTATATTTTGTAATACTATCCACTACACACTACAGACAATTAGACATTTTTTTAATAGTTTTATTATGTCTACAATTATAAATTTTTTGGCTGTTATTTCAAAGAGGATTGTCTTCTTTGACATCTTTTATTTATTTTATTTTTATTTACTTGTAAAAAGCACACTTACAACATACATATGAAACATTTTCAATTTAATTAATGTAATAATAATATACCTTATATTTATGTCAATTATAAGTGTACATAGCATTTAAATATTCATGTATTAAAAGTACAATAATTTTAAAAAATAATAATTATTATTATAGATAAATGTCATAATACAAAAGAAATTGATAGTATTACATAATAATAAGAAGTGAAAAAAAATCATTAAGTCAGTCATCAAGTAAAAGTCATCTTAATTAAAACATCTTAAAATTAATAAAATTATTACCTTCTCATTTTTTGAAATCAATCAAATATTATAATAATACTTGTTGCAGATAACGGAAGAATTATTTGCCATGGGCTGCTATGAAGTATCACTGGGTGATACCATAGGTGTAGGCACATCTGGCTCTGTTCGAAAACTGATGAAAGAAGTTCTATCAGTGGCATCTCCTGACAAATTGGCTCTTCACTTCCATGATACTTATGGACAGGCGTTATCAAACCTATTAGCTGGCTTGGAGGTAAATAAATGATATTATATTTTAATTTACAAAAAAATAAACTTGACTATTGAAATATAAGTGACCAAAGTTTAAAGCATCAAGACCTATATGATGTGTGGCTATTAAAGAATAGGACTGACATTCAATATACACCCTTCCTTTATCTCGACCATACTCCATACAAAGCTTCCATGGTTTGTCAGTGCTGGAAGGCTTTTTCTGTCAGCACCTTAAGATACGCTGCTTTCCCATTTGTAGCTTTAACAGACTCAAATTTCTCTCAGACTCAAAATCTTATAGTGCAAAGAAATCCTTTGATAGGCAGATAGAAGTCACACGATACAAGACCTGGCGATAAGGCAGATGGTCTGACACTTGGATGCTGACAGTGTACATGGCTAGAAACCTCTCGACAGATATCCGGAACGAGCCGACCCTTTGTCTTTGTGGATAAACAATGACTTGTCCTTCGAAAACTTGGGTCTTTGTTTTCTTTATTCTTTATAAAAAAAGAGTACTCACGAATACTTAACTGATCATCTGATGAACTAGTGCCGCAGACTCGCTTCATTCGCATGTGATATTGAAAATTTAAAATGTACTGAAATGGCACGCGTAAATACCATTAGTTTGCAGTTAGATAGTAAGAAAATCCTTTGGAATTTGGATATATGTAGATAACTAAACTTTGCGTCGAGATACTACATATAACTTGGTCTAAAAAGTTATTATTTATTGTAGTTTGTGTATGTATAGTTTTCACAAACTAAATATAAAATTAACAATATGTAAAAAAAAAAACAAAATTCTTTCAATGAAGAGTTGTTGAAAAAACCATCGCATCTAACATAAATAAGTCAATAAGAGTTCGTATCCTCTGTATTTACCTTTGGTCCCCTGTGACTACTTCTTATTCCCAAACATGATGAAAATTTTTGACTGGTAAAGCTTTTTAAAAAAAGCTGTGACATCTGAAAGAGATACTATTATTTTTAGAGTTTCACAAATAAAAACTTTTTAACAAAAAAATAAAAACGTTTTTCCACCCTTAGGGGTGGTATTTTTTCTTGAAATTTAAATGGGACCAATCTGGAAGTATACCCTTTCAAACAAAACAAAAATTGTCCAAATCGGTTAATAAATGACGGAGTTCTGAGGTAACAAACATAAAAAAAAAAAAAAAAAAAAAAAAAACATACAGTCGAATTGAGAACCTCCTCCTTTTTGAAGTCGGTTGAAAAATCACTGATTTATTATAAATATAACCTTCGTACATATAAAGTTTGTTATTTTAGAAATTGACTTTTTTTTTAAGTTATGCTTCTTTTGGCACGTTTGAATAACATTATGAGAGTAAAATTTTTATGTTGCGCGCGCGCACCGACAGCCAAAAAGCGACATGATAAAGTTAGCTGGAAGCGGCATGATGAAGTTAGCTACATTCCTGTTATAAACAGAGAGTTGTGACGTACGGGATGAAATCTTTAGCTATTTTTGTTCCGTTACGCCAAAGAAGTATAACTTCTTAAGTGCGTACATTAGTATACACACACGTTGTTTTGCATTCTACAACAATAAAATTATTTACATAGTTTATTTATATTGAAATATTATTTTAATACTAAACTTTTTTTATCATACTAATACAATAACCAGCCTCACGTAGGTATAATATTATAAAGCAAATTAAAGTTCTAGGACTATGAATAGTTAACTATCGAATGCAAGACAATTAGTAAATAAAGTTGGTAGCAGAATTCAAAAGATGTTTATATTTGTTAAATAGTGCTACAGTGCATTCAAAATGTTTTTCTAAGTCTAGACAAAAGAAATGTAAACAATGAAGTACCAACTTATGCGGAAACGGAATATAGGAAGTGATCGTCTACAAGATCTTAACCAACAATTTGTTCGAAAAAATATTACAAAAACAACGGCAATGATTTTTAAATAATAAAACTAATTCTTAAGTAAACCATTTGAATATAAACCTATTGTTCGTATTCTAATAAATTCAAGCTACACTTCTGCACTACTATTATAGAGGAAAAATTTGTATTTTTGTATGTTTGTAATGAAAAAACTCAAACACTACTGGACCGATTTAGATGAAATTTAGTAAGAAAATAATTTGAGACCTTGGGGAGGACACAGGATAGTTCTTATCTCAGAAATCATCTCTCAAGGGGGTGAAAATGGGGAGGAAAGTTTTGTATTGGGCAATCAACCTAGTTGAATACTTTTGTTAACTATTTTCTAACCTAAACTATGTTCATCAATGTTATTTATTATACCTAAACATTTTCATGCATTTTATTTTTTTACAATAAATAAAAGAAAACACAAAAAATAAAATAAAAATATTTTTTGTAAAAAAATTAACAAAAATTTACAAAAAAAATAGTAGTTTTAACTAGTCAATTTTTATAAATAGTAATAAGTCATGGCAATGATTCTTGTCGAACGATGCTCATCCCCGGTTTAATAAACAAAACGCGGTTGTGGTTACATACATTCTGTTATAACTTAAATAACGACGGTTGTATCGTTATTTGGCAATAGATTGGTAAGAGTGGGAATGGTATAAGGAATAGGAAACACATGAAAAAATTTGCGTGGGATAACTTACATGCTTTTTAATCCAAACTTTATTCGGCAATAATAACCTTGGCATGGATCAATAGATTTAGTTTCTTTGTAAATGAAGTCTCTATATCGCGTACATGTCATCAGGGTCAGTTGAATGTTTTATCAAAGAAAACACATATCGACCATTGCATCATTCGTTCCTCCAAGAAATATAAACCGTATTCAAATCTTTTTGACAAACTACACAATTAATTCTATTATTTAAAAGATTATCTTCTATAATATGAACTATATATATTTTTAGTATTATGTATTTATGGAAACTCCCGTTTACATAGTAAATACCAACGGTAATTAATGTTCATAAATTATATAAGTTAATTAAAAACCAATCGAACTAGACGTTATCACATATGACCGTGTTTTATTTGCTTATTTGTTTTATCGTTTTCAATTGCTCAATTCAGTTTCAATATTTTTATAAATTACGACTGCGGATTCCTAGAATAATTACTCGTATTATATACATTTTTATAAAAGTACCTGCTATCCGACTTCAATTAACTGCTTTCTTTTTGATTTGATACCCGAATAATTATTTTATCATACCTTTGCCATTAATAAGAACAGCTTGAAGGATCGATTTTCAAACGAACCGCTAAGTAAGGATTTTTCTTAAACTCAAACACTAAATGAAATGGAAAGACAAAGTTTTTTTTTATATTTTACTTCTAATTTACGATAACTAAACCACATATTTCGGTATTTTCAAAATTCAACCACAAAAGGAACTAAGAGGGATATTTCGAGAAACTAACAAACAGGGAGTAAAAAGTAGCTGGTTGAAGCCGAGGCAGTAGAACAGCACAGAAAATTGATAGAGAAGGATAAATAAAAGTACTTATATCATTTTAACATAATAAAAACAACATATTGTTTTTGTTACTTGTTCATTATCAATAACTCCCTACTTCTAGATTTTTTTTATCTGATTACTAATATGATATGTGAACAAGATTATTATATTTACAAGTGTTGATAAAAATAAATATAAACTTAGGTATGTACGTACACCCGACGAATTGTTCCCAAGTAAATACTAAAACGAAGGTCACAAAGAATCCGAGTAGGTATCAAATGCAGATTTCGCATGTGTAGTACACACCCACCCGTATAACTGCTGACGTCATGTAGATAAATTTAACCATTCTTGTTTTTGCAGTTTGGCATAAGGACTGTGGATTCGTCTATCTCTGGACTAGGAGGTTGTCCGTACGCGCGTGGAGCGAGCGGCAACCTTGCCACTGAAGACCTCGTGTACTTCCTTTACGGTCTGGGAGTCAATACTAACGTGGACCTGGTGAAGCTAATAGATGCCGGACGATATATATCAAACTTTCTAGCTAAACCCACCGAATCTAAGGTCAACAGAGCTATTGGAGACCGGCTTAGGAACCATCGTGATATCATTAAAATGGCCGCGTGTACTCTTTGAACAAAGACTGTAAACAATGTGATAATTATATGTAAATATGGATTGTAGGTGCATTGATTTATATTAAAACAAATTTTATATTCTCATATTATCGTGTATTATTTACCTACTGTTGGGTTAAACATAAATATTTATATTTTTGACAAAACAAGTAGATATACAAAAAATCCTTAAATTCAAATATTTAAAGTAAACACATACTTTCGATTAAATGACACACAATCAATCTATAACACCGAACCTTTACTATACGGACTATATTCGAGATAACGAGTTATGTCAGTGTGGTCATAAGCATCGCCACGCATACTGGTTTTTATCAATTATCATGCGAAGCGGGTACAAGGCGGGACTCGCGCACTAACGCGTCGGGCGCGCAATGAGCAGCTCGTTTTTATATTGAATCGACCTTATTTACTCTATCCGCTCTTCAAGGAGAGGTCGATAAACCTTTCCCGTATAAGTAACAAAGTTTTACATATCAGTTTGCTTCGAGACTCGGTCACAGCACAACTCACGGGTTCATTGTTTTTATGGCACTCCGACATCTGTGAAAATGGTTGAAGTGAAGATAACAGAAGATATTAAGGTTGGCGGTAGCAATCCCTGCTTTATTATAGCTGAAGTGGGACAAAATCATCAAGGTGACATTGAAATAGCAAAAAAATTGATCAGAGCTGCTAAGGTTTGTACTGTTTTATACGTTTGTACGTGTAAAATCCGTTGTAGGTTATACTTAATGTTTTGTTGTGAGTAGGAAACAAAACAAGCACGGCTGACGTCTCGCGTTAACGAGAATGCCTCGGACGAGCGGCGAATTCCTACATCAAAATACAGATATTCATCACTAAATTCAGAATAAGCTATACATTTTCTTTAAAATTCATAATTTATTATATCTATCCAAAAAATAATGTACTTGCACGACAGTTAACTAACTGTTACTACTTATTTCCCAATCACATAAATTTCTATACTTAACTGTATAGATCATAGTAGCAATAGGTAATAAATAACACATTTTGCTGGTTTCTAGATGTCCTTATCTCTCGATACTATAATCTATTCGATATCTTCCTGACTTCCTATAATGCATATACTTAATGTACTTTTGTTTTAATTTAACATCATAGCACTGGGAGAATATGTTAACAGTTGAGGTATTGTTCCAACTAAAGTATATTTTACGTATTTCAATGTAAATAAATTATTCATTAAATACGTTAATATAATGAAAATTCTCTTGCCCCAAGTTTAAACATTTATGCGATAAAAACATGAATGCTTTATGAGTTCAACGTTTATTTTTAGCTTAACATGAAACAAAAGAATATCAACAAAGAAATATTTTACAAAAGCTGTTAAAATATTATATTTTCAGGAGGCTGGAGCCAGTTGTGTGAAATTTCAAAAGACATGTCTTAAAGAAAAATTCACAAAAAAGTATTTAGAAAGGCCTTATGACAATCCAAACTCTTGGGGCACAACTTACGGCGAACACAAGAAACACTTAGAATTTACTGAGAACCAATATAGAGAACTTTTTAAATATGCACAAGAAGTTGGTATACTATTTACCGCTTCAGCAATGGACATGGTATGTATTCCTATATTTGTATGGAATTTAGCTTGATCTATCTCGTATTGAAGAAAGAAAAGAACGTTAAACAAGGGGCTGAAAAAAAAATCTATAATGAAATATATATTTTACAAAAAAAAATTGATATTAACATTATTGTTTTAGGTTTCATTCGACTTCTTGGTCAATATAAAAGTGCCGTTTATAAAGATCGGTTCAGGCGATTCTAACAATTTACTATTTTTGAAATACGCCGCGTCGAAGAAGGTTCCACTAATCATATCGACTGGTATGGTTGACAAAGAGGCAGTGAAGACTATATATGATATAATATCATCACAACACAAGCAATTTTGCTTATTGCATTGTATATCAGCTTATCCTGTGCCTTTTGAAGACTGTAATCTTACAGTATTGCAAGACTACAAAAACACATTCGATATTCCCGTCGGTTATTCCGGACAGGAAGTCGGTACTGCGGTAGCGTTGGCTGCAGTTGCATTGGGAGCTAAGGTAATTTTCTTGTAAAACTGGTAAAGTTTCCATTTGATTATTATATATTTTTTATTTTCTATCAAGATGTCGTCCAATGTATGTACATCTTTAGTGAGACCATTAGGTTTAACTATTATAAAATCATTTTCGGCGTCTATCTCTTTTAACTCAATGTACATAACCTTGAGTAAGTACCCAAAAATAAATTTAAAAAAATAAATGTAACAAAATAGTTGACGCTACTCCGACATGCTTTGAGTGCACTCGTACCTACTCTTTTTGATTAATATTCGAGCGCATATTTACTAAATATGTGAACAATTATTAACAAAAAGAAAATATTCTAAACAAATATATAATTGTTTAATATGTTTATTTTTTAGGTATTAGAAAAGCACATAACATTAGATAAAGAATTGAAAGGTACAGATCATATCTGTTCTTTGACACCTTCAGAATTCCAACAGTTAGTGAGGGATGTGAGAGTAATAGAAGCCTCGCTTGGAACTCCTATCAAGAAAATCGTGACTTCAGGTAAATTGATAACTAATTATATCTCTTTATGCAATATACAATATCAGGAATCACTTAAGCTATCGTTAGTAAAAGTGTATGTTTTTCGCTTCATTCTATTTTATTCCTATCTCTGTGCAAATTTGACTACAATTTGCTATTCCGATACTTCGTGCAAGAATTCAAACCAGTAAATACACAATCGCATCTATATAATAAGAATTATTGTAATATGACATATAGCTCGCGGAATACGAGATTACTAATTCGACAGTTCCTCGGTCAAGGGAGTGTATATATGTATAAGGTAACAAATTACAAATATTTGTAATTGTCTTGTTGAAACTGGAATTAATATTTTATTTTTTTATATTTTACACTAGCGACTCACCCTCGTTTTGCTCGGGTTCGTCCCTAGCTTGATTCCCCATACAAACATTCATCATCATTTTCACCCCCTTAAGGGATGGTTTCCGGGATAAAAGGTATCCTATGTCCTTCCCAGGGTATCAAACCATCTTCTTACCAAATTTCATCTAAATCGGTTCAGTAGATCTAGAGATTACCCGTTACAACGTCACAAACTCACAATTCACAAACTTTACCTCTTTATAATATTAGTATAGATTTAGTATTAGTATAGATGACGTGTACAAAATCTTATAAGAATAGTAATATTTATGGTCAATTTTATTTAATGCTTAGTATTAATCAATAATTAATATAATTAATGTTTTCGACACTAATAATGAAACACATATTTCGACATTTACAAAGTCTTAGGATATGTACAATGGGAAAAGGAGAAAGTTCTCAATTGGACGCGTTTTTTTGACAGGTTATAATTTTTTACTTTGTGATCCGATTTCCATGATTCTTTTTTTTTATTGAATTTTTATTGAAGGAATGTTTAAAATACTTTCTTCTTACCTTGCTACTACTGTCTCCACTAAAATGGAAAAATAAAAACTTAAAAAAAAAGAACAAAATATAAACCGACTTAAAAATACACTAAACAGTAAAAAAATAACTGATTAGTAGTTTTCATTTACTATAGATACCTAATCAGATATTTTCGAAGTCGGTACCAGCCGATACACAAAGGACAGCGACTTCGAAAATATCTGATTAGGTATCTATAGTAAATGAAAACTACCAATCAGTTATTTTATATCTTTTAGTGTTTCTTTTTTTGAAGTCGGTTTTTATTTTATTTTTTTATTTTTTTGGGTAACAAAGGAAAGTTTATAGTTTGGAAATCGCTACGCAATACAAATTGTCTAGCACTATGAAGCTTGTACTATAAATAAGTAACTGCGTTGTAACTGCATGTAGATTGTAGATTTAGTAATTTATATAGATACCTAGCATATTACGAAGGAGAACTACTTTTGTCTGATTGAGAAAATTTCCTTTTTTTTTCTTTTTCGCTCTCGACATATTTATTTATTTTTTTCTCTTATATTTGATGGTATTGTAGATTTAATATAGTTATTATTGTAAAACAGGAATTTATAAAATTATAATCGTAGCATCTTCTTTATACTTGATGATGACTATTATATTATATCTATTGATTATTTGCAGCTTGAGTTCGAAGTGGTTTTAGTTAGATTACTACCTACTTGTTTCTTAATTTAGGTTTTGAATATGTATTTTTAAGTTACAAAATATTTTCAATTTATTAATACATATATAAAATAAAAATATACACATTTATGCAATATTGTTTCAGAAATCCCTTGCATTGACAAATTACAAAAGTCGCTAGTGATGGGTTGCACGAAAAATAAAGGTGAAATTCTATATCCTGGTGACGTTAAAATAAAAGTGGCAGAACCAAAAGGTTTAAATGCTTTGAATTTTGAGAAAGTTATTTACAAAACTTTGGTATACGACAAAAAGGAAGACGAACCCTTAAACGAAGGTGATTTTTGCTAAATATGTGAAGGAAAATATTTATACTACCTTTCCTATGTATAAGATTTAAACAAAATAAAGATAAAACACAAGATATATATATATATATTTGCTTATATTACTATTTGCTTTATAAGGTGTAAGTTAAGACTAAACAGTACATAATAATAGAATTTGTTATTGTTTATATAATAACTACAACGTTGTTCTTGGAGGAATAGAGAGAGGGAGAGAAATAATATGTTGTTGTATAAATGATATATTTTGTAAATTTGACATAGTGTTAATATCACTAAAAATTTAACAAAAGTAATAATCTAACAAATATTGTATAATAAGATATTAAGGACAATGGACACAAGTAACTATTCGAATTTAAGGATAAGTCTGAAAACACTAATAAAACCACTCATATCAATATTTCTTTACTTGTTGTTTTTTATTTAAAATGATCCACACCTTAATAATGTATTACATTTTATAACTAAATTTAAATGAATCATATTAAGGTATTTGTTATTCTTATAAGTATACACAATTGCATGTTATTTCCTAAATAACTTGAAGGAATGATATGCAGTGTATGTGTAACTCTTGGCAACTATTAATGTAAATACCAGGGAGTCTCAGCGAACGAATACTGTGCATTGTAGAAATTATTAACAGAATTTTCCATGTTCCCATTTTTTGACGTCAACAGTCATTCACGAAGACGTGACGATTTGTGCGTATTTAAAGTGTCTCCTGTCTGATGATATTTAAATATTTCAATGATTATTCATATCTATTTCGACATAAACGTTGAAAGAATGGCATAATTATTGTAAGAAAGCGGTGGCTGTGAGCCTACTAGTGAGCACCGTGGAGCGTTTGATTGGCGAGTCGGTTTTATTTTTATTAAGAATGAGACCGGGAACAGCGCAAGTGTGCGTACCGCTCAATGTGTAATATAACATAATGATTCGTATCAAACAAAGTAGTTCATTTCGTTTAAAATAGTTTATCGACGGTGTAAAACTCATATCGTAATTTCTCTAATCAATAAACCCGCATTGTTAAGGAAATGCTTAAGAGTTATAGTTAATACGTAATATAATTATCCTTAGGTACATATACCTCTATATATCTATATTCGTTATACGGCATATACCTACTTATCAAGATGGAATAACCCTTTAAACGATTCGTACCTGTACCCGGGTGAAGTTGGGTCACACAGTATATATCTGTACGTATCCGTATAGTAGAGGATAAGTGGCGCAGGCGAGCTTTGGCAAGGTGCCCGCGCTGCCGCCAGTCCCCGGAGTGCCGGCTCGACTGCCGCCTGCGCCGCGCCGCGAAAGAACATCTCGCCTTCAGTGCATCAACTAAATATCCCATCATAATTTTACGCATGTGACGCTCACAATATTGTTTTTGCCTTATAAAAATAACTAAGAAATAACGAATTATCCGTACTACTCAAACCCTTTAGTTTCACTCGGCTCGATTTAGGTCGCCCGGTCCGAACAGCAGCAAGATATTTTTATGGTCGACGTGCGGTGCAGACTTAAGAGCGTCTTGGTCACGTTGTTTCATGAATTATTATTAATAGCGTAGAACCGTAAACTCATTCCATAAACAATACAGAGTGTTGTGCTTTACGCTAACACTTTTGGCCTTTCCGGACTAAATTTACGATGAACAGATATTATGGTTAGATAAATCGATGTCGTAATATTGGCATTTAGGGTAATATCGTTGACATTTGTGAATTGCATTTTCTAGTAGTGTGTGAGTTGTAAAAATGCATCATTTGTATCCCTTGGCGAAGGGTGATCCCATGTGCCCTCTGGGCTTCCACCCGCAAGTACGATGGCCCACGCGCTGCAAGCGTTGTTTCCGCGACTACAAGGAACATGGCGGTAGGAAAAAGGAAGATGATTTTACTGCATCTACACCGAGCCTCTCCTCATGGAACTCGCCATCATCACGGTGGGTTGCGTCCTAGTAGCTATCTAGATAGAATTTTACATACAAATTCAGCTATAGACGCGGGTTCGACTTCCACGCAGGGAAGATACTGTATCTACTTAATTACCAAAAAAGGAATTTTGTAAATAACACTTTTAAGAAATGTTTTCTCTGGCTATCAAATTAAAGGTAGGTATAGTGCAAACCAGCTGCTTTAATGAATTCAAATAATATAAATTAAAAAAACGTTTTTAACATTTTTATAAAGAATAAAATGTTTAGATAAAATATTATTAAATCGATCTACTAATATAAGTGCGAAACTTTGTCTGTGTGTATGTTTGTTACCCCACCTAGAGATGCACCTGAGCGTAGCGAAGGTAAGTTGCTAATTGGATACGTATACCTAACTAATGAATATCGTAATATTAAAGTTAAAAATTGCAAAAAACTACATACCCATATCTATTTAAGCGATTTAAATGATCAAAAAGACTATGTTCGTACAATTGCAATTTAAAAAAAAAAACTATTTTATCTGAGTACTAGCGACTCACTCTCGCTTCGCTTGGGTTCGTCTCTAGGTACGTTTTAATAAGGTGTACAATACTGTAGTACATTAGTTTGATCTATCTCGTAGGATTCAACCAGCGTTTGCAATGTAAACGCAAAAAAAGTGTTTATTTACGACATCACATTAGAAACCTTTAAAATTATCAGTGTTTCTCTACTATATTATGCATGTATTATACATATAAACCTTCCTCTTGAATCACTATTTAAAAAAAAACCCATCAAAATTCGTTCCGTAGTTTTAAAGATCTAAGCATACAAACATAGGGACAGACAGACAGCAAGAAGCGACTTTGTTTTATACTATGTAGTGATTTCGGTAACTACTTCAGTGCTCTTAACAATGATAGTAATTATTAGGTGACATATATTTCTAAATAACTTTTCAAGCGTCAGATAAATAAAAGCGTATTTTTCTCTTTAAGTAAATATAATAATTTCTATAATAAATAAGTAGTAAATTTAAAATCATTAGTATAGTTAAAAACTATTCTTCGTTAGTTTGTAGATCAAAAAAAAAGCTATGTTAGAACCTTTTAAAAATATATGTATATTTAATTTTAAATATTTAGCTAACATCAATCATTATTTCTTTACACTCTGTTTGATCTACATTTATTTGAGGGAGTTGCAGGAAAATTACATTTTTTTGTACATAAAACTTTTTTAATTTTTATAGGTCCCATTTCACGAAGTAATCTACTCAAGTGGCTCACGTTTAAAGCCATAACAAAAAAAAATGAATAGCTTTATAGATAGTTCCCGTAGATTTAAATAATTAAAAGACAAAATCTTGGAAGTACAAACCTAAATGTTTTCCTCAAAAAACAATTAGAATTCTGTAATATATTCACTTCTAGTGATTCTTTAAATTGACATAACTTTTTTATTTATGCACCGATTGAAGTAAAACAAATACTAAATTTTAAGTGAAGCTTATTCCCTCAACGACCGCGGACACGCCGGCGTTACAGTTAACAATAGATTTCTTAGAAATATAATTAATTGTTTAGAAATTCACCTGGAGGTGTTAAAACATACACATATTAGCGAAAACCACACCCAAATAGGTTCAGCTGCTTCTGAGATTAGCGCGCAAAACACACAGACAAACAGACAAAAATTCTAAAAATTGTTTTGGTTTCTATTTCGTTAATAAAGACCTAAATAGTATTTTTTTTCAAATATCTTCCATATAGAGACAGTGATCAGTTACAATTTTATTATATTACTTATGTAGAGATATTATAAAATTATCGCCAAACACTAAAAGCGTAGTCAAATATTAGCACTTAATATTTTTGAGTGCCTTTCATCTTTGTTTCCTTAGTAAAGAGTATTAATACAGCCTGTTAAATACTCGTATTCTACTACTTTTGCCACGTCATGAATTAAAAATAAACAAGGCACGCCGCAAATACTCTTAAGAACCTATTTTAGGGACACATTCAAAGTTTGATGAACAAATTATAGATAACAAAGACAACGCAGTGCTGAAACCATAAAAATGATTATGGCTCCATTCCAAATTACTAAACATTCGCATTTCCCGAGAAATGCTGACCGATTGACGCAATGATCTACAAAACAATATTAAATATGTCAGCACCTTAGAACTTTTCTATCTATTAAATTAAGGTGTATATAACGATCGGCCATCGGAAATCCAATAGATATCTAATGCAAAAATTTAATTTTAAAGAAACAATTCGAGAATAAGTATTTATAAATACATTTGGCTTATGGTAATTTTGACAGGCCTAATAAAGCAACGTAGTAGTTTAAATTACTATATCAAATGTATTTAACTTTAATTGTTTATGATAATTAGTCTAACGACCAATCTATTTTTCCTATTTAATGATTAAAAGGCTATATGTAAATTTTCATAAGCTCTGAGACTTTTCAAATTAAAAAACTTACCAGGCGCTTGTTTCGCTCGGATGCTTCCCAAGGTGCGTTTTAAATAGATATAAAAATAAAACTTACAGACGTCTGTAACAACTATATAATACCTTAGAGACGTCTAACACCTCAGTCTCTTCCGTGACCATGATTGCTGTAAAGCATTCGAAACGTCGGGTACCAAAACTCTAAATAAATTCGCGAAAAAATCCGAAAACATAGTTTTATTTAAAATTCTTTTCAGAGGACTTAAAACCAAATTCTTAGGTTTTACATATTAGTATTTTTTTTTTAACGTTGGGAAATGCATTTACGCACGAGGTGTGGGACTCACCGGCAAAGCCAGTACTACCCACTAAAACCCAACAAAACCTTCCCCCGTCTTAATGGGGCGTCGCAGGATCGCTTACGCATTCAACTACGACGCCCCGACGGCAGGTCTGCCGAAGCAGACCACAACAACCACGGGGTTGCTCCAAGGTCCACTCTGCTATCAGAGAAGTACCAGGAGCAACCCGCATGGTACACCGCCCTCCGAAGGGGGCCACCTCCCACCGCCCACCGAAGTGGGCCACCTCCCTGTGCGTTTCTTGGCTTCGCGCCCGGTTGGGTTGCCAGGCACTACTGAGCCCCCCCACCACGACAAGGTGAACGCACGTTGGGGGGGACATATTAGTATACTCTTACATTACAGTTTTTGTATTTTTCTCAGAAATGAGATATTAAAATTTTATTTAGTATTCGCGTAAATCTAAGAAAGTATTAGATATAAAAAATTATTGCGAGTATACCTTAACAGAAAGACTTATGCTATTGCAGATTTTTCTGTAGGGCTTTTTAAGACCTACATTTTTCTAATACCTATATTATTTTGATGTAAAAGCCCATGGAAGTGTTTTATTGTTTCGTCAATTTAGCGTGAGACAAGTAGTATTTTTATCCTCTCAAAGGATGAATTTTGAATAATCTGTATGTAAATACTATCTTTGTTTGTAACTTTCGAGTTGAATACCTAAAAAGAATAAAAATGGCAGATTACCACTATACATTTACCCCTTTTTACCCTCATAGGGTCCAAATTAAAAGAAAATCTAAATTTTGTGATTATTTACTTATGCGGTTAGGCCTAACATAGATAAGTCAGCCAGTGAGTCGCGACATTGCCTTTTATATATTACTAGCATTGCCCGCGGCTCCACCCGCGTTCAGAGGACTTAAAACCAAATTCTTAGGTTTTACATATTAGTATACTCTTACATTACAGTTTTTGTATTTTTCTCAGAAATGAGATGTTTTCCCGCGGTAAAAAGTATCCTATATGTTGACCCGGATAACCAGCTATCACCATACCAAATTTCATCAAAATCCCTCCAGTGGTTTTTCTGTGATGCGGTAACAGACTGACAAAAATTCTAAAAACTATAAATTCGGCCTCTGTATCGATAATAATGTTTATTTCAATAAGGTTTTCTAAAAATATTTAATGTACAGATCCGGCTTAGTTACAATTTTATTATAACCTACAGGTATAGATAAAAATAAGTATTACTACTACTAAGGAGATAGATATATGATGTTGCAGACTTTTCTGTAGGCCTTATTAAGACCTATAATTTTCTCGTGGATTTTTTGATGTACCTATCTCTTAAGATTTAGCAAGTGTTAACTATAGACATTTTTAAAGATGACTCGATAGAACCAATTATTATGTTTTCCCATAGGAGTGATAGATTTTCCCGTTGTAAAAGATATCCTAAATATTGATCTGAGTAATAAGTTATCATTACACTTTAGTTTAAATCGGTTCGGTACCTACTTTTTGCGCGAAACACGCACACCCAGACAGACAAACAAATAAAATTTTTAATAACGATTGTTTTGAAGTCTGATTTTCCTGTACACAACACGTTACAGTTATTGTTTTTATAAAATATTTTATGTACAGGTTTTGCTAAGGTACTATTTTATGTATATGTAGTATGGTTTATATGGATAGATGTGTAGATACATAGATGAGCCACTTGCACTCGAACTAATTTAACATTTTTAGAAAAATTTACATGAAAATGAGAGATTTTACTGCACTAAATTGATAATATGTTAATGACTACCCTGCTACTAAAAGTTTTTGTGTAATAAATCATTGGTTATTTATGAAGAAACTCGTATTCATTTGCATTTACGTGACTTTAATGAATATTTCCATCTCTGAAGTAGGTTTATTTTTTAGAAAACAATTAATGCAGCTATCACGTTTCTTACACGCAATATTTAGCTTTAGAATCATTTAACTCGATAAATACTTACTGAAATAAAAAGTTGGTTAACACCTCCAGGTAAATTTCTAAGAAATTAATTAAATTTCTAAGAAATCTATTGTTAACTGTAACGCCGGCGTGTCCGCGGTCGTCGAGGGATTAAAAACATCTTTCTCATTGCTAAAGACCTACCTATCCAAATATCTCTTATAAGCTCTCGCTGTTCACTCAATTTTTTGTCATGCTTCAGTAAGGAACAACGTATGAAATGCCGCCCTTATTTTATTTATTATTCATAACTAGCGACTCACCCTCGCTTCGCTCGGGTTCGTCCCTAGCTTGCTTCACAATACAAAGTTTCATCCCCATTTTCACCCCCTTTAGAGATGATTTCCGGGATAAAAAGTATCCTATGTCCTTCCCAGTGTCTCAAACTATCTTCTTAGCAAATTTCATCTAAATCGGTTCAGTAGATCCAGAGATTACCCCCTACAACGTCACAAATTCACAAACTTTATCTCTTTATAATATTAGTATAGATTTGAATACAGCATTGTTTACCGGTTTACTTGAGACAAATACCTACCTTCTTAATTTCAGCTATATTATAAAGAGGTAAAGGATATCGTACCTAACCTCTGAATCTACAACAACTGATCCGATTCCAAAAATTGTTTGACTTAGAGGCATGTGACATTGTGTGACAAGTGCCAGGGGCGGAGTCATAAGCTTCGAGACGTCACATGTCAAGTATTAATTAAAATACAAAACATTAAATGTTAACGAAAAATCAAAAAAAATTATCTATCTTTGGCCCCTTATAAGAATAGATTACATGGCAGAGTGCTATGGGCTAACTATTGTTAATTCCGATAAAAATGTGTTTTCTTCCAGAAATCATAATAATTTTAATTGAATACTGATTCAATAGTATTTATTAGCTAGTATTAATTAACTGTGACATACGGACATGACTAAATTATGAGAGTTCCATTTGCCAAAAAGCAAACTTTTAGCTTAAGAACTCTAATAATTAGAATGTTATTTGTTTCTCAGTTTAACGTAAATTTATACTGTGATTTTACTGTAGGGGACGTGATGATGATAGTGGTGTAGAAGCGGAGAAAGTCACACGTGGCTGGGCTTCAAGTTCGAACCTCAGCACCATAGACCCTTCCAAGAAAGACGCCATCTCCACAGGTAACAATATTAATTAGCTATTAATTATATCTATCATTGCCTATTTGGTTTTAGATAATTCCAGTGATAAAAATATGTAATCGTAAAAGATCTCTTAAAGCGATAGAAAAACGACGATTTTAAGAAACACAAAAATTCTTATTTTATTAAAGCTTATTCTAATAAAATTTACGGATCTATTAACAGGGTTTAGTAAAACCATATCGTGGACGTCGACGCCGGACTTGGGAGCTAATGAAAATGATACAACAACTGCCGTCACAATCAGCCTCAAATTACCCAAGCGAAGATCTACGGGGCCATTACCTTCTATAGACACAGGGCAAAACACAGGTAAGTAATAAATATACAATTTTCAATTGAAAAGAAATAAGAATTCTATTGTTTATGAAAATAAAGAATATAGTTAAACTAGAATTGCCCGCGTTCAGATGACCAAAAACCTCTTACATTGCAGTTTTTGTATATTTTTTTTTCAGAAATGAAATATTTTGCCGCGGTAAAAAGTATTCTATATGTTGACCCGGATAACCAGCTATCCCGGGGGAGAAACCAGCTATCATCATACCAAATTTCATAAAAATCCCTCCAGTGTTTTTCTGTGATGCGGTAACAGGCAGACAGACAGAAAAATTCTAAAAACTATAGATTCGGCCTCTGCCACTACAAAACCACAACGAGATCAATAAATATGTACATATTATGTCATTTAAATAGTATTCAGAAGTGTCTCTTGTAAAGTCATAATTCATTTTGTCTCTTCAGAAACCGTGACAGTGCGTCGACCATCACCGTCTCCTCCGCCACCGCCGTCCACTACGGCACAAATAACGATCAACAAAAATGATTCACTCGCCGAACGAGTGCGAAAGGTATAATAATCTTTTTTTTTATTATATACTTTTATTACTTTATACTTTCGCTACTATTATTTGCTTAAGTTTTTAAATATGATTTTTACCATATTATGAGATGCCGAGAATGTTAGTAGTAGTAGTAAAAATAGACAAACATACTCTTAAAAAACGTACCTTTTCTTCTGAAGCAATATATACAGGGTAAAAATATATAAAAGACCTCTTCAAGTAAATTGGAGATCCTAGAATCCGATATATCTAAGAATGTTTAAAGTGCATGTGAGTAGTGCACACTCGACATATGTTACTGTTTGAATGGCTTTCAACTCATTTTGTTGTGATGCAGAAAATAACTAAAAGGTCGGCATCAAAGTTTATACTTGGCAGAGTACGAGACAGTAAAATTAATTAAGGATATGACATATTAATTTTCTAAATTATACTTATTGTTAATTTATTAATATTACTTAAAAACTAGAGTTGGCCAACGACTTGCCTCACATACTCGTGCAGATAAAGTATGCTCTAGTCTAGTAGTATGCTAAGCTTGTTTTTATTTTCTATCTATTGTCCATATTTTTTATATATATATATATATATATATATATATATATATATATATATATATATATATGACGTTTAAACGTCATCGATTTATTTCGGTGATAACTGATAATGTTATGAAAATAAGTTTTTACCAGTACATTTGGACCTTACCTGGTATTACGTAATTTTATAGTTATGCCAGTTTTAAATGCAATCTGGGAAGATTAATTGTAAAATATTATTGAAGGTGTGCATTTTTTGATGATGCATAATGTTTAATTTATATCAATGGTCATGAAATAAAACAAATTTATGAACAATATTACACCATGTTTTCTGCTGTATATAAATTAATGAAATTTTATTTTATAAATGAATCGCCCTCCATTAATAACCTATATTATATTTATAATAATTTATATTCATAGATGCAGTTAATTAAGGGAAAAAGTTTTGATAAAGAGTCGAGCGTTGAAAAAGAAAGAGAAAAGAGGAGTACGTCCAGAAGTAAAGAAGAAGAAAAACCAACTAGACAAAAAGAAGAAAGGAGTTTTGTAAAAGAGGATGTCAATTTTATGACGCAAGTGAGTTGTTATCTTTATAGTAAATGTAGGTAGGTAGAGGTTAATATTCTAGATTAATTGTTATTTTTATTAATATTACTAAATGTATTTATAGGTAAAGAGCACTCGAAATAGTACAAATACTAAACCACCCATACGAGGTGGTCCAACTCGTGAAAAAGAAGAAGCATCGGATGACGAAGAAGGCAGTACTGCTGGCACTGTTACCACCGATACAGAAACTACTCTTATAGATCCAAATATCAAAGATTACCAGGTAATATGTACAATTAAATTAAATAAAAAAACAAATCTTATTACGTGTAATGTTCAATTATATAAATATTATTTATATGTATTCTAGGATCAAATTGAAAATTTAAAACAAGAAGTCGATTTTCTTAAAAAGCGGTGTGAAAGGGTAGAGAAAGAAAAAAGTGATATTTTACTTCGGCGTTTAGCAAATATTGACACAACAAACAAATATTCAACGGGAAGATCTTCAGAAGTACTTAAATTACAACAGAAAGTAAATGATCTCACCGCACAAAACGAGGATTTGAAAGATGAAAAGAAACATCTAAATTTGCGAATAAGAGAGATAGAAGCTGACATAGAAGTAAGTGTTTTATTGATTGATTTATAATCAACAACAGATGTCGACTTTTATTATACATATTTTATTAATAATATTCCATAACTTATTATAACAGTCACGACCGTCAGTAGAAGCACAAACACGTCAAATAGAACAGCTACGAGCAAAACTATTAGCAGCTGAAACACTTTGCGAAGAACTTATGGATGAAAATGAGGACATGAAGAAGGAATTACGGGATCTCGAGGAAGAAATCGAAGAAATGCAGGATAATTTCAGGTAGACATAATTGGATTTTTTTTAATTAGTCAGTTTTGGTTTTAATTAGTCAGTACCTAATAATAAAATGATTGACACAACATACTATAACAAATTAAATAATTTCAGAGAAGATCAAGCAGATGAATACTCATCATTAAGAAGAGAGTTAGAGCAGACTATAAAGAACTGTAGAGTTCTATCTTTTAAGTTAAAAAAAACCGAGCGCAAAAATCAGCAACTTGAACAGGAAAAAGTTGATCAGGAGAAAAAGCTTCTAGAGGTAAATTAATTTACATTCGAATAAAATACAGTTAATACATAAATTTGACCTTCTTATAATGACCACTTTTTGTACATTCAGATAGTAGGAGGAGCAGAAGGCCTGCAACGTGAGAACCGTATAAAGGAGCTTGAGCAAGAGGTTGCACGATCTAATGAGGTAGCGCTACGTTTGCAACGAGAGTTGGCTGAAGCTAATACTAAGCTTTCCGCAGCATCGGGAGCACCACCTGCCAATGTTAAAAAGACTCAGCTTACAGACGGAGTAAGTTCAATTTTACTTCTGTCGACTATGGACTTTCAATAAATCTCTAGCTCAAACTAGAATATACACATAAACCCTAGGTTTTATTAATGAATAAAATATTATTTTACATATACTCTTAAAAGTACTAAGTTTTTAATATATTTCGATTATAAATTCTAAAAATCCATTATCTAACTTTTATTAGAAAGTATCGCGATCTTCGTTAACCCGTGGCGGTAGTCAGGAAGACCCTGCGCAATTGCTTAGGGATTTGCAAGATTCCCTCGAACGGGAGGCTGATCTAAGAGAACAATTGCGCAATGCTGAAGAAGAGGTAATTTAACTTTTGTTTCACATTATGCTTTATAAATTGATCATAAATTACTATGCTAATTTGAAAGACTACTTAATAGTAGGTACATATGTACATACTTTAATTACTCAACTTTGGTCGCATCACAAAGTATATTAAAATTAATGATTGACATTTCAAATGCGTAAAAAGAGAAAGTAAAGCAGTTTGACTCGGATGGCAATCAATCTTTTACCTTGTTCGGAAATATAGAGTGAATATTTTTAGGTTTATCTACTAGACGATGTTATTATGTAGAATTTAATGAACTTTTAATAATCTCATTATTATACTATTACAGTATCTATTTTAAAATTATATGTAATGTTTTTTTTTTGAGACGTTCTTAATGTATATTTTACGAATGTATTAAATACGAATGAAATAAATACGACGTGCTTCGTACTTTTTCGGTTTTATATTGAAATATAGCTTGTGATATTCTTTTGCTATGTAACAAAACTCACCCAAACCTAATTTACTACTTTCTTAATTTCACTTCATATGAATAGCGTTTAATGGACTACTAGCTTGTGATGATGTTCTCCTAGCCGATTCCAGCTACGGCGGCCAATCTCATTGAGACTAGCCAACTGCGCAGGAGATATTATAGTGCAAAAGTGCACTCTCTATTCCTGTCACTCTCATATTCCGGTGGTACGACTGCTCGACACGACCAGTGAGAATTAAGGCGCAGGACCGACGGCTTTACGTGCTCTCCGAAGCACGGGGGTGAAACACCGCCAACTTCCCAACTCCGGGCTGTTACTGAGGCTTACTTATACAGAAAGACTCAATAACTAAACTTGGTCCGACCCGGGACTCGAACCCAGGACCTCCGGGTGTGCAGCCGTACATGCTAGCCACTACACCACCGAGGCAGTTACTACTAGCTTAATACACAGTCAACAGGCATCTTGCCAATTTCTTCTTGACTCAACATATTGAAAATAATTCAAATATTCTGTCCATAAATAAGTCTATCTATTTAATATTATCTTTTAAACGCAATAACCTTAGTTTGTTTACTGACACAAATATAATAAGTTATAAGGCAAGCTTTAATCTTCAAACAGGCTAGTCGATATCGACGACGCTTCGGAGGCAAACAGAGTCCTCTAGCACCGAAACATCCTTCGCCATCATCGCTTCATCTTGCTTCCAGCCTTGCTGCCAATGACGATGAGACTTTACATATTAAACGAATGTTAGAAATGCAATATAGTTTAGAAAATAAATTATCCTCATTAGATATTACCAACTTAACTATTGGCATAAATCAAACCGTTCAAGCACCCCAAGACTTAGTTGTTTCTTATTCTGAAAGTTGTCAGACCGATGCTCTTATGTTCCACGATGTAGCAAATGATACTAAAAAAATAACTCTTGATTCCTGCTTACAAATCGATATTCAATCGTCAGAAATGTATAGCCAAACAGACGTCGCTTTTCCGAAAAATAAATATGTTCAAACAGATGATATAATGGTCAATTCTTATTCACAAACAGAAAAATTAAGGAACATTGATGCTGGAGTGCAAACAATAAATAAACAATTTAGAGATTCATGCTTTCAAACCAGTGACACAAACTCTGAACAAACCCAAACTGACGATATAATGTACAATGAAAAAAGTATATTAACTGATGCTGTAACTGGTTCAGATGAAAGTAAACTTATTAATAATAAAGAAGGCAATGTCAAAAAGTCTAGAGAAAAATCTGTCAGCCCTCCACTATCCTCTGATAAAATTGCATCAAGCTCTAAAAGTACAATTCAATTTCCATTTGCTTTATTCAATCCGTTGGCAGCAAGGGTCCCTTTTGTAGGTATATATTTACAATCTTACTCAAACCTTACTGAGTGTCCCTCGCAACTGTATATCTGTATGTAACAATAACAAAAACCTCTTCATTTTAGCCTAGAAATTGTATTTCACCATTAGTTAATAATAAACTAACGAATATTTTCAGGCAAATAACTTGCGTAAAACTGCATCAAGAGTTGAGGATGACAATGAGTCCTTACTTCTACAGCTGAAGAAAATGGCTACCAAGGCCAGAAGTACGTCAAATTGTAATTGCGAATTCTCAGTTTGTGTATTCCCATTTCCAAATCAATGTTCCTATTCGCATCACCCTGTCTAACACTGAATCATGTCCATAATTGTATTCCTTAACTATCTAAAGGTACCTGATACCTACTCTTTTGGACCCTTCGACGTTGTTACTAACATGCTTTTGCCTATAGGGACTTCCTTAAAGTCTACGTAGCAACTGCAATCAGTACCGGCGTATCATTCTGAGGTAGCCATTTTCTACAGTTCAGTTTGAGACCTGACTATAATTAAATTGGAGTTCGCAACAACATGCAACTATTTAATTTAATTAATAGACTAAAAACTACTAACGTTTGCATTCATACCTAAGTAACATTATCATTGCACTATACTAAAATGTAATCTATAATACAATTGTTACTGAACATAGCTTTGCGCTCTCTTATTTATAATATATTTCTTGTCATAGGTCGCAAACTATCACCATCTCCTCCTTCTAATCGATTGGCTATTGAGGCTCCTAATGAAAAGGATGAAGGTATTTCAGATGAAGAAGATCCAGCAGAGTTGAGGATATTACTAGAGCTTAATGAACAGGTAGTTTGATTTGAATAAATAATTAATTAAAAAAAACCACTAAAAGTAGGAGACGTCCTCAAAGATAATATTATCCATACTAATATTATAAATGTGAAACTGTGTTTGTTTGTTTGTTCTTCTTTCACGTAGAAACGGACGGGGTGACGGTTCGGGGAGATTTTTTGTGTGGTAATAGTTGCGAGGGCTGGAGAGTGACGTAGGCTAGTATTTACCGCGGGAGATTATCTAATTCCCACGGGAAAACACGTTATAATACAATCCAAAATAATATTTATGATCAGAATTACTTGACACTTATTAAAATTAAATAAATACGTGTTTTAGCATTTTTCAAAATTCATCCTATAAGGGGATAAAATAGGAGATGAAAGTTTGTACGAAACTACCTTTTTAGATATTTTTTGTAGTTTTAGCGCGAGCGAAGCCGTGGATTCTGCTAGTATATTATAATTACAGTTTATAATTGTGAGTAATAATTTACAGGAAGCAGCCGTGTTGAGAAAGAAAGTAGAAGACTTAGAACAAGATAGGGAATCATTAAAGAAACAGGTTAAGGAATTAACAGATAAAATTGCTAATACTAAAACAAAGCCAAATACTACGTCAACCGTTACTTTGCGCAGAGCAACACCAAAAAATAATTTAGCTGAGGAAAAAGTAAAGGTAAAAATATTTTATAATAATTACTTTAATACACAAATATTTGGTAATAAACACATCCTGTGTTTATATAACATTACCGACATAAGAAAAAGTTTTCATAAAATGTATCTAAAATCTTGTGATAATAATGAGATCTAGCATGTTGATGGGAGCTAAAAAATAGGATAATATTATTATATTATAACAGGTACTTGAGGATGAAATAGCTGAATTAAGAAAGAAACTTATTGAGAAGGAACGAGATTGCGAAAGATTGCACGCAGAATTAAGCCTAACTCAGAAGAAGCCTAAAGCATCTCTAATAAAGAGCAAGTTAGTATATTTTTTTCCAGTTTTGTCTATGTAATTTATCCTAATATATACTTGCTATTTTAGTTTTTCTTCAGATTGTTTTATTGAAACCAACAGTTTATCTTCTAATAGTTGTTTTATTGAATATTTTAAACACAATTTTTTTTATTAACAGGTCTTTAGATGCAACAAGTGACCAGCAAAATGTGGACTTAAAACGGCAACTTCAAGTAATAGAACAAGAAGCAAGTGTTTTGAGAGCTAAAACTCAAACATTAGAAGCCGATAATGAGAAATTACAAGCAGAGAACAAGAAACTTCAAGTATGTTTCAGTAAATTAACACAGATCTGTGATATGTCAAGTCTTACGAATGTGCAATGTATTGACGTAATAGAGCCCAATAGTTTTAAAAATTTCAGTTTTAAAATTATTTATTTTATTTAAGTACCCATAACCTATTGTTTAAATAATTTCAGTTGTTGAAAAATGCAAAAACCTTAAAGACTGAAAAATCTGTCGAGCTCAATACTACTAAAGTAACTCAATTAGAAACTGAACTTAAAGAAGCCTTAGTAAAAATTAAAGATTTAGAAAGTAGTAAAGAAGAAAAGTCTGAAAAGAAAGTTAGATTCGGTGAATTAAACAAAAAAGAATCAGAATCTCTTAAACAAAAACAGGAAGAGCTTGATAAATTGAAACTAAACTTTAATAAGGTAAGTAGAAATTTATTAACAGTTGGCATTGATAAAACACAATTCTAATTTATTTTGTCGATTTATAGGTTGAAAAAGAAAAAGCTAAGCTTCAAGCAACATTGAAAGAACTAAAAGAAGACGCCATAAAATCTTTCAAATCTAGAACACCGAAAAAGTTAACTGATTTAACAACAAAATTGCAGATGAAAAAAATGGTTGAGGAACTAGAAAGTGAAATTGGTAATATTGATATATTTGAATAGTTTCAAACATACAATAAGTGTATTCATAATTATTTTTATCTTCAAAATATTTTAATGGTTACAGGTGAAATGTATGTTATTATGAAGAATGCAGGAATAACGTCTCAAGATATAAATGCTAAAGGACAGTTAGAAAAAGATATAGAAAATGCTAAATCTAAATTAATAAAAAGTGAAACAGATTTTACAAACGAAAAGAATCGTTTACAAAGTGAAATAGCTAAATTAAAGGACATAAATACTAAACTAGAATTAGAAAAAAAATCAATATCAGAGAAATGCAAAACTTTGGAAACTGATAATAATAATACAATTACTGAATGTAACTCACTAAAAGAAGAAAAGAAAAACCTAGAAACTCAAATTGCTAAACTCAATTCTGATTTCAGTAAGATAATTCAAAATAGTGTTTGTTCAGAATACATCATTTCCATTATTGTATAAATAAAATTTACACAAACTTTTTTTTCAGAAAAGAACAATACGCAACAAACTGCTATGTCTGACTGTATGAAAAAAATTGAGGACCTCAAAAAGGAAATGGATTCTAAAGATAAAGAAATAGATAAATTAAAGAAACAAATAGAAAATATTAATAAATTAGAACAAGATAAAAATAAACTGCTCAAAGAAGTATGTTTCAGAATCTTTCTCATTATTCATATCCATTTTCATATTTATAACCTATGTTTTAATGTATTATTTTTAATGTTTAGGTTGGAGACAAAACTAAGAAGTTAAATGAACTTGAGAAAAAATTAAAAGAAGCAGAAGACAAATGTAAGCGAACAGAAAAATTACTAGCTACACGTAAAGACCGCGTCGCTAAATTGGAAAAAGAGGTAATTAAGGAAAATAAATTAATAACATTGATTATTTTAATTAAAAATGTATATTAGAATAAGTGCTAAATTTAAAAATTAACACTTTTCTGAAATATTAGCTATCAGAAGAAAAGGAACAATCAGAAGCACTAGCAACCGCAAAGAGAAGAATTTCTGTTGATCTCACTACAGAAAAAGATGGAATTCAATCTAAATTATTTAAAACTGAAAGCAAATTAATTACTTTAGAAACAGATTTAAAAGAAATGAAAGCAGAGTATGAAAATAAAATTACTAACTTGGAATCAACTATATCTGCAAAAGATATTCATATAAAACAACTGGTATTTCAGACTAAGAGATTTAAATCCTCATAATAGCATGATATACACCCCTCTGCTACAATTTTTCAGTCTCTAGTTTGATGGCGCTGTTTTCCATGAAACTGATCACCTTAGTTTTTTTTTATAGCAGTATTTTAAACAAGCACAAAGCATGACCCTCGCAGTTTTGAATTGTACCCTTGAATGAATTCCTTCACAAATATTACTGTTTTTAAACGTAATTTATTTTATAAAAATAAAATTTTTCGCATAACAGTTATAATGATTATAGTTAACTTTGTAAATTATATTTTAGGAGGATGCACTGAGGGAAACTTCTAATCAAAAATATGATGAAGCATTATCAACGGTGGAAATAGCTCAATTAAAAGATAAATATGAAAAAGCTTCTAAAGAACTTAAAGAGAAAGAACAAGATTTATCGACAGCTAAAAAAGAGCTCAACAATACTGAAAAAGATTTATCAACTACGCAATCAGAAGTTGCCAACCTAAAATCTAGTATAGCGAAATTTGAATCGGAAAAGAAAGACCTTGAAAACAAATTACAATCGGAGAAAAAAGAGTCCAATTATTGGGAGTATAAAGCGTCTGAACTGGATACTGATTTGCAAGTATGTAAAGCATAATTTTTTTTATATTAATTTTAGAACAATAACATGATTTATGTTAATATAAAAATATCTAACAGGCAGAAAGAAAAAAATTCGATCGTATGCGAGCTAATCATGACAAAGACATTAAAAATAAAGAAGCAGAATTGGCAACGCTTAAAGGTAAATTAAAAGTCTTAGAACAAAGCACTGGAGCTGGCGCCAAAAGATTGTCAGAACTTAAACAAGAGTACGAAGAATCAGTTAAAAGTATGTATATTCTACCCTAGCAAAATCTACTTAGACTTTTGATTTTTTTATTTATAATCATTATGTAACATTTCAGAACTAGAGCATTCATTAGCAGTTGAAAAAGCAGAATATGAAGAGTTAACTGGCAAATATGAAATGTTAGAAGAAGAACATGTAGTAACAAAAGCTCGCCTTACTGTTGAGAAGGAGAAAGCACAAGGGTATGTACATCTTTTTCTTTATATAATTTATTTTATTATTGCTATTTTATATGATTTTTTCTTGGTGTGCCTCTTTAATAACCCACACTGTTTTGCAGCGAATTACTAGTTATTCAGAAACAACTAAATAGTACTTTGGAAGAATTAAAAGCTGTACAAGATACCTATGAAAGTCAACTATCTGAATGGAACAAAGAAAAAACTGATTTACAGGTACAATTTATATCAATGTCATTTCACCACTGTAGGTAACACACGTATATTAATTCAGCTAAAAAATTTGGAAATTTATTTATTACAGTTTTATAGTACAATTAAGATAATTTATTTCTCGATGTTTTATGTATATACCTAGTTTTTAAATGAAAATATAGAAACCTTATTATTATAAAGCTATTCATGTGTAAACTAAATAAGGCAATGAAGGTCGCTAGTGGAAAATAAAATATAATCAATAACTTTATATTGTGTTTAGAAAGAGATATCATCTCTCCAAGAAAGGTTATGTGGTGGCGGTTGGGAGGTCGAGCGAGCAAGACTAACAGCTCGACTGGAACAGCATGAACGTGACCTTCGCTCAGCCAAAGACGCACATAATGTACTATCACATCATCATGAGGTCACTAAGAAAGAAGTATGTATACAATATATTCTGACCATTAAATTATTCTTGTTTAAACGTCCTTTTTTATAACAAAGTTTTCATCACATACCGAACAAAAAATATAACTTTCAGTTGGAAGAAGCTAAGAAGAAACTTGAAGACTATGAAAGGGTTACAAAAGTCCAGAGGACTTTGAAGACAGATAATGCTGAACTGGAAAGAGAACTATCAGCGCTTAATACTCGCCTTGAACAAGCAGATAAGGCAAGGAAGAACGAAATTGCCGAAACTAAATCACGTTACGAAGCTCAAATGAATACAATGCGTGATGAACTGAAGTCATTGCACAATCAAGTATCAAGATTTAGAAGGGAGCGTGACAATTATAAGCAAATGTTGGAATCAGCGCAAAAATCGGCAGCAGATGTTAAGAATGGCGAAAAACGAACACAACGCAATTCAATATCAAGTACTGATGAGGTAATTTGTCAAATATAACAATTTTTAGGGTTCCGTAACTAAAAGACAAAAAACATTACAAATATTTTATTGGTAATGTATACGAATAGCTAAACAAAGACATCCAAATTAGTATCTCTAAATTATTTATGAAAAGTATTTCACCACTATCAAAAATAACAGTACCTACCTACCGAAATATTAAAAAAAATCTTTTAACTTACAGGAAGAATATCGCAATAAAGTGGCAATACTGGAGCAACAGTTAGCCTGTACTGAAGATGAGCTGTGCGAAGCTCGATTGTTAGCCTCCAAACTCAACACTGAACTCATTAGTGAACGTTCTTCTGCTGAAGTACGCTTGGCTGAAATGCAATCACGACTAAACGAAGTTAGTAGTTTATAATATTTATTACTGTATATTATTTATAATAAACTTAAGTAAGAATTAAATCTTAATATGTTACTTTAGTTGGTTATGGAAATAATCTTAATATAATTGACTTTGAGATACCAGGGACCATATAATAAGTGAAGGGCTTAGAAAGTTGAATTTCTAATATTATAGTAACTATTTCAGTAAGAAACTACAAATTTATAATTTTCAGTACGAGGAGGAGAGATTGTTATCGTCAGGAAGGGCACGAGTCGCTGGCTTGGCGACGCGCATGGAGTTGGCGTGGCACAAAGAGCGCGATGAACAGCAACGCTTGCTGCACGAGACGTCCACGTTAGCTAGGGACTTGAGACAGACACTATTCGAGGTTTTTATAAAATATTTTACTTTATAAATGTGCGTTACGAAACATTGCAATTAATAATTATTTTTTATAAATTTAATTATTATATTGAAACAGATTTACAAATATATACAATAGCCGTGAAGATTAGTTAAGAACTAACCCTTTTATATTTCATTTTTAAATTTAACAATAATACAACATCCTTAGAAATTTTGAAAAATAATATTTATTTATTATACATACAGTTAGAAAGAGAACGAGAAAAGGAAAGATTAGATATGAAGAGAAGAATAGAACAATTAAAGAGGACCACAGAAGAAGAAACAGAAGAAGCAAAGAAAAAGGTAAACTTTTAATTACGAATTTTACTAATTTAGCACTAATTTATACAAAGTGCCACTCCCGGATACGTGTCTTAATTAAAGCGAAAATAAGCGAACGGAGCTATGTATATGGGTTTCCCTATCAGAGTCATTTTGTAATCGTGGAATTCAAAGGAAAACAATGAATGAAATGAAATTATGGACTCGTCGTACATATCATACTACAATCAATTAAATACGATATTTATCAAAGTTCAATATTTTCAGGTGTCAGAATTACAATGTGATTTATTAGAATTACGTGATGCACACGCAAAACTACGTACTGCTAATGAAAAATTACGACGCGATAAGGAGCGCCACGATCGCGACCGGGACCAAAACAAACTTTTGGTCGCGTCTCTAAAACGCGCCCAACAGGTATTATTAAAAGCAAATATTGATATATATTTGAGATACAATTATATTTAAAAAAAATACTTAATCTACCCATTTTACAGGAGGACGATAGAGTAATTACACAACTGGTAGAAACTATCGACGATCTAATGAAGCAAAGTCCCGATTTGTTCAGAGAGCCGACTGTCAAACCCGAGAAGAGTTTGATGACCCCAACTCCTCCGAGAAGAAATAGGGTACATACTCTCTTAATTTTTATGTAATAGTGTAGTATTTTATGTAAATATATAACATAATATCAAAGTTCACAATACATAGTATTATTTAAGTTAACGAGATTTTTTGGTAATTGTCGATTATTTATACTCTATAATTATTTCATCGGCATATCGATCATGATTTTTATGCACAATCTTTACACTATACAAAAATCATATAAATGAGGTAACTATAAAAGCTTAACATGAGCAACACAATAAACATTACTTTTCTTAACATCTAAATGCTCGGCTCAAGCCTCACTCATATTGAAGAATACGAAAGGGGTCAGACAGATGCAATACGCTGGTCAAGTGTGGGTTGGCGGACTTACGAAAACTAGTTAGGTTCCCAGATTAGCAAGTTCTTTTAAATAACATATATTAATTTAAATAATTTAATTGCCCAGTCATCAAAATCCCGGTCGCGTTCAGCAACACCTGATAATATGGAGGCGCGGACCGCGAGCGATGCGGCAAACACGGCGGCGCGCTTGCGACGACTCACAGACGAGTTACGTGCATCGCGCATTGCGGAGCGGCAGCGACGACAGCAAGCTAGCACAGCTAGACGGTAATAAGTTTTTTGCTCTCTTTGTACTGTTGTTGTAGGTTTTCTTGTGATTTAAGCCCCTATGGGGTAATTCAATGTTAGGTGTTTTCTTAGACAACATTGCGCATTTAAAGTATAACTAGCGACTCACCCTTTCTTCGCTCGGGTTCGTCCCTAGTATGTATGTATTCAGCCCTTTTTAACGTCCCACTACTGGGCACGGACCTCCCTTCTATACGAGGGGATCAGACAACCTTATATATTATCAGATCAGACATTTTAAGTTTTGTCGATCGACATAAAAAGTACTTGATGCAACAAGCATTTCGAGTTTTAAAACAAATGTATTCTCGAGACACAACAAGAAAAAATATTCATCTAGCTTAAATTTATTTCTGACACAAATAATTCAAGTCCCCATTAAAAAAGTTAGTTACAATAAATATAATTATAACTACAAAACATAATTCTATGTAACAGGGCAATGTCGACTGAACCACGTGACACGCTATCAGTCACTCCGGCTTCTCGAACTCCATCACGCGCGCCCTCTCTTAAGAAACGCTCCGTGTCGTTAGAACAAACTACTAAGGAACAGGTAATAATGCTTAATTATTATTATCCAAGCGGCAAACAATTATTTTATTTTAATAATAATGGTAGAAAATTTAAACAACCACTGTACTTTTCTAGAGTGCGATATGGAAGTCAGTGGACGGCAGCAGCATGTCTTCATTAGACGGTGACGCAGACATGCGATCGTTTACTATGCAACAACGTGATGCAAGTTTAGATAGGTAAGTAAACAAATATTTCAATGTTCATAAAATCATTTAATTTTTTTAATATAACACAGTACAAACTTATTAAGAAAAAATACAAAAATAAAAAATCCCGACTGCGTAAAAGAAATCAACTAAAAAGATGGGAACAAGTTGACGAAGGTACATTGTATTATACAGTCAGTGCATTTATCAAGACGAATCGAACGACATAATATGAATCATCAAAATTAGTTAAGCCGTTTAGTAATTACGAGGGAACATAGATTCAGACATACATGTCAAACACATAACCCTCCTTTGGGCTTCGCCGGAGTCGGGTAAAAATTTGTTATGCCATCATCATGTGATTGTTATCAAACGTATGTAAACAAATAAATGAAAACGTTACTTACTTTACAGTCGGTTATCTGGTGGATCAGCTCAAAGTGATGTACTGCCATCGGACAAAAAGAAGAAAAAGAAGGGATTGTTCGGTAAACTGAAAGAGTTCACCAAATCCCGCTCTATCGATGATCACGTTGGTTCTGACGTTGCCGATTTCAGGCCAATAGGCACTGTTTCGCAAGTAAGCAGATTGTTATAAAATATATATATCCCAAATATGTAACATTAAATTTATTTAAGAAAAGAAAATAAAGGTATTGTATGTTATACACATTAAAATGTTGAAGTTGTATATCGCCTATTTTCATGATAGACCTCAATATAGCACAAACTGTCCTGATAAAATTTACAACGAATAATTATTTTTTCACTAAAAATATAAATTCAATTTAAAATCACTTTAAATGTAATTATTTAACCTTAGGTGCGAATTTATTCCTTGAAATATACCTACATAAATAATAGACACCTAAAATCAGTTGCTGAGTGATACACACGCGCGCGCGCACGTATTCGCACGCACACTCGTATAGGCAAACAAATAACTTACAACGAATTGAGTACCTACTTATTTGAAGTCGATCAAACGAATATAAAAACCTGGTCCTTAACACCTCCAGGTAAATTTCTAAGAAATAAATTAAAATTCTAAGAAATCTATTGTTGACTGACACGCCGGCGTGTCCGCGGTCGTGGAGGGATTAATCCTGTAGGTGTAATACTAATACAATATAAATTATCAGGGATCGGACTCTGATATGAGTGCAGCGGGAAGCGCCGCGGGCAGCAAGCGGGACCTGCGTGGACGATTGTCCGGCATGTTTAGCAGAAAGGGACAACTGAGCCGCACAAATAGGTAAATTATCTTAATAACATAAATTAAGTGGCATACACAATCATGGTGTTTTAAATACTTATTACTTATGCAATATATCATTTATAAAAACCAGCCATAGCCAAGCTTGGAAAATCTTGAGAACTCAAAACTATAGCGTTATAATTATCTTAAATATCTGGTTACAAGTGACTTGGTTGACTAGCTACTAGTGAATCTGCCGCTTCCCTTTGTATTTGAAAAGTTACTATATTATTTATTGAATATCAGTAAAAACGTCTATGGAATCCGTACTAAGTATTCTTTATACACAAATACAAAAGCAAACATTCTAAAACTATTATAGATACCATACCTCATTTCGAATTAATAGAACAAAAAAAAAATATGCGTACTTAATGTATATCACTAATTTTATTGTATATACCAAGCTGTATACTTTTTTGGTGATAGTTTCGAACTCTATGTATATTACTATGTAAACTCGTAATCTTTATAGACAAATTTTCTTTCTTTTTATAAGAACCATTTACATTTCCAGTAAGGAGCAAAGCCCCGAGCGGTCCGGCAGCGCGGCCGGCAGCGCGGCCGGCAGCAACGCCGGCAGCGCGACCAGCATCTCGCCTGCCACTAAGCCGATACTGCGCAACGCGAGCGCTACTACTCTTTCACGAGCTACCACTAAGACCGTAAGTAGTGGCGTCATTTTAAAGCTAGAATTGGCTATTTTGTTTTCAAATATGTATGATATTCAGCCCCTTATCTTCCTACTGTTGTACTGGACAAGGGCCTCCCTTATATGGGAAGGGAATCAGGCCATAGTCCACCAAGCTAGCTGGTACCTTTCGAAAACTCGATAGGTTCAGCCACGAACACACGAAAATATTGGAGGTGCGAGACCTGAGATTCCTATTTCAATTGGCTTCCCAATGGAAAGCGTTATCACTGCTTTTATTATTAACATAATACATAATTTGTATAATAATATGATAGTAAATTTTATATTTTTTATAATTATTATAATACACTTTGTATGGCATAAAAAGTTTACAGTTTTGGTGTTTTTATCACAGGTGGAATCCCCTGCGAGGGCCGCGAGCGCAACTCCCGGCGCGAAGAGGAAAGGGAAATAATTGAAATATTAGTGTTTCGCTTTTTTTATTGTATTTTTCCAACCTCCTATGAATATTCCACATAGCTTGTAATATCACAATACATATCAGATAGAACTATTGAAGAAGAAAAACATCTAACTATGATCCTTCCCTGCTCCTAAATGCCTTAGTCCTACCGAAGCCTAGCCGCCGCGGCTAGTTCCTCGCAATGTTTGTAATGTTCGTAATTTTATAATTATAACTGTTGAATAAAATAGCAATGTCTCATTCCACATCGGCTATAATTTTTACAAAGTGAGTGTAAGATATAAAAATTAACTTAAAAGAAACGTAAGAAAGACCTCGGGACTGAAAGGGCGAAGTGGCTAGCTCTGGTCCATTAGGTTGGAGTCGACGGCGCCTGTAGAGTCCTTCAGGATAGACTCGAAGATGGGCTGTAGGTCCGGGAACGATTTGATCTGAGTCACGAAGTCCATTAGGTGGGGGTTTTTGTCTGAAAACATTATAAATATCTCTCAATTACACAAGTATGCTATTGTAAAATGGTATAAAATGGTATATATTAATACATATAGTAATAATCATTAGCAAATGTAATTGACATATTTATAACTTTTGATACTAATTTCATTCCCTTTTAAAATATATCGGTCTACATAATAATATAATGGCCTAAAATGCTTTGGCTGAAAATTTCAAAGAAAAAGATTGCTATCACACAACTTGGACCACCACCAAACATAAAATACGAGTAATGATTTTGTAAATAATTCATGAATTTCACGAAAGTTTTTAGGAAACTTGCTTTCAGTTGTTTTACATATTAACATGGTATATCAAAAAATTTTATATTAATTTATTCTGATATACCTAAGTAAAGGTATCAAGAAAATAATGTTTCCTAAGGGAAAACAAAATAACTGATTCTCTCGAGCCGTTCTTGGAAAGGAAAGGTTGATACCCTCCCTTTCCAAGGACGACTACAGAGCTCATTTTAAAAATGCTTTTTGCATAAAGCCAAAGAGATTTTTTTTGTAGCTTTAGCGCGAGCGAAGCCGCGGGTGTATGTTTGTTTTCCTTGACGCCGAAACTACTGGATGAATTTAGATGAATTTAGTGCACGGATGGACTATGATCTGGAGTAACATATACACTATTAGACGCTTAGGGACACATCCAAGCAAAGTAAAGGTTAGTCTTAGGATTATGCAATCAGCCCTTTTTAACTTCCCATACTTGGGCACGGGCACCCTTCAATACGAGGGGATTAGGTCAAGTGCGTGTTAGCAAGCTTAGTCTTTCGAAAACTTGTCAAGTTCTCTCAGACATACAGGTTTCCTCACGACGTTATCTTTCATAACTTATTTATATATAAAAGTATATAGTCAAGTGGTGCATAATGCGTACCGGCGTCCGGTATCTGGAGCAGGGCGGCGGCGGCGCGCAGGGCGGAGCGCTTCAGCTCGTCCTGCTTCTCGTACTCCTGCTTCACGGAGTTCGCTTTCACCTTCATGGTGCACGTCGCGCGGAGCGGCTCCACCAGGCTCTCTAACCCTGGATTACATACATATGTTATATTACATAAGAGCGAGCGAGCTACGTACATTTTATTTTTTTTGAACGGAACCCTAATTCTTTTACTGAAATAAAAGTAGCCTAGGTTATTCCTTATAACATCAACTATCTGCCAGTGCAAGTCCCGTCAAAATCGGCCCAGCCGTTTCGGAGATTAGCCGGAACAAACAGACAGACAGACAGACAAAATTAAAAAAAATATGTTTTTCTTATAAATACCGTATATATAATGCATATGCATATAGTAAAAAGCTGTTATTTTGACATTACAAACAGACACTACAATTTTATTTCTCTGTATAGACTAGCAATACCCACGGCTTCGCCCACGTTCAAACTACTAAAAACACAAACTCTATGACACACCAACTGCAGCCTCGCCTACCGGGTCCATTTGTGAATTTAAAGTTTAAATCTTGCAGGGACCCACTCGAACATACACAAAAAATATCATTAAAATTGTTCCTGCCATTAAGGAGAAGATCAGTGACATCAATAGCAGCGCCACCTGCCGAGTCCAATTGTGTTTTAAATCATAATATACACACAAAATTTTATCCAAATCGGTCTAGCTCTTTAGGAGGAGTAAGGTGGCAAACACACGTTCAGAAGAATTATACATATTAAGATTATGAAAAGAAGTATTATAGCTATGAGAAACAAATTGAACAATCATTATAATTTTAAACAATAAAAAAGAGCCAATCAAATGAGCTTAAAAACCAAGTTTGTTGTAACGATTAAAGAGTTCTAATATACGCCTCGTGGCTATATCATTCGACCAGTTCGATAATATCAAATTATAGTCCTGTCATCCATGTCATATAAAAAAATTCAAATAGGTACAACGTTTATTCGTAAATACACCTAATACAATTATCAACCACAGCAGCAAAAAAATTTTGCTTTAGATCGCATATTTAATAAGAAATTTTCCTTATTAATTTAAATTGTTTGTGTCGATCAGTGCAATCACGTATCACTAAAGAAAAACTAATATCAATTACATATGTCTATAATTTGACGTCATACATAGAGGGAGTGTCACATATAAACACCTGCTAAGAACAACATTTAATCTAATATATATTATATAAATATCTCGTGGCACGGTGTTTGTGGTCGCACTCCTCCGAAACGGCTTGACCGATTTTAATTATTTTTTATATATTTGGTAGGTATGAGAATAGATCGTAAAGCGTTTTTTACCGTCCTACCCCCACCCCCCATTTTTTAATCGTGATTTTAGTATATTTGTATAAACATCATCATCATCTCCCTGCCCATTTCCCAATCACTTGGGGTCGGCGCAGTACATCTTCCGTACTGCTGATAGGATTTGGCAAAAGTTTTACGACCGGCCGCCTGCCTGAAATATATTTGATATAAATATATTTGTATAAACAATATCCAAATAATTTAATATTATATAAACACATAGCGACCAATCCGAGTGAAGCAAAGGTGGTCACTATATAACATAAAGCAAGAGTTTTTTTAGAGAGTAGATTGAACGCGGACGAAACTAACGAACTTGAGTAAATTAATTTCCATTTTTAACACACTTTTATTAACTTTGGTTGTAACTAACAATATAATCATGTATCGGAAGTCAATTTTACCTACTTCTTGCTACTACTTATATTGAAATGGGACTTTGTATGTATATATAGTTCGCATAACAACACTATTATTTGGTATATTGACGCTAATTTGATGATCGACATAGAACATAGAGAAAAAGGTGGTAGTAAGACCTCGAAATAAGGCTTGTGCGATTCGTTTTGACGAGTCCCATACATTTCAATTGTTTGAAAACGAGTTAAATCATTTATGTTTTATGAAATAATCTCAATACTGAGGAGGTCAGTCGGTACTGCGGACTCACTCTGCAGCACGACGGCGGGGCAGAGCTGCGCGAGGCGCGCGCACATGAGGTGCGTGAGCATCTTGATGTCGTAGTGGTCGCGCAGGCCGTCCTCCACGTGGCGCAGGAACTCGTGCACGTCGAGGCGGTCGAGGCACGTGCCCAGCAGCGTGTACATGCACTCGAACGCCGCCTTGCGCAGGTCCAGCCCGTCGTCCACGGAGTGCTTGAACGGGCCCATCTCCACTTCTCTTATCAGCTCTTTCTGTTGGATACATTGATTTGTATTTCTACACTAATTATAATTATAATAGATGTGAGAGTTAAAATTATTATTATTATAGTATAGATTTAGAGAAACTCTAAAGTGTCGTGATAGTGTCGCCAATAGAAAAAACATCATATGATAAATAGAAGCCTATGCGTGTGTAAAAAAATAAAAAAGGCTTAAGAAAAGACAAACTACAACAAACTAAAACACAAGAAAAAGAATTTAATTTAAAAAATTACCAAAATAGCAATATGTCTGTAAATTCTAAAACCTGTACAGTTCGTATATCTACACTAATATTATAAAGATATAAAGAGGTAAACTTTACTGACAAAAATAATTTTAAAAAAATCGGAAAAATCTGTAAAAAAAGTTTATCGGCATACTCTGCCCAAATCGTTGAAAGAAAGCAATATAATGTTTTGCAAAGGCACCCAGGGGCTTATCACTTACACTCTCAACCACGGCATTCCGACGGCTGGTTTACTGAAGCAGACCACAACAACCATGGGGTTGCTACCACAGTTCACTATACTATCAAACAAGTAACCAGGAACAACCAGCATGATACACCGCCCACCGCGAACTATCTCCCAGTGTGTCTCTTGGCTTCGCGCCCGGCTGGATTTCCAGACGCTAAGGGTCGATCCACATTACAGTGTCAACCACAGTCCATTCTCAGTCCCATAACGGTGTGGTAAAATATTTTTATACAAGAAACGTAACTGAAGAATGATTAACCGGTATTTGACTCTTACTGATAGTGTGACCAGACCGATATCGGACCGAGAACGAACCGTGACAGGCACTATAGTGTGTAGCGGGCCTAACGGTGCGTGTCAAGCCTCACCTTAACTTTAGTCTCGGCATATATGTTGGGCAGCACGGCGGGCAGCAGGTCGCGCACGAGCGAGGGCTTGTTGTGCGCGGCGGAGTTGAAGGCGACGAGCGCGACGCGGCGCACGCCCAGCTCCGCGTCGCGCAGCGGCACCAGCAGCTCCGCCATGCACGCGCGCAGCATGCCGTCGATCGCTTGCGGCTGCAACACGGAAATTTTTTTGTTTTTTTTTTAATAAAAATAATCAAAACATTTTTAATGATTTTTTTTCTCAGCTATATTTAGCTTTTATTTGTTGAATTGGATATGGAATTGGTTTTGTATTAATTGTGGTTGTTATTTTGATTATTAATTTTGATGTCAGTTTCGGGCAAAATATTGTTAATTACATATTATACTATAGTTAGCTTAACTAAAGTTTATATAGTTAATAATGTATAAATATGTAATAATTCTTCTATAGTATAAAATCCATTCGCAATCAATATTTTTCGGGATAAATACTAAATAGTATAATTGTTATTAAGTAGCAACAATATATATTTTCAAATTAATTGAAATTAGTCCAGCTATTAATTTTCACTAAAATAAAAGAAAAACGCATATTTCCATTAATTATAGTTAAAAGCAAACCTGATCGGAAATTGTAAATTTGACAGCAGTGACAGCAGTAGTCCTTGTGAGTGGCTCAGGTGACTTCAAAAACTCTTTCAAATGAGGCAGTAAATCTTGAGGCTCTAAAAGGCATAATTTTCCTAGACATTCAGCAACCTGTAAAGAATAAAATGTCAATAAAAATAATTCTAATTTATATACATATAATGCTAACGTTTTCCAGCGGTTCCACCCAGAGTACATTATTATATAAGATGTTATCTTTATAAATTATAGCCTATATTTCACTCTGATGTTTAAGCTATATTACTGTAAAGTTTCATCAAAACCCGGTCAATGGATTTTGCGAGGAAAAGTAACATCCATCCACCGATCCTCACAAACATTCGCGTTAATAATATTAATAGGATCATAGTAACATTCACTATTCTACTTACGACATTACGAGATCCCTCCTCCGTGCACTGGCAGTGTTTGGCCAGCTGCACCCATATCTCGGGGATGAATGGTCTGAGAGCCTCCACACCCTCAGGAGTACACGATTCACACGCAATTATCTAAGTGACAGATAGTGATTATCCATAGTATTATTAAAAAAAAATTGAGATTAGCAATGAAAATTAAAAGATTAAAAGAATTTTATCTAGATACCTTTAAGACCAATAAATAAATAATCTGATACTATTACAAAAATGATATATAAACAAAATCGTTTATATTAATAATTGCTAAATTAATATATTTTTTACTATGGGTACTGATATTTGCTAGCTAATAATAATAAGTTCTGTAAACTATAAGTACAAGTATCATAACGTATTTATAAGTTCTGTAAACTTATAATTTTGTACAAGTATTATAACGAAATATATAGATAACAAATTTAAATCAATTTCAAATAATTTAACATAACCTACCTCTCTTAATGAATGTAAAAGCAGATACTGTCTCTTTGGCTGTGCTTCAATCTCGTTGAGTATGAAGGGCAGGAACTCGGGCAGGTTGCCGACGGCGACGGAGCCCAGCGCGTAGCTCGCCGCGGACTTCACTTCTTCAGACGACGGCGTGAACGAGCTCAGGAGCACTTCCTTCAAGTTTGGTATGGAACTGAGGTCTCTGAATTGTAATAAAATGAAAAAATAATCATTGTATTGCTTAATATTATAAGATTAGATCTGAAATAATAATAAAGAATACAAAAAAAGATACTAAGATATTCGATTCCTCTTTACTATTAACATATTGAAAAGTGGTTGTGATCGCATTTTTTAAAATGAATCAAACCATTAGCATATAGCATGTCCAATAAAAAGGGTAGGCCTCTTTTATTGATTAACATTAGTAGGTACTGACTTCCTATTTTTCAAACAATAGATAGTTTCACAAATGAATTATTATTGAATTTTGATATGTTCGTCTTATTTCTAAGTAAAAGTAAAAATAACGAAACACTGCTATGTAATCTATTTTAGATACAATGAAGGCATACTGTCAAAAGGCAAATAAAATCATTAAGATCAGTGTCGTTATCGCTTTTAAGGTTTTCTAACGAATTACACATAATGACTTACATAATTTAGGCAGATGATATTCAAACACACATTTCCAAAAAAACAAATAAAAAACGTGTGTGTGTTATAACTAAACTAAATGATAGCTAACTACATCATGTCGCTTTTTGGCTGTCGGTGTGCGCGCTCATCGTAATTTTACTCTCTGAATGAGTCATAATTTATTTCCGAACGTGCCAAAAGAAGTTACACTTCAAAAAAGGTAAAAAACAAGACACATATATACACACAAATGCCTGCCGATCTCGGCGAGCGCGAGCAGCGCGAACATGTGCTGCGTGTCGGAGGGCGGGTGCGCCGCGTCGCGCAGGAAGCCGCGCGTGATGTCCAGCGCGTCCGAGCCGCCCGCCACCACCACCGCCGCCACGCACTTCGCCAGCGAGTGGTACGCCTGAGGCACGGTGACAACATTAAATTATACCGTTTTTTACTTTCTTAGATTTACGCGAATATTTGACATTTTAAATAAAACTATCTATTCGGATTACTTCGCGGATTTATTTTGATTTTTGAAGACTGCCTCTCCCGTGACCATGATTGCTGTAAAGCATTCGAAAGGCCGAGAATCAAAAATCAAACTAAACTCGTGAAATAATCCGAAAAGATAGTTTTATTTAAATTATATCGCATTTAATTTCGTATTTGTAAATGTTATGATTATTAATAAATTAATAAAAAGCACCGTAAATTTTGTACTATAACAAAAATATATTTTCAGTTGATAATTAAAAATAGCAACGGAAATCGGATAGGTCTCTTGTGATCTATACAATATTTGCAAATTTATTCGTATGTTTGTATTTAACCTTATCTAGAGGGTTCACTCACCCGCGTACAATATGCAAAAAACTAAATTTGAAGGCAAATCGCATTTACAATGGACTCATTGTAACTCAATTCTTTATTGTATATCGTTTAATAATAATACCTGTTTGATGTGATGCGGCGTGCCGGCGTGGTCGGCGGCGGCGTGCACGGGCGCCACCAGCAGCGCCAGCAGCTCGCGGCGCGAGCAGCCCGCCACGTCCGCCGCCACCAGCGCCGACAGCACGCCCACCATCGCCTTCAGCGCGCCGCCTGCACATCGCACGCACATTACAGGACCGCCGACCGCAGTTAGATATCGGTCTCGTAAAATATTTTTATACAAGTAAAAAAGTTAACACTTTCTTATATTTGTTCGAATATTTGACATTTTACGTAAAACTATTTTCTTCGATTTTTAACGATATTATTTTTCCAACCATTGGAATGTTTTACAGTAAACATGGTCATGGGAAAGATTTCGATTAAAGTCCCAAGTCATAATTATTCTCGTGTATTCTCCATTCTACGTGACATAGGCTAAGTAATCTGTGCTCAACGCGCGGGCGCGTTTTGAAGCCATTAACTGTCTTAAATTGTCATAATAATTATCACAGACGGCGTAAACTGTAAACCCACAAAATTATACGATAATTTAAAAGAAAACTGCATACTTATCTTACAATACTTTGCTAATTGTACTTTTAAACCTTTTTTTAATAATTCTAATTAGTGTATAACTACATAAGATAATAATATTCAATTTGGATTGCTATTATCATGGTTTTTACAATTTTATAAAACTTTATTAAATAATTCAATTTAGCTTGCACAAAATCCTGCTATGACTAAACTTTATCGCATATTACTTTTCAATTTTATATAAATATAATTAAAAAATATAAAAATACTTTGTACATTTGATAAGATTTTATAATTTCAATTATTATTTATTATAGACTCAGTGATATTATGCAGTATCTTTAACAATAGTAATCAGTGAATGGATCACTTGTATTGGTTATTATTTGTTTAATACATTACACCAAAAAATACAATGTAAAAATAATACAGAGCTTTATATACACATACTTCAGTAATAAGTAAAAATTCAAAATATTTTATCCAGCATTAAATTAGTACAATTTTTACTGAACGTCAAGAGTCTACTACCAGTGGTAAAGAAGAAACCTTTATTAAATTTACAATAATTCTATAAAATTCATTTCATTCCCGAGGTGTGCTAACTTCTATAAAATCATTAATTATATAACAACACTAGCATTGCCCGCGGCTTCGCCCGCGTTCAGATGACCAAAACCCAAATTCTTAGGTTTTACATACTCTTATAGTTTTTGTTTTTTTTCTCAGAAATGAGATATTTTCCCACAATAAAAAGTATCCTATATGTTCACCTGGATAACAAGCTATCACCATAGCAAATTTCATCAAAATCAGGTAGAGACACAGACATACAAACAAAAATTTTAAAAACTATAGATTCGGCCTCTGTATTGATAATAATGTTTATTTCAATAAGATTTTCCAAAAAAATATTTAACGTGCAGATTCGGCTTAGTTACAATTTTATTATATGTATAGATTTTAGCACATAAACATTCTCTAACAATATATATTTTTTAATTTAGCGATAGAAGCTTCGTGATCTCTTTCCGATATCCTGTCTATAGCGCACCAACCTTGCAGCAGCGGCGAGCGCGCGAGCGCCAGGATGTTGGGCGTGAGCGCGGCGCGCGCGTCGGGCGTGAGCGCGGCGGGGCAGCGCGCGCACGCGCCGCGCACCAGCGCCAGCGCCGTCTGCGCGCAGTGCAGGTCCGCCTCCGCCACCAGCGCCGGCACCTCCATTAGCACCTGCACACAGAATACTTTTTATTGGCGCGCTCCACATTCACGCGAGAAAGCGAGAAAAACACGAGAAACGTGAATGTGGATCCGATTCACATAATTACGAGTATGTATTTTCTTACTATTATTTTCAATATGTTCTGTTCGAGTTTAAATTTTGCTCTTTTTTTTTTATTTTATAATTTGATTTTATTTTTTATAATTTTCACATATGTATGTCATTTTTTTTGTATTGCCCTTTTATAGTGTTTTTATTTTGTAGTATTTTTTTGTTATTTTTTTTATTTTATTTAAATTAATTATCATACTCTATCTATGACATATTTGTAAGTGGAAACTGTGCTGATATGTGAATGTTTTTAGTTCGTAACAATTTTTATGGATTATTTCACTGTTTGTTTCCCTCCAATAATAAATAAAATCTTCACAGGTTCTCGCATTGTTCTCTGATTTTTGTCGGTTTTTTGGCGCGAAAAAAGAGCTAAGAAAGCAAGAACATACGCGAACTTGTATTGACTCCACACTCGAACATTCCTCAGTACCAGTAGCGAGCGACTCACCGTTTAGAACAGTTGTGCGTGGTATTTACTTGTCATACACCATCTTCTTTTTCTCCACTTATTTTTAATTTGTTTTTTATCTTTAATATAAGCGTAATTATAATATGCAAATGCGCATAGTAATGAGCTTGTCGCAGCAGTTATTTCTGCGCCCATCGTCATCGAGCGTGAGAACTGTATTGAGAACCTCGCGAGTTGCGAGTGTGTAGCCAAACAAGCTCTCGCCGAGATTGTCGCTGAGATTTTTGCCGAGATTATCGGTGAGGTTCTCGACTGAATGTAGACCGCGCTTTAGGGTTTTCCATAGCCGAAGGGCGTCAACGGAACCCTATTATTAAGCCTCCGCTGTCCGTCCGTCTGTCTGTCAGCGGACTGTATCTCATGAACCACGAACCGTAATCCTAACTGAATTTCAAAATAGACGTCATGCAAATTTTAAAAAAAACGATTAGTATAGTGTTATATCTTGTACGATGGTACAGAACCCATCGCGTGCGTGTCCGACTTGCACTTGGCAGAGTTTTTTTTTTTTTAAATACTTTACCACCCACTTGACTCTGGTCAGAGAGAAAGTTGTAAGGATGATAGGAATCGGTCATGTAGACACGTGTCGTGTGTCATTCGGGTCGATTGTTTCGTATTACATAATTGTTATAAATATAATGGATACATACATGCATTGCTGAATTGCTGATATTAATTATAAAAATAAATATAGAAATCAAAATATCATATTAATTCTAATATTTTATCTCAAAACTAACTATAATAACTACAGTTAAGTTTTATGTAACAGATTAAAAAAAAACAATTACCTTACTTAGTAGCTCTATACTAATAGCATTGCTATAGTTTTGAACAAGAGTATCCAATAACACTAATGTAGATAATTTCAAAGCTCTTTGATTCTTTCTCAGGAATGAACCGAGTATAGGGACAACATCAGACTGGAAAAAAAGAAAAAAGTTAATATAAATCAAGAAAAACAACATAAAAACCAACGTTATTTTAAAAAAACCAAACCAACATACCAATATAGGCCGCAAGTCGATATGTAGTGGTGATGCGGCAATTTTAGTAAGGGCTTTAACAGTAGTCAAGCGAGTAATTTCATTGCGTAATCTCTCCAAAAATATAGGTAGACATACTGGCAGCTCATTCTGTAACAAACATATCACCCGATTAACAGTCGGTTATGATTGAATTTAATAAAAAAATCAGATTTTATACATGTACTGAAAGAGAAAGGAGCTTTATAGCATTATCAACATTCAGATCCACAATTTTTGCTATCAAACGAGTACATATAAATAGAATACACTATATAAGAAACATAAAAATACATAAATAAACAAAAACATTCACAATATAATGCCCTAAAGTGTCACGTTTCCGTTTCTGAGATATTTTAAGGTACATTCATATTTTTCATATCTATTGTGCGCAGTACTTTAAAACAAAATGTTTAATAATAATAATATATAAATGTACTTTACCAAAATATAAAATGGCGGCAGGTTTCTAATGCCATAGAAAGCGCCCATTACATAAAAACACTATCCAAAAACATATATTATTACATATATTAACTACAATCACACACACAACACAATAACAATTATATTTAAAAAAAGCAGTCATGAGGACTGCCCACAGAAGAGAAAACTTAAAACTATAAATAAACAGTTGTTATTATTGGATATTCTAATTGTTTGATCTTAAATAAAAAAAAAAAATTAAAACTGTTTACATTTATCTAGTTTTGACATCTATCGGCACTCACTGATATACGTCACTGAACATGTCGACGGCGACTTACATGAATTTACTCCCCATCTAAACCTGCCTATAGAAGTTTTCACCTCAAAAACAATAATAATTAAATAAATATTAAAAAAACAAAGCAAACCTCTAAATAATCCCCAAAGTGGCATATAAGCTGTCCGCAGGCGGCGATGGCGCGCTCCTTCACCTCCTGGTCCATGTCGGCGGCGCGCAGGCGCACCAGCGCGCACTCGTACATCGCCGGCACGAAGCGCCGCAACTCCTCCGACGGCTCCTCCGTACCGTTCTCGATGCTCTCTGGAGTATAAGTAAATATATTGGGACATTAATACACAGCACCATCTAGTTCCATGGTAAGCTACTAGGCTTTTGTTATGAATACCAGATAGTTGATATACTACACAGATATAACTTTAAATAAATACATATTATAAATATAAACACATATGACTGGAGTACAAACATTCGTGCTCATAAAAATCTTAATCTCACAATATTTTCCAAATGTGCCAAAAGAAGTATGACTTCTAAAACTTCAGCAGACATGCTTCACACACAAACATTCAATAACTCGTTCATTCCGAATACCCTAAACAAAGTAAAGTGTACCAACCTAGCGGGCGCATGACCTTGACGAGCGTCTGCAGCACGCGCAGCGCCTCGGCCGTGACCTTGTAGAAGGGGTCGCGCACGCAGGCCAGCACGGCGGGCAGCAGCGCCGCCGCGTGCGGCCGCATGGCGCGCGCCGCGTGTCCGCGCACCAGCCACACCACGAACACCAGCGTCTCGATCTTCATTGACGACGCCGTGCCTTTGTCGCTGTCACACCAATATATATATTTTTAGGTTATTTATCTATTTATACATATAATAAAATTGTAACTAAGCCGAATCTGTACATTAAATATTTTATTGGAAAATCTTATTGAAATAGACATTATTATCGACACAGAGGCCGAATTTATAGTTTTTAGAATTTTCGTCTTAAGTTTGATTCGACTCCGTTAGAATTTTATTATAATATGTATAGATTATAGATAATAAATGGTAGTATTTTAGTAAAAGTGTGTCAAGCCAGTCAATACAGATACAAGACACATACATACAAGACAATACATAAAATATGTATATACACTGTTGAATACAATCCCAATAGTAGAGTACATACGTAAGCGCCGGCGTGAGCGTGCGTATAACCCGCGAGGCGTAGTCGGTGAGGCAGCCGGGCGCGGCCACCAGCAGCTCGCGCAGCAGCGCCAGCGCGCAGGCGCGCGCGCGCACGCTGCGCCCGCGGATCACGCGCAGGGCACCGCGCACGACACCCGGTACCTCATGGAACAATAAAATAATCATACTAATTTCACAGTCTACAAATTCATGACTATGAATTAGAATACACATCTTCGTTAGACTTCATAATAATGACCGATTCCGGCCACGGCGGCCAATCTCATCGAGACTAGACAATTGCGCAGGAGATATTATAAGTACAGCGCGTGTGCGTGCGAGAGTGAGACACCGCCAACTTCCCAACTCCGGGCTGTTACTGAGGCTTACTATACAGAAAGACTCAATAAATAAACATGCCATAGCCTAATAATTATTTTTGAATATTCGCTGAAGTCCGAGAAAGGTTTTTATGAAGAGGAAAATTAGAAAAAAATCATGCAAAAACGTAAAAATTACATTTTCTTTTTCCTTACTACTACATTATAGTTATGAACGCAACCTTAAAATTAATATAAACTACTTGAATGCATTTGTTATTATTTGACACTTTCTCTTTCTACAGTATACAATGTGACGTTGACTTTATTTGTTTGTTTGTTTGTCCTTTCTTCACGTCGAAATAAAGTGCCAGATTGTCGTGTTTTTTTGTGTGAAGATAAAGGGCTAGTGAGTGACATAGGCTACTTTATACCGCGGGAGATATTTGGGTTCTAAGGGAAAACAAGTTATATCTATTCCACGCTAACCGTTAAAACGTACCTAGAGACGAACCTGAGTGAAGCGATGGTGAGTCGCCAGTTACATAATGAAGGGCAGAAGGAGACAAGGATTGCGTTTAAAGAAGAAGTTTTAAAGAACTAAATTACATACATATAATAACAACTTAGCCCGATACAGGATAAAACCTATGAGCTCCATATCTGCTGCCGTATATGCTAGCAACTAAACCAATGAGTCATACAATATAATAATAGTTGAATAAAGTAGAATAAACTTACCCGTTGCAGCAGCAAGGCCTGCGGCTCGCCGTCGGCGGGCGCCAGCGCGTGCAGCGCGGGCGGCGGCCGCGTGGCGCGCAGCAGCGCCGTGTACGCGCTCAGGATGTCGCACTTCACGTTCTCCTCGCGCTCTGACAAATCATATAAACCAAATCAAATCATCATGACCCTGCACATTTTCCAAATTACTTGGGATCGGCGCAGTACGTCCATATCCATACTGCTTATTGATTTTGACAAAAAATTCCAACCAGCGACCCGCCTGACGTCAAAGCTCTTTGGAATTACTGTTTTTCGCCCGCCATCGAACAAGGGATTTAAGGTGCTATGTCCCTAGATATTTTAGTCGTCTTCTACGACACCTACAGGAGAAGATGGGGTAGCCCTTTTCTAAGCCGGGCTGCCCGGCTAACCAAATCAAATATAGTACATACTATCATATACCAAACAGATACTTCAAACTTAAAAACACTTTATAACACTTATGGATATATAGAGTTGTGACGGGCCCACCTATGTGGAAAACCCATTAATTATAAATAATGAAAATCAACTCACAATTGAAGAAGATATTGCATAACACAATAAGCAAATAAGAATATTTTTCATGTTTTTTACTGGAAGTATAAGAGTTCTAAAAAATAAAAATTAAAAGTCACCTTTGAATCTTGCAATTAGAGCTGGAGATACAGTTTTATACATTTCAGGCAATAATTCATGTCGAGTTGATATTACTGACTCGAGACATTTAGCTGCTGCACGCCTCACCTATAATTTTATTATCCATGTTAATTAGATATTACAATATAGAATTGTTTTTAAGTAGTGGCTACTAATCATAAAAACATATATAGCTAACCCCATCCTTACCTTCCAAGACATATCATCATCATCAGAGTATTCTTCGGAGTCAGATTCCGGATCTGCATCTGGTTCAAAAGATTCATCCTCCATCTCTTCATCTTCACCACCTCCATTCTCTTCATCATCTTCATAGTTGTAATTTGGATCATATGTGATCATTTTCAAGCATAAATCGATAATCTATAAGTACAATGTTTTTTAACATTTGCTATATTAGATTGAGATTCTTGTTTAAAGGTTATGTCTTTGAATATTACACAAATATAGCCTTATTCCATTAAGAATGAACTTTACTTATATAACAGGAATACACTTACTGTTGGGATATGGGGCTGTACTTCCTTAGGGCACTTAAGTACAAAGGCTTCTAATGCTTGCAAGCAATGCTCACGCAATTCCTCATCGGTATCAGTAGAATGCTTTAAAACTTCTGGTGCCACTCTCCACAGCTGTTCACCAAATCTATGACCAGCTTGCCGACTTAAATAAAAAGAAAGTATTTACATTATATAAAACATTTAATTAGGTTGAATAATATCTAAATATTATGGGTACTTTATTATATATTTTTTTTTATTTTAAATAAAATCTGTACAATAGCTAATCTATATGGATAAATAAAATTATAGTGCCTGTTTGTAAAACCAAAATGACAGATTTTTACGCAATACATATTAAATAATATGTATATGGTACTTATAAGTAATTGTTGTGTAAAATGTGTTAATTTTTTAATTTTTGTCTGTCTGATTGTTTCGGCTAATCTATGATATGGACTGGACTGATATTGACATGACTACAAACTATAAACAGACACTTCAATTTTATTTATCTGTATAAGTTACATAAATACCATGTAATATATTTCAAAACATATTTACAAACATAAAAAGAAACTTACCAAATAGAAGCAATGCATTGTATGTGAGTACGGCTGACACTGGATAATGTTGATGAACTCAGACCGTCTAACAGATGATCAATAAGTTTATTGTAAAGTGCTGCATTACAAGACATGACCAGATGTGATAATGCTACTATTGTGCGTTTGCGTACAGCCTATAAAAAAATATATATTATTAATAAAATGTATGTATCACAGATTATGTTTATGCAGATCATGATAATAATGATTCACTAGCATTGCCCGCGGCTCCGCGTTCAGGACCAAAACCAAATTCTTAGGTTTTATATATTAGTATACTCGTATTAGTATATTAGTTGACCATAAATATGACGGATAACCAGCTATTATCATACCAAATTTCCTCAAAATCCCTCCAGTAATTTTTCTGTGATGGGTTCACAGACAGACAGACAAATATTCTTAAAACTATAAGTTCGGCCTCTGTTAGCGATAGTAATGTGTATTTCAATAAAATTTTCCAAAAAATATTTAAAGCACCGATACTGCTTCATTAAATTTTAATGTATCTATAGATGTAATTGATTTATAAAGCCAAAAAGATTGTTTTTTGATAAGTTAAACACGGGCGGAGCCGCGGGTAATATCGTAGTAATTCTAATAAAATCATAGAAAAGTCGAATTTATACATTCAATTTTTTGGAATTAAAGCTAGGTATTTTAAAGACATGGTGACATCTATCGACAAATATCTAAATAATACAAAAATAAATATTCATTAAAATATTTTTTTTAATGAATAAAATAGTGCTGTGCTATTGGTATACTTTTTCAAGATTAGCTATTTTTAATAGTTTTTGACATACAGTAATACCCCGATTTACGCTACCCCGTTTTACGCGAATTCGGAGATACGCGGTTTCTCTTTTTGATTGCCGCGTGCATCAGCTCTCCAACTTTGCCATGTTAGTGTTCCGTTTACGACAGATTCGAACGTGTTCCGCGTGGAATTGTTTTACGTACGCTGTGCGTTTTATTGATAACCTCTAATTATGTCATCAAAAAGAACAAAAAATGAGTCATTTGAACCTAACAAGAAAAGAAAACCACTTTCTTTGGAGCATTAGCTGAATTTTATCAAAGACTTTAAAGCAAAAATAAAAATTTGTAAAATGGCAAAGAAATTTAACCTATGACCGGAATCAAGTGTCAAAACGGACTGAATGTCAACGAACATTAAAACTTAACTCCGACTTAACGACAAACTTAACGACATCAAAATATCTTCGGTTTACGTTGTTTTATTCATAACAATGAAAATTCTTCTATTGTCTAACATTTCATCAAACATGTTTCTTTTAAATTACTGTTTTCTTTAGACTCTGGTCCCGATTAAACAAACTTTATATGTATTTATACGCAAAGTTGACTTACGCGAATTCGACTTACACGGTTATCGCTCGGTCCCACCTATCGCGTAAGTCCAGGGTATTACTGTATTTGGTAAGTTAACTTGCTAAAATCTATATAGTATCATCGTTTTTATTTTAACTAGCTTTTGTATTTTTTTTCAGAAACGAGATATTTTTCTGCGGTAAAAAGTATCCTATATGTTGACCCGGATAATCAGCTATGACCATACCAAATTTCATCAAAATCCATCCAGTAGTTTTTCTGTGATGCCGTAACAGACAGACAAAAATTCTAAAAACAATAGATTCGGCCTCTGTATCGATAATAATGTCTATTACAATAAGATTTTCTAAAAAATATCTAATGTACAGATTTGACTTAGTTAGAATTTTATTGTATGTATAGATTATGTATAATACATTTGTAGATTTTTTATTATAATTAGATTGATAAAGATTTTACATTAAAACAGTTTTAAAATAATAATGTTTCATTTGAATAAACTGCCATAAGTAAATAAATTGAATCAATTACCTGACGAGGAGAAGCCAGCTGAGGAAGTAAGGAATTGAGCAACATTGGATGAAAAGAAATCAACAACCCTCCAAATCTGCTCAGCAAATCAGCCAAAATATCCAAAGCCTCTAATTGGACAGATACATCTTCTTGCTGTAAAAAAATACCACCTGAATATTCAATAACTCTAGCTGATCATTAAATGTTAGCAAAAAATGCCGATATCATGTAAGAGAATTTAGGCTGTTTCTACAATTTAATCAGTTGATCTTTGTCAATATGTAGTAATTGAAAATGCCTAATTAGATTTCGATAGGACTTTTTATTATGAAGAATTATTGATGATTTTAATCTAATATACTTTCTTCTATTCACAAAAAAAAGTTGAAATTATAATCATGTTTAAGCTACCTTTTCGATTGCACTACCTAATCTTCCAGTAATTTTCTTACAAACATTTGCAGCAAGAGTATTTGAACCTAAAGGTAGTTCTGATATAACAGTTTTTAAGCCAATGCTACTAATATCTCTTAATTGTTCTGTGTCTGAAAGCATATTTGCACAAAGTGTTTCTACAATTCCCTCCACTTGATATTCTTTAACTTTATTTACCAATGGACCAAGACTGAAACAAAAAAATAATTAAAGCAATTTCATAGATATTAGCGAAACCCATTTAATCCAAAAAGGATTTTACCATTTCACTGCTAGATTTTGAACTTCTCCATTCTTATCTTCTAGCAAACGAAGTAACATTTTCACAACTTTCCTTTCTGAATCATCATCAAGTTTTATACTATCTTTTTGTAATTCAGTCATAAGATCATTTGTGGCCATAAACCTGAAGTCTTTGTCGTTTGATGTCATCTGCAATAAAATCACCAATACGTAAGTAATGTTTTTAAAAGCACATATTTTTGTAAATATATTTTTTACTGTTCTAGAAATATTTTTTGACAATTTATTATCGAAAGCACCGGTTACCTTCTCAAGAAGATTTGCGATTTGATAGGAAACACTAGCCATTTTGAACAAATTCAAGTCTTTAAAACAATAATATTATATCTCCAACAAAGAAAAAACATGTGAGGCACTATTTTTTAAGAATAAGACGGTGAATTGTAGACATTTGAATATTTCGAAAAACAACCTATTGCCAGCGAATTAGTCGAAAAATAATGCTACCAAATCTGTCTGACGTCTGTTCAAACTTTTTTATTGTAAACGTTTACGTATCTGGTCTGCGGGGATACAGCCTAAACTAAAATACTCGTAGTACTAGTACAATCCTTGAGAATAATAAAAAATATATTTATTAAAATATTGTATAAATAGTTTAATTATAAATTCAAATATAAGTATTAAAAAATAATTATAAAATGAATTAAGCAAGAAATAATAATAGACAAGAATGACTGACTGATATAACAACGCAAGATTAGTATATGTAATAATATACTAATCTTGCGTTATTAATATATTAATAATAATTTACAATAATTGTACATTTCATTAAATGAAATTAAAATATACTAGAAAGACAAAAACGAATCTATCCCACGGGAACCGTACATTTTTCCGGGTTAAAAAGCGTATATATATATATATATATATATATATATATATATATATATATATATATATATATATATATATATATAAATATATATATATATATATGTACTATTCTAGATCGTAATCAATTTCTGAACCAAACAATGTGAGCATATTTATTTCTGTAAAGTTTTCAGTAACGGAACAAATAACTAAATTTCGTCTTCATAATCCTACAGCGTAGACGGTAATTTACAGTATTATATTACTTTGGCGTACGCCGGACTTTGGCGCACAATGCCGAAGTGTGCTAATTTTTAATTGGAACGTGAATTACTTTTCAAGTGCACCAGCAGAGGGGACTAGGTTCAGTGTTGAAACAAAAAATATAACTAACTAATATGTATATAATATATATTAATACATATCGTCGATATTATAAATTGTATAATAAACTTCTCACTACAAACTTTCATTCCCATTTTGACTCCCTAAGAGATGATTTCCGGGATAAAAACTATCCTATGTATTTCCCAGGGTCTCAAATTATCTTCTTACCAAATTTCATCTACATCGGTTCAGTAGATCCAGAGAGTACAACGTTACAAACTCACAAACTTTACCTCCTTATAATATTAGTATAGATATATAATAATATGTAACTAATTTATATATAATTATATGAATAAAATATAAACAAATATTACTAACGTTAATGTAAATAAAATTATGATCAATGCCACCTAAAAGAAAAAACACTTCTCATATTTTTGGTTATTGAGTTGGTGTCCTTGCGCGCACCACGCCAAAGCAGTACTTTTCAATTTGATTGAGCGGAGTGTTGCTGTAGTTGGAAGATCTGAAGTTAGCATTATGTTTATGCCGCATAATGTGCTTTAGTCCTCTAATTTGAAAACAGGGGTAATTATTCTAATTGAAATAAAAGCTTAAAGTTGTTTTCACAAAAACAAAATTAAAAGCGCGCTCAAATGTTCGAATGAACTCATTCGGTGAGGACATTTTTTGTCGCTGATTGTGTATCTGGTACTTTTTCGATCAATGATCGTAGTCCATAATTTTGAACATCTTATCCATAGACATAGAGAGTCTACATCTACGATTACATCGCAGTCGCTATCATGGATGACAATTAATAAAAGTCGCTATTGTCATCATACTTTGTCTGTGTCAGTCATTTTGAGTGTTTGACATTTTGAGTGATTTTTAGATTGACTTACTACTAAATGTCAGAGTACCGACAGTGACATAAGTGTTTTGACTTTTAAGTTTTGAGTCCATGATGTTTTGTTAACGTGTTTAGGTTATGAATTTTAATTTTTAAATGAAAATATGGAAATTTTTTAATGAAAAACTATAGTATTAAAAAAGGCAAAGAAATTAGTTCAAAATGGATTTATTCGTTGTAAACAGGTATGACTTAGTTAATTCTGTTAAATCTATAAAATATTATGTGAAACTCTGTGAGGATGGATGGATGGATGGATATTTGGATGGATGTTTGTTACTCTTTCACACTAGAACGGTATAACGATACGTACTGAGATAAATTATACTCTGGAATAGCACATTGGTGACTACTGCTAGTACTTTATAAATGGTTATTTCATATCTTGCATGCTAAACGGTAAAATATAAAAAAATCCTATTGCTATGCCTGAACTCTTATTATATTTCTGATTTAGTGGATATATATGTATGAACTGCTATATGGTCATTTTTAATTTTTATATATTTTGTAGATACACGGGAGAAAATGAAGAAGAAGATGTAATAAATCAGGAAACACTACATTTACAAAGACTTAAGCAAAAAATTGAAGAAAGAAAGAAAGTTTATAAGCTTAGTAAAAAAATTCCTGAAATTATAACACTTAAAGAACCTGAGCCTATAAAAAATTTAGACAACAAACTAAACAGCAGAGATGATAATAAACAGAGCTCGTTAAATAATCAGAATGATGAATTACATTCATTAGATGCAGGAACTGAATCAAATAAAAAAGATAAACTTAGTAAATCTAAGAGTGATTTTAAAATTTTGGGCACAACAGATTTTGAAAAGAAATCTAAGGTTGTTTAATATTTTGTATTATTTTATTAGTATGTACTTAGCTTTACTTTCATTGATACATTCAGGTTTTTTCATATTTATGATAATATTTATTGTGACAATCTATATAATGTTATTTTTTTATTCATGTGCGTGATTTTTTTAAATATAAATTCTAGATTGAAAGAGTTCTTCCATACTGGCTATCACATGCATACAGTATTTCCAAAAATCTTCAAAAACTTACATGTTGTGTAGAAGAACAGGAATGGCTCAGTAGTGTTCTAAAAGCTACATTAGCAAGTGAAGGTCTCACACACTTATTTCCTGTGCAAGAGCAAGTTATTCCTTTTATCATTAAAGAACATAAGCAGCCAGAACCATTTAGACCACATGATATATGTGTATCTGCACCAACAGGCAGTGGGAAAACATTGGCTTTTGTACTACCAATAGTCCAAGTAAGTTTAAATAATGTAAATACTTTTTAATAATGTGTGTTTATATTAATGATTAACTATAATATTATTAGAATGAATGGTAATCAGAACACTTATGTGTATAATTTCATTTTATAAAAACTGTTTTAATTTTTTAGGTTTTAATGAATCAACTTGGTCATCACATTAGGGCTTTAGTTGTATTACCAGTACAAGAACTAGCAGCACAAGTAGCAAAAGTGTTTAAGAAATATTGTACCAATACTGGTCTAAAAGTAGCATTATTGAGTGGATCTACACCTTTGCAAAAGGAGCAACAGCAAATAATGAGACACAGTATGTAAAGCAAATAATTCCTAGCTTACCTATCTATAAATTGGCAATATTTTCATGAAAATTTATTGATTTTATATTTTAATTGTAATGTGCTAGTCTCTCTTTATTTTTAAAATCTGGGAGTAAAATAATGTTTTTTTATTTTACAGCTGAAACCTTGGGATGGATAAGTGAAATAGATATAATTGTATGCACAGCGGGTCGCTTAGTGGAGCACTTACATAATACTGAAGGTTTCTCTTTAAAACATCTGAAATTTCTAGTTATTGATGAAGCAGATAGAATTATGGGTAATGTTCAAAATGACTGGCTCTATCACTTAGATAAACATATAAAAAGTGAAAGTCAAATCACAAGTAAAGTGCCACATCTAAATTGGAACACTATTAGTAACGGAAAATCACCAATACATAAACTATTGTTTTCTGCAACATTATCCCCTGACCCAGAATTGTTAGAGCAATGGGGCTTGTATCAGCCAAAACTATTTTCCGCAGCTCCTATAAATGATATAACAAGTAAGAATAATGTTAAAAAGTTCACAACACCAGATGAATTAGAAGAACAATATGTTACTTGTACGCCAGAAGAAAAACCTCTTATTCTATACCACTTCCTATCTGAACTAAAATGGGATAAAACATTGTGTTTCACAAACTCTGCACAGTCGGCGCATAGACTGACTGTACTGTTGGATGCATGGGGAAAAGGGAAATTTAAAGTGGCAGAATTGTCAGCAGCTTTGGACAGATCAAACAGAGAGACAGTGCTGAAAAAATTCAAACAAGCAGAAATTGATGTGTATGTATTTTTTGTGATATAAATTAACAATATTTAAATTTCACATATATTTTTTCTTGTGTGGTCCCCAGATCGAAACTGTTGTCTAATTAATAATTATAAAATTGGTAATAAATGTTATATGTCGTACAACTTAAACAAATATGACTAACACAGTAGCCACAAGAGAATTTTTTTTGCTTATAGGAACTTCTAGGAGTGCCATCAATGTTGCATAGAATAAATGTGATAGTTGTGAGCAAGTTGACAATTCTAGATCAACCTTAAGTACCCTATAGGTTTTGGGTCGAAAACCTATATGGTAGTTCCCATTGATCTTATTAATATTTGGAAAAATTCTATAAAATAAAAGAAGTTGAAAATTAAAGTGACACAGATTTCCTACAAATTTTATGGAACCCTCGGTGAGCGAGTTCGACTCGCACTTGTGCGGATTTTTTTTAATAAATAAACCCCAGATGTAAGGCGTTGTGACAATTACTCTGGCCCATATCAAACTGATGTCATAGATATTGCATAAGTATAACACATATATTTATCCTGAATTTTTTTTTGTTTCAGAATAATAAGCACTGACGCTTTGGCCAGGGGAATAGATATTCCAGATTGTAATTACGTTATCTCTTATGACCCACCTCGAAATATAAAGACGTATGTGCATAGAGTGGGGCGCACGGGACGAGCTGGGCGGAAGGGGAATGCCGTCACCATACTTCTTCACAATCAATTGCATATGTTCAAGGTAAATGCACGTGAATGACTCTTAATCGACTTTAGTTTTGAATACTTTTGACTAAAATCCTATTAATATTATAAAAGCGAAAGTTTGTAAAGACGTATGGATATCTGGATGTATAGTATAGATGTTTGTTACTTTTCACGCAAAAACTACTTAATGAATTTTAATGAAACTACAATAATATAGCTTACTAGCATTGCCCGCGGCTCCGCCCGCGTTCAGATGACCAAAAACCAAATTCTTAGGTTTTACATATTAGTATACTCGTACTTTGCAGTTTTTGTATTTTTTCTTAAAAATACACAGACCAAATCTAGTTTTTAGAATTTTTGTCTGTCTATCTGTCTGTTACCGTATCACAGAAAAACCATTGAGGGATTTTGATGAAATTTGGTATGGTGATAGCTGGTTATCCGGGTCAACATATAGGATACTTTTTACCGCGGGAAAATATCTAAACTCTGAGAAATCTATAGTAACAGTTAAAACTTAAAATGTTAGTTTGTTTATATAGTTTAAAAGATAATCAAAAATTATAATAAGTCGCAATATCCATTTTTTTATTTTACAATTAATTAAAAACAATTTTACTCTCCATATATTTTGCAGGAAATTCTGGCTTCTGCAAGTCAAAATGATATACCTCAGTTAGAAATACAACAACATGTTTTGGCGCATCTAATAGATGGATATGAAACTGCAATACATGAAACAAAGAACTCTATCAGTAACGAAATAAATTCCAAAGTTAAAAAATCAATAGAATTGAAGAGAGCAGCTAAACCAAAATCACGTAAAAGAAAACGTCAAGATAATAATGTAAATATTAACGAGAATAAACATTAATAATTTTGATACGAAAATGCTATTTTTTATTTATTTTAATTTTTAATATTGTTTAGAGACCGTACGATATTTTTTTTATGAATTAGATAGAGTAAATAAATAATTTATTTATAAATTAAATATTCAAAAAGAGCTATGGCAGCTTACAAAAGAGAGAAGTTTAGGTCCGCAATTTTGACAAAGTAAAGTAGAAAGTTATTACGAGCTTTTCATAATATTTTTCTATAACGTATTATCATTCCTAACATTTGAAAATATTTACATACAACTAACTTTATATATATATATATATATATATATATATATATATATCTAAATTTGGAGAGAAGGTTGTGATGACAAGCTGAGACAAGACTAATTCTAGAAAGGTTCCACTTGAGATATGAAATGAATTGAAATGAAATTTATTTATTTAGTATCTAATTCTTGTAAATATACAGTAAATAACAATGGCTACGATGACACCGCAAAAGTATAAACTGCGTTGCAGATATCAACGCCCGCCTCCGTACAATATTTAAACTATTTTATAAAAACTAAAAAACAATAAGATGATGTATGTGTCAGTGTGTGTGTGTATGTGTGTTTGTGAATGCAAAGTTCTTCAATAAACAATTGTCAAAAGTTTTTCAGTCTTGTCATACGTAATGGATTTAAGCCATGCTAAACATACAGATTTGCAACGATAAGATGTGAGTATATATATTCAATAATTTATTGATTTTATTGTAGAGTAAACAGCTTAGATATGAGTATTGACGTTTTGCAACCGCAGTTCTTGCAGAATTAATTAGACATATAGCGTGAGATCTGTGTTTAGTACATAATATACTAGGGTTATAAGATGACTGCCTCGATGGTGTAGTGGCTAGCATGTACGGCTGCACACCCGGAGGTCCTGGGTTCGAGTCCCGGGTCGGGCCAAGTTTAGTTATTGAGTCTTTCTGTATAGTAAGTCTCAGTAACAGCCCGAAGTTGGCGGTGTTTCACCCCCGTGCCTCGGAGAGCACGTATAGCCATCGGTCCTGCGCCTTAAATCTCACCGGTCGTGTCGAGTGGTCGTCCCATCGGAGTATGAGAGTGATAGGAATAGAGAGTGCACTTGTGTCTGCGCGTACACTTGAGCACTATAATATCTCCTGCGCAGTTTGCTAATCTCAATGAGATTGGCCGCCGTAGCCGGTATCGGCTAGGAGAACATCATCTTCGTTCCCGCTCCCGGAGGAAACCCGGAGTAGTTCCCGGAGGAAGCTCAAAGTGTTTTCGAAGAACGGTTTGTAAAACAAAAAGTTTCCTTACGGATAATACATTACTAAGAGCGTATAAATCCGCCGTGGGGAAATAGATTGGCTTATTGAACATAACTTTTAAAACTGCTCTCTGGGCCCTTTCCAGTCTCAACATTAACGTTTTAGCAGATCCACCCCAACACGTAATGCAGTATGAAATAACGGATTGACACAGAGCATAATATACTGTTTTTTGACATTGAAAATCTACCACGTTCCTTCATTTCCTGAAAATAAATATGAGCTTTATTAGTCGCAACGCTAATGAATGGATTTGCTGTCTCCATGTCATATTGCTATCAATTATGACGCCAAGATATTTAACACTGGAACTTATTTCTAACACAGTTACACTCTTTAATAGTGAGTGAACAGACGTGTGCACGAATTGATAAACAAGGTCGAGCCTGTACTAGAGTAGAGGGAGCTAAGGTAAGGTATTTTGTCTTATCCACATTAAGAGTGAGCAAATTGCAACCAAGCCAACTTATAATAGCTCTTAGCGATATTTCTGTGGAAGCCTGAGCTTCTGCCCATGTTTTACCGCTAGTACAGTGTCGTCTGTGTAGACTAAAAGTTTACTATTAGGTAGGCGCAGCTTGCAGAGCTTATTTATGTAAATAAGAAAAAGGGTAGGACCAAGAACACTTCCCTGAGGGACGCCGAAACTAACAGATTCTTCCCTACTTCTAAAGTTATCAATGCATACACACTGCTGACGTTCCTTTAGATAGCTTTTGAAAATTTTAAATGCAAAGCCTCTTACTCCAACACCTTCCAGCTTATTCAACAAAAGAGGTATGGAGACAGTATCGAAAGCTTTAGCAAGATCTAGAAAAACAGCAATCGATTTAACTTTATTATCAAAATTTTTAGTTATTTGAGCTGAAAGATTAAGAACTGCATCTTCTGTTGATTTACCACTACGGAAACCGAACTGATTTTCTGCTAAGATGTTTTTTTTTATTCAAGTACATAAGTAGCCTTTTGTTGAGAATTTTTTCAAAATTTTTAGAAAAAGCGGTAAGTAAAGATATTGGCTTAAAATTAAAGATACTGCTCCTGTCACCATTTTTGTAAATAGGTCGTACAACTGCTTTTTTAAAAGAACGTGATACTCGAAAATAGAGAAAATGTGGTCGATTCTATGTTAAAAATAGAATTGCTAATAATATTAAAAACCAAAAAGAAACCAAAACGGTATGTGATCGATGAAATGGCAGCAGAATATGGTCTTATCGTTCTCAGGACTCCTCCATATCACTAAAACTCATAGAACTTATATGGGCACAAGTAAAAGGGCATGCTGCAAGAAACAATACAAGCCACAACGAATAAAATTTTGCAATTAGACAAAAACGCTCGCACCCATGTGACGGCCGAGAACTGGGCAAGTGTGGTGGATAGAACTAAGAGAGTCATGATGTCTGATTGGGATCGTGACATTGCATTTGATAATTTATGCATACAAGAGCTAATCATTAATATTACGAAAGACTCCTTATCGGACGAATCTAGTATAAATGATGATTCTGACGACTTATATCAATAAAATGAATTAAACTATTTTAATTGTTTTATGTGTATGCCTTATACTAAGAAGGAAGCAAAAATTTATATAATCTTAATATTTTAATTTATTGGTTTCAACCTTAAATATTGTTGTCTTCCTGATTAAATTCCTTAATTACATATTAGCATTTATTTCTATCGATTATTATTTGTAATCTGTGGCACGATCGTAGTAATTGTTATGTGTGGTACATCACTAAGGGGGTGGTACCCGTCCATGAAGTACTATTTGTATGAAATTTTTAACTTAAACAATACGAAACTTCATGGGCGTGATCTGTCTCTGTGCTAAATAATTAAAATCAAGAATTATTCAGAGTTCTTAACTGAGGGTTAGGTCCTCGGCTCTATGTTTACGTTGATGCTCAACTATAACGCCGTCATAATAAAGAAGGCCCTAATTAACAATTTGGTCAAAAATAACTTGTATGTAGATTCGAAATCGGCAAAAAAATGATACTTGATAGTCTTACTCATAAGGCTCTAAGTCTTATGAATCGAAATGAAATATGAATCTTGAGATACCATAACCATTTTCATCATAAATACGTCAAAATTACTGCTAAGTACTAAGACAAAACTTCAAATACCTCGAAATATCAACTTTGATGAAGTTGCGGTATTTTATGACGGTAGTATAGATCACATACTTGTTGCTCATTTAGGATAAATAAAATAATCCTAATAAAATAATATTATCTTGAATGTAGGTAGTCTCTCAATAGGTAATAAATTAAACGCAGTGTTGGCCCTTACCCAATATGCATTATCTCTAACTGGCGACCGTTTGTCATGACTTAAGTATGTCTCTAAAATATACATAATATATTACTTCATCTATAATTATTATATTGTAGAACTAAAATTTCCCGCGGCTCCGCCCGCGTTCAGATGACCAAAAACCAAATTCTTAGGTTTTACATATTAGTATACTCTTACATTGCAGTTTTTGTATTTTTTCTCAGAAATGAGATATTTTTCCAGTGGTAAAAAGTATCCTATATGTTGACCCGGAATTCCAGCTATTATCATACCAAATTTCATCAAAATCCTTCCAGTGGTTTTTCCGTAATTCGGTGACAGACAGACAGACAAAAATTCTAAAACTATTGAACTTTTAATATGTAATTCTTTCAGTAATAAATAGCTACACATAAACTTTATTAACTTTTTTAAATACTAGGTATAAACTATAAATATAATTTTAAGTTTTAATTTTTTTTTTTTGCTAATTGTAAATAATGTTTAGCTGATGAATTGAAAATCATATTATAAAAATAAATTATTATATCATAACAAGTACTTAATACAGCTAAAATTTGCCCTTGATGTATAAAGGTATGTAATTTGGTTTAGAGTTTTAGGAGATAATGAAAAATGATTACGAAAAGTATTATGAAGAAAAATAAATGAAAACAACTTTAATTTGTGTACAGTATTTTATTTACAAAATGAGAAATTCAATATCAATATTGTATATCAATTTAAATAAAGCACTAAGATGTCTGCACTTTTATGGTTACCCGTTATGTTATTTACGTACCTACATAATCTTCAACTTTTTTTCAAGCACGTATAAAGGAGGAAAATAAATGATCGATATCTTTTCAGTGATAGTGCAAAGTACTGTAATTTGTTTCAAGTAAAACCAATAAAACCCATTTCATACACAGCTAGTTATGCCTAAGTATTTTTGTGTTTACTGGGAGCCTCTAAATAAAAACATGCAATTTTATTATCCTAAATGACGTAAAACAAAATAATCAATTAAGCCAAGTATTATTTTTTTCCCCAAAGGAATAACTTTCTCGAGTTGCAGGTTCTATAACTCTCTTAAATTAAGTATTATGAGGGGCACTCGGGGCTAGTGCCCAGGGCGGCAAAATTCGGAGGATGGGACAAAAATCTTGGCGTTATCGAAAATGTTTTTTTTTATTTTCCAAAAAATGAAAAATAAAAAGAAGACTAACTAGTAGGTACATTTTTCGAAAAATTTATATCATTTATAAATTATTAGCATTTTTTTAAAAAATAATTATTATAAAATTTAAACTTTATCGAAACTTTACCCATTTTATGCAAAATTTCGATAATAGGGCAGCATTTTTTACTATGCCCAGGGACGGCGCTAAGGTTGAATCCGGAATTGCATACATCAGAGATTAGAAATCATGTCTTGTAAGTCAATGAAAAACTCATATTTCCCTGAATGTAAAGCCCAAGACTTCTTACTTTGATAAAGTTTTAAAAGTAAATTATATTTTAAAATAGTTTAATCATTAACTATAGATGACTAGTTATGCTGTTTAGTTATAACTGTTATAGTACCCGAGTTTGGATATATGATATGATATAATAAACTATTCAATATTCATGTCATAATACTATACATACATATAATGAAAGTTACAAAAAATATAATCTTTAAATCTGCAATTTTCAGTCAGATTTTAAGGTGAGCAAAGTTTATGTATAACAACATCAATAAGCTTAAAAATTTACATAATAAACCATATCGCTTATTCTTGTTTACTAGCACTACTAATAAAATATACATATTTTGGAGTTGCAGTTTATAAATATATAAAATATAAAAATATTAAATATATAGTTAGTTAAATGCAATCATTACATGTATATTTAAAATTAAATATCACAATGCTTAAACATTATGATTAAAAATTACAAAAATAAGTATGTATTTAATTTTTTATGTACAAGCTCTTGACAGAGGCAAGAGTATTCAATTAGTTCATATTTGGTGGGATGTATCTTTGTTTATATAACCTTCATATCTACATAAGTAAATAGATCAAAATTTAATAAGATCATCACTTGTATTGTCTTTTAAGGAGTTGTTACTAGAGTTAACAATATTCTTAAGATCTCCATTACTATCATTAGGCCTAGGTGATATTTTTCTTTTAGGAGGCACTGGTGTTGCATCCATAATACCCAATTGTCCTAAATTTTTTCCTTCATTTGTAAATGCTCTAAGATCATTACTAAGTTCAGCATGCCTAGATCCTGGTGATAGTTTCTTTCTAACAGGAGGACTTGGTGCAGCTCTAGAGAACTGTGGCCGGTTATCAAATATAGAAATGTCTATTGGATTTAAACTTGCAGTCAAGATTGCAGATGTTTTACTTTTTTCTAATGTATAACTTGGGCTTTCAAGCTTAGTTTCTCTCTTTTCAGAGTAATCATTGATATAAAATGTTGTTTTATTACAGTATTCAGCTTGTAGATTTTTATATGCTTGTACATCAGATTTACTTCTTTCCAGTGTAAAAGCACTATTAGTATGTAAGTGGCAACTAAATGAAGAAGTATTTGATGTACAAGCTGGAACTGTTGAGAAAGGCACAGCTGGGGCCCATAAACAGGCTCCATCATTTCTTGGCACCAATAATAGAGGATCCTATAAACAAAAAGCTATTGATGTAATTTATACTATACAGAAATTTAATTATTTCAAATGTTTACATGTTTACAAAAAAGAAATATCTACTACCTTTCCAGTGATTGAATATATTTTAGATTGCAATGTATGTAGTTGACTTCGTAAATACTCATAAGAACATTGGCGAAGTCTCATAACCCATTGTACTACATTATCTTCACTACGTGCAGCAAAAATATGCCTTTTTTCAGGTTCATCTCTGTGAAAATTTTTATTTTTTATTTTACATAGACAAATAAAACTATAAACGGCACAAATTCAGAATTGGGGACTTGGCCCCTAGCGGAGTGGGTGGTATTTCTGGATAAGGGACGTGATAGGGAGTCGAAATGTTAAATAAAAATTGTCCGCGAACGTATGAGTAAAAAGTTATTGAGACTTAAAGTTACAACATTTCCATACATTTTCATATATTTCTTTACCACCATTCGGAGTGGGTGGTATTTTTAGATAGGGGAGGTGACAGAGAGTCAAAATATATTAAAAATATTTGGAGGAAACGTACGAGTAAAAAGTTATTGAGACTTAAAGTTATAACATATCTAACACATTTCCATACATTTCTTTACCTAAATAAGTGATTACAACAGATAAACATACCTTTAACGAATAGTACGCATCCTTTTTTATGTACATTACACATTTTCACAACAATTAATGCTTTATTGTATTTAATATTTTAATAATTTCACAACACAAACAATATGATCTTACATTTTGACAAAAGCAAAACTGACACTTTGTTTTATATTACCGCTTAAATGACAACAGATTATATTTGATTATTTTTGCTTTTTCTGTTGGTAAAATATTAATATTAATAAATAAATAAATAAAAAGAAAAATATTATTTTCATTTCATAAATACATTTATGATTTTTTATCTGATTTATGTAAAATATATTGTTTTACAATTGTACATTTAGTAAAAAAAAAACATTTTTTTATCTGTGAATATTTTTCAGTATTATTGGCGGGTGTTCTTAAAATACCGCGAAGTTTCATAATTTGTGACTCTGTACTCTGTGTATTTTCCATTAGTTATTAGTTTTTGTTAATTTTTATATACTTTCGTTTCTTGTTTTTGTTTTAATATTATTTTTATAGTTTTAAGTGTTCATAGTGTTAGTGTAAACAATTTATAAACGTGAGTAGACTATTTTTAAAATCTAAATGTATTATTTACTTTTGGTTTTTATTTTGCGACATCGTGGTTAGTTTAAGACATAGGTTATTTATTTATTATTCGTCATATCTTGGTTAGGTTAGGTTAGAACATTTAAGATTATTTATTTATTATTCCTCATATCTGGGTTAGGTTAGGTTAGAACATTTAAGATTATTTATTTATTTATTATTCCTCATATCTGGGTTAGGTTAGGTTAGAACATTTAAGATTATTTATTTATTATTCCTCATATCTTGGTTAGGTTAGGTTGCCACAACGTGGTTCATGGTTCATGGCTGGCGAGTGCTGGATGATGTGGAGACCTTGTCGGACCATCTCTACATCCGATACGAGATCTCCACGCATCCGGCGGTGCCGCCAAGTCCTAACCGAACCCTGTGGGAGGACGGTCCGAGGTGGCAACTAAAGCGCCTCAACCCAGAGGTGCTTAAAGAGGCGGCGACTGTAGCCTCTTGGCTGCCTCATCAGGTAACATCCGCGGAACAGACTGCAAAGCGCATCGAAGAGCTGGCGAAGCGTATATGCGACGCGTCCATGCCTCGGTCCAGGGGTCGCCCTCCAAGGCGGCAAGTGTGGTGGTGGACCGGGGAAATCTCGCAACTGCGTGAGGACTGTGTTGCAGCCAGGCGCCTCTATTCGCACTGCCGCAGGAGGGTACACCGCGATCGGGAAGAGGAGGACCGCCGGTATGCCAGTTATGTAGAGGCGAAGTCGCGCCTACAAGCCCAGATAGCCAGGTCCATAACTGAAGGTAGGGCGGAAATGTTGGAGGGGCTCAATCAAGATCCCTGGGGCACACCATATAGGATGGTTATGAACAAGCTTCGCCCCTGGGCCCCTCCAATCACAGAGACGCTGGACAGGGAAGTGCTGCATGCTGTGATGGAGAGTCTTTTTCCGCATCGACCCAACTTTGTGCCGCCGCAGATGGCCTCGCGAACGGTGGCTGATGACGAAGACGACGTAGGATCGGAGAGCATACCGGAGGTTGACGAAGGGGAGTTGGCAGCTGCGATTGTGCGCCTACGTGGAAAGTCCGTTGCCCCGGGACCGGATGGAGTGCCCGGTCGAGCGTTGGCTCTTATGTTGGACGCTTTAGGGCCTTGTGTGAGGGGACTATTCACTGCCTGTCTGGCTCAAGCCACAATTCCACAGAGGTGGAAGACAGGCAGGCTAGTCCTCCTCAGAAAGGAAGGGCGTCCGGCGGAGTCTCCTTCCGCCTACCGCCCCATCGTGCTGCTGAACGAGCTCGCCAAGCTGTTTGAGCGTATTGTGGTGGAGCGCTTAACCAAGCATATGGTGGAGGTTGGGCCGGACCTATCGGACACGCAGTTCGGCTTCCGCGGTGGTCGCTCAACCGTGGATGCCATTCTGCGGGTCAAGTCCTGCGCGCAGGATGCGGTCTCCCAGGGTGATGTAGTATTTGCGGTGTCCTTGGACATCGCAAACGCATTCAACTCCTTGCCCTGGGCTTGCATCAGGGAGGCGCTCCGCCATCACGGGGTGCCGACCTACCTGCGTCGCATTATTGGGGCTTACCTCTCCGATAGGTCTGTGGTCTTCCCTGAGCGGGACGGCTGGGGGAGACGAGAAGTGTCATGCGGTGTTCCACAGGGCTCGGTTCTCGGGCCGCTCCTGTGGAACATCGGCTACGACTGGGTCCTTAGGGGAACCATGCTCAGAGGCATTAGCGTAGTGTGCTACGCAGACGACACCCTGGTCCTAGCGCGAGCGAAGAATTACAGGGATGCGGCGACACTAGCGACGGCGGGAGTGGCCCACATTGTTGGCAGAATTCGGATGTTGGGGTTGGAGGTTGCTCTAGGGAAATCGGAAGCGCTTTGCTTCCATGGCCCTCGAAGAGCACCTACACCAGGAACCCACATTACGGTCGGTGGAGTCCAAATCGGCTTGTCGGGTACGATGAAGTACCTAGGACTCGTACTCGACAGCCGGTGGAGTTTTCGGGCGCATTTTAAGACCCTTGCGCCAAAACTAACGAGGACGGCGAACGCACTTAGCAGGTTGTTGCCAAATGTCAGCGGGCCAGATTGTTCCAGCAGGCGCCTCTATCTTGGTGTCTTGCGTTCGATGGCACTTTACGGCGCTCCGGTATGGGCAGACGCCCTATGCCGCGAAAATGTGGCGGCTCTGCGGCAGTCGCAGAGGATCATGGCAACGAGGGTCGTGCGAGGCTACCGGACCATCTCAGGCGATGTGGCGTGCGTGCTGGCTGGAGTGTTACCCTGGGACCTGGATGCGCTTTCCTTGGCGTCGACTTACCACCGGCGTCGAGGCCATGCGTCCAGGGACCTGAGCCCAGCGTCGCACGAAAGAGAAGAGCGGGATGCCGCACTCGAGGGGTGGATCGCTAGATTGGAGAACCCCTCGGCTGGTCGAAGGACACTCGACGCAGTTCGCCCCGTCCTCAGGCAGTGGTTGGCGAGACGTCACGGCGTCCTCACTTTTCGGCTGACGCAGGTCCTCACGGGGCACGGGTGCTTCGGCGGATACCTGTGCCGCGTCGCCGGAAGAGAGCCGGATTCACGCTGCCACCACTGCCACGGCTGCGTCGACGAGTCCGCCCAGCATGTGCTGGAAGAGTGCCCAGCTTGGGAGTCGGAGCGAGAGGAGCTCCGCAGTGTTGTGGGGGCTGACCTGACGTTGCCGGCAGTGGTTTCCGCCATGGTCGGTAGCGAAAGGTCATGGGCAGCCGTCCTATCCTTCTGCGAGGACGTGATGTCGCGGAAAGAGGCGGCGGAGAGAGAAAGGGAGGCGACTTCTGATCTCGCCATCCGCCGCAGAAGGAACGGGCGCCGGAGAGCGGCCTACGATCGCCGCCTCCCCCCCTAACACCGGCCAGAGGGCGGTAGACTTGGGGAAGTCTGCCGCCTACACACCTGGCCCGAGTAGGCGCGCGCGGTGTCCTCCGCGCGCTACTCCAGACGGCGTCGTTGAGGGTATCACCCTCCGACACAGAGACGTGCCGTAGGGCAAGCGCCGTCGGGGTTCGCGGATGATTCTCTAGTTCCCGTGGCCCCGACCTGGAGGCGAATGAGGAGGACATAGTCAGGTTTTAGTGGGTAGGCTGCCGCGCGTTTACCACCTTTTGCGCGGCAGGAGCCCCACATAACCCGTCGTTCTTCCCCAGGCGGCGGGTACCCGGCAACAGGGTTTCCTGACTTAAAAAAAAAAAAAAAAAAAAAAAAAAAAAAAAAAAAAAAAAAAAAAAAAAAAAAAAAAAGGTTGCCACAACGCACGAGCCGAGCGAGCGAAGCGAGCGTGCCGCGGTAGCGGCCGGCGAGTGCCATAAATGACTAGAAAACTAGAAAATTCGAATTTCACGCAAAGTACAAATAAAGACAATCATCTGGAGATCATTTTGACAATTGAAAGTGACGTTTTGACTCCAAGTGTCTAAATGGTAGTAATGTCAAAATAATGTATGGAAATGTTGTAACTTTAAGTCTCAATAACTTTTTACTCATACGTTCGCGGACAATTTTTATTTAACATTTCGACTCCCTATCACGTCCCTTATCCAGAAATACCACCCACTCCGCTAGGGGCCAAGTCCCCAATTCTAAACGGCCGCCCTATAAACATAGTAAATTGCTTGACATACACTACAGAAGACAACTAAATATTACTTACATAAAAGATAAGGAAAATGAGAAAGATATGCTTTGATCATGTTCCATTTGTATCGAGGAGTTTTCCATTACAAACATTCCAGCTGGATTTTTGGTATCAAACTTTCCCATTTCACTGATTTTAAAATAAAATAAATAGTTGTTAATAAGTCGAAACCATCTTTCTTTGAAAACTGTAAATTAATGTTAAAGTTTCTCATGAGTTATGAATATAACATGTTTAGTTTTAGCGAATAAAAATAAATGTTATTACAATTACCTGCTTGATTGCGATAGCTTCCATTTGATATTTTCTTATAATTTAGTCTTCCTTCAAACACGCAAGGTTTGTCGCTCAAAAGAGCAAGTTCTCGAATATTGCATTTCATTGGACCGTCTATAGATGTGTCTTACCACTTAATGAATATGCACATTTCATACAGGAAATTTAATAATTGACTAAGATCATTGTCTTATATTCATAGCCTTATAACAATACACAAAAACATTCTTGCCTTTTCTGAACAATATCATGGTAAGAAGATTATATATTTATTTTATTAATCAAGTCAATAGCTAGGTGCTAGGTAGTCGATAAATACAATCTTGTAGTTGTAGGGTTCTAAATTCTAATTATAATTATTTTATCCTTGAATCGGGTTCTTTTCAACTGTTGGGCGATGTCAAAACCTACGTCAGCCAATGCGTCAAAATTACATAGAATAAGAACGTTAAGTGTTATTATATAAAAAAATCATGTATTATTTATTTTTGTTAATTTTGCAGCACTAAAGGAAAACATTAAATTGGTTTTCCCCGTTATACTTATGTAGTAGAGTCATTAGGTAGTTTTACCTGTAATTTCTACTTTGTCACAATGGAGGGTAGAGATAAGGAGAACAGTCTTATATCGGAAACAAGTTGAAAAAGTGTCCAGTGGTGATCAGCAAATTGGAATTTAGAAACTCACCGATATAGCGCTAACGTAGCAAGTAGAAGTGATATGAAATTAGCAGTTTTAAACGGAGTAAAGTGTGCTTGATTTAAAAATTGAATATCAATGCTTACCAGTGTACTTAATAAAACTGCAATACAAAAAACCTCAACTATTTACGTAGTCCAAAATAATTTTGTAAATATAACCTGTAAAAATGCTTTGAGATAAAACGTAGAGTTTTAATTTTTATACTCTTTTGATAATATTATTATTTCGTAGTTTTATAATTTCTTCTGTAGTAAATAAAAAAAAAACAAAAATGGTGAATGTTTAAAGTTATCCAACTGGGCGAAAATTAAATTTTATAATGCTAATGAGAATCTGCGACCGCTGGCACAGTAACACTACAAACTGAGCCATAAGTGTCGTCGAAAAATAGGCAGTCATGGTGACTGTCGACAGAAGGGAAAACTTTTAACTTTAGAATAATTTTTAAAAATAAATTTCAATTTTTGAATTAATTGTAGAATAATTAAACTTTCATAATTTGTAAATTGTAATTATTATTAGTCTTGTTTTCAAATCTATTCGCACTCCGACCAATAATTATATACATTTTCATATAGTTTATTTATTAATCAAAACAAATGAATCTGCACGTCGTCACCCATAAGTTTTGCCCCTACTAAAAATCGCTCAACGCAGCTAAAAAGTTTTCACTTCAAAAATAAATTCAGGCCACATGAAAGATATTAATAAAAAAGAATTTCATATAATTACTCATTTATTTTTAACTTTTAGTACAAAATAAAACTAGTACACAGGGATACATCTCAAACCTAGCATTTGCAATGTTGAAAATCCGAGGCTTACGACAATAAGTCTTCTCATTTGTACTATTTTAGACACTAACGTCACACTGATTAGCTCATTTCCCCATTTAAAAAAATAAAAGTTAGTCAAAACTGAATAATGTAATCACTCCTGGAGACAATCTTGAAACGCTCGTTTGAATGCCAATATACACTACATAACTACTGGTACATTAGAACCGATTTATAAGCTAACTTATTTTACAAATACACAATTTTGAGGTTTGGAGCGGCATTGGTGAGTTTTCAGGCACAATCAAACCAGTGCACCCCAATGCTTAGAATACACATAACGACTTATAACATTCATACAATAAATGATGTCAGTGCGTATAAAACATATTTCATTTTAGGCCTTTAATGAAAATGGTATCTAAGCACATAATATAACAAAATTAAGTCGCATATGTATTATAAACATTATTATTTCTTAAAAATCTCATTCACTGAACGCAATTTGAACGGTCTTAATTATTACCATTGCTCATGTATTTTTTATTATTTTACACTATTATTTAATCGTATCAATATAATTTTGACAAATTCTTACTTACAATGTAATAGTGCACCAAACGGATATGGACATTTAGTTAAATAAAGAATAAAAATTTTCACAACATGCAAACAAAAACATTTTTTAATATTACATTAATTAAATTCTAGCGTTTTATCTACAATTCACCTGTTTAATGAACGTGAGTAGCCTAGCAATGCCCATACCCTACCTAACTCTTCAAATTAATACAAATAAAATATCAATGTGAAATAGCCAAATAAATTTAATTACTAATTAGGTCAAACATTGGAAAACAATCTTGTAAAAAGATATTTGAGATAGGAACAAGTAAATGAATTTTGAAAGAATGGGCACCAAAAATAACTTGTCCAACGAACATAGTACAAAATGTTTCATGATTTCATTAATAAGTACTTCTCCACTAAAATTTTACAATATAAATGTGAAATCAAATATTGTATAATAAAATTAATATAAAATTAATTATTAAACAATTCATTCTACAGACGATATCAATATTTGTAAAGCCTTATTGCTAAAAGGCGGAAAATCTTCGTGAGCGATATATATGTAAATTAATTGTTCAAATTGTATTATTTCGTGTAAACCTTACATACAGAAATATCCGTATAGCGTCGGTGAATTTAAAACTACGGAAACCTTGAAAGTACGTAGACCCTGTTCTAGCAATGACTACCTAAAGTTCAATAGTGGCTCGCATGCATGCTATCGCTAATATCATTACACAGTATTATTAGTAAGGCATTTTTTGATTGGTTTGTTATGCAGCACTTCTGCATGTTGTTACTACAAGTGTGCCTTGTAGCGTTAAATTAATACGTACTTATACGTAACTATTAATATTGCTATTTTTCCAGCAAAAAATGTATAAAATGGTGAGTCTTATAACGTTTTACAATAATTTATGCATGCCAACCACAATTTTACACACTGATCCACTTAAAGCTCGTACTAGGAATATAAATCTGTTGGCTCGATACATGGCAGTGAGGAGTAATATGTATATCAATATAACATACTAAAGATTAGAAAATCACATGCAGGACATCGACCATTGTCTCTGCATAGTTTGGATGAATTAAAAAAAATCTGAAATAGAAGAATATTAGACCCTTAGAAATATAAAGTAATATAAATTAATAATGATACATTTCACCAGGAAACAATAAATATATTTTTTTATTTGACCTACATGAATAATGATGTATATTTGTAGATTCCTTCCGAGCTTTAACTGTATCAATTTTACTTATAACACATATGGCTAGTGTAGTGCTATCTTAAACATATATCATTCCTTTTAAGTTCATACAAACAGTTAGTATCCTTGTGAAACTCAGTTTATTGTAATGCTTAGAAAAATGGCGACAATATTTCAATAATATTATGTACAAGCATTACTTTTGGCACAAAATATAAATTAAATATTTGATTATCGTTGCATTTCAGACTATATATTGATATATTTTTGTCATATGCAAATGTAATTAAAAAATACCAATTTATATCTTATTGAATGAAGGCACAATATAGTTAAATCTGTAGAGATTCAACTATTTAGATAAAAAATAATATACTGAGTTTTCTAGCATTATGTAAGCAGTAAAGTTGCTTTTTTTTACAGATTTAACTAAATCAAGGCTCCATAGACTGATAACGAATAATATGTACTGATGATGTCGGTTTAGTTTTTTAAATTGTTAAATTAATTTTTTTTTACATTTTTGCATATTATACTATATCATAGTACATAATATCCACTGTCCGCTCCATAGCTTTTATTGTAAAGATGAATATAAGTCATTTTTATATATTTCATCAATTTACTTTACAAAAAGTAGCCAAATTGTATCGAGGATTAGGTTTTTTATTTCTACCTTTGCTTGTTTACATATCACATAATTACGTAAACTTGTATATTACATAATATATCTAATCATCGCGATTTCTATACAATAGTATTGATGAGTAGTAATTGTTAAAGTTGTATTATTAAAGAATGTACCATTAAGGCAGCGGTTACATCTTTGTGGTGAAAATTTTAGATTAAATTATATATGTATCGATCGATAATTGAATCGATCCAAATTTTGACCATCATTTTACTAGCATGTTACATAATAATTTATATATACAAATTATTTAATCACACACGCCATCAGCAATAAGATTTCTCATAGAAATGATTGACATTATTCAGGCTGAGCTTTCCATAAAACATCAAAAACGAAACACAAAAACAACAAACATCCATCGAACGACCGATGCTAGAACGAATTGCTGCATAGTTACCGAATCATGTATTTCGAACACTAACACCTAAATGAACACATGAAATACAAATCCGTCGCGGCGCGATAGACGATCGGGCGTCCTCCGGAACGGCGACATAAACCTAATATTAAATAATTACAATTCTTAAAAATAAAATAAACTCAGTAATATACATAATTACATTATATATTCGAAAATTTTTTTTAACAAAAATCGATAGTCAACATTCGAGAGGAGGTGAAGTGGCTCCCTCGAGCGGCAGTGTTCAGCAGCGCCGGTGCGAGAAGTGGCAGACTTCGCAGCGCTAGGTGCGCGGCCGTCACATCGGCGGCCGCTCCCAGTCCACGGCGGCGGGCGGCGGCGCGCCGCTCCACGCGCCCCAGCGCTCGCGCCGGAAGAAGCGCTTCTTGAAGTGGTGCGGCGCCTGCGACTGCGCCTGTGGCGACGGCGACCGCGCCGCGCCCGCGCCCGCGCCCGCGCCGCCCGCGCCCGCGCCCGGCGCCGCGCCCTCGGCCGGCCCGCCGTGCCCGATGCCCGAGTCCGGCGACGTGTTGCACGCCTCGTCGGAGCGACGCCGCTTATCTTCCATGGCCGTAGACGCAAACGATATTATCTGGTCGAAACGAAACGCTATCCGGTCCTGCCACTTGCTCTCTTCGACCTCTTCGCCGCCCTCGCCTTCTGAAACGGCCGAGATGTGTATTAGTAAAAGTGAATTCATAATTGTTAGTAACTTTAATATTCGCATTTTTAAATATAAAGAATTAAACATTATTAGGATTATTCCAGTCAAACCGTTAGTTAACGTTAAGACACAAATATCAATTATATTATACATAATTAGCGGCTCACCCCTCGCTTCGCTCGGGTTCACCTCTAGGAACCAAATCAAACCTATCCCACGGGAACCGTACATTTTTCCCAGATAAAAAGTAGTCTGTTGTTGTTATTCAGACTGTAATCTATCTCAATGCGGAATTTCATCCAGATCCGTTCAGCCGTTCCGGCGTGAAAGAGTAATAAACATCCACACATACTCGCACACTTTCACATTTATAATATTTATACAAATTGAGTTTTGTAACAATGAATACGTAATGTGTACGTAGTGACATTACCTTGACGCGCGGCGTCGGGCAGCTCGTCCACGAGCGGCGTGGAGGTGTTGGAGTGCGGGTCGGCGGGCGGCGTGCGGCGGCGCGCGTCGTCGGCGTCGCCGGCGGCCGGCGCGCGCCCGCGCCAGTACTCCGACGCGAGCACGCGCGCCTGCAGGCACGCCGCTAAACCTAACGTTTTTAACACACTGTCTTAAGGGGATGTTCCGGATAGTCTGTTAAGCAATTAGCAGATTTTTATGTATCTTTGACTTACACTACATAATAGTCACGTACAAATTAATAATAAGCTTTAGCTTTCCCTACTTTATTCGATATTACAATACCGTTGTTATATATTATTCTTAGAGGCTATTCACTATTAATATTTTATCATACTAATATAAAATTCCGTACAACCTATACATATAATAAATCGAGCAAAAAATCACCTCTGTTGTATGGGAGCCCCGTTAAATATTTTATTGTTTTTTTTTAGTATTTGTTATTATAGCGGCAACAGAAATACATCATCTGTGAAAATTTCAATTGTCTAACTATAACAGTTCATGAGATACAACCTGGTGACAGACGGATGGACACACAGACAGACTGACGGACGGATAGCGGATTCTTAGTTATAGGGTCCCGTTTTACCCTTTGTGTATGGACACAGAACCCTAAAAAACGGCAATTAAAAACATAAAACACATATATCCGTACCTTCTAGCGGCTGATGCGAGGAGACGGACGAGACGGCGGAGACCGTAGAGACGGGGTCGTGGTAGCGCGCGCTCATGTTGACGGTCGCGTTGATGATACTCTGGTTGGATATCTCGAGAGTGCGCTCGATCTCGCCGTTGACGAGGTCGCCGATGGTGCGCGCGCCGGGCGCCGCCAGCCGCTCCTGCGACAGGTGACGACGCAGCGCCAGCTTCGCCGGTGACACCTGATGTACGGAACATATACGTTAATAATCGTAGTTTTAGAAAATTAAAAAACACGCTTTTGACGGAATGAAATATGAGACTTAATCAATACGAGCTCGAACTCGAGGGTATATACAATAGGGTAAATGGCCACTGAAGAGTTCCACCATCCAGATCATGGCTCCATCAACAGATCAGCTCCAAGATACCTAATTATTGTATTGTCATCCAAACTACATATGCATACAAAAAATTATTTCGTTACGACAATAAGAGTTGGATTAAAATTGACTTCCACGTTTTAATTACATTTTCAATTACAAGTGAAGCTAATAAAGCGTGTTAATGAGATATGTAATAATTAATTATTAAATAAATAAGTACACCGACTTCAAAGTGGCATCAAAGTTGTATAATTTCAGCCATTTAACATCCTACTGCTGGACACGACTTCCTTCATTGTGGGCTGATCAGGCCCATAATCCACTAAACTGGCCAAGTACAGGTTGGCAAACTTTACATTTCCTTCAAAAACTTGCTAGGTCCTCGTAGATATGCACTTTTTCTTGTTTCCTTTACCTTATTAGCAAGTTATTATTGTGATGAAAATGATTTGCACATGAGAATATCAAAGGTGCGAGAATTGGGATTTATCTATTATTTCATTTAAATGTAGGCTGTTAACACGTAAAGGTACAAATGAGATATATACATAAGTATTGTACCACTTTTTAGTTAGCCTAATGCTACACAAATAATGTTTGATTAAATTAGCTAAATTAAACTCAAAATCAGTCAAGATTTTGACCTGCGTATAGTCAGGTTGTGCGACGTGATGGTGACGCAGGTCGGAGACGCGCGGCTCAGGGTGTACGTGCGGCCGGCCCTCGCGCCGGTCGTATCCGAAGCGATCCCGTCGCACGTCCCGCATTTCCCGCACATCGCGCATCTCCCGGACGTCCCGCATGTCCCGCGGGTCGCGTACGTCCCGCACGTCCCGCGCTCGGGCGTACGGGGAGCCCGCGGACGGAGTCGCCATCGCGGGACGCTGTGGGTACGCGCCGTGAGGAGGACCCGGCACCGGCACGGGCAAAGGTCCCGGTCGCACGTACCCATTGTTGTATGGATGACTTGGTATTTGTGGTCTTGGCTATAAAAAAAAAACATAAATAATTACAATCACAACAATTATTTCCTTTTGTTTATATAAGATTAGAATTGATAAATCTATATTATTAATAGAAAACCTGAAAATTCAAACAAATGTCACCTCGAGCCTCGACGCTTTCCTTTGCTCCTGGTCCTCGTTGAGCACCGACGTGATTATACTCTTGAGCCTGTCCTCGAAGTTGATGACTTTGGGCGACTCCTGCACCTTGCCGACCACGTTCAGAGGCTTCTGCGACTTGACGGGCGACTGGCGCGCCAGCGGCGGCTGCGCGCTGCGCGACGCGTGCACCTGCGCGCGGTGCACGGGGACTGCTTTTGATTGTCTTTAAATCATAAATGTTATGTTATAGAGAAACAATTTTACATGAAAATGTTTTGTAAAATTTAAATTATTTCTTGAAATTTGCTGTGTGTTTACATATGTATGCAAGTAAGAAGTTATACTTCTTTGGCGTAACAGAACAAAAATAGCTAAAGATTTCATCTCGTATGTCACAACTCTCTGTTTGTAAAAGGAATGATAAATTTTAATACAAATAATTAAATAACGCATATTAGGCATATCACAATCATATATTTATAGAATATAATTTAAGGAAAGAAAGTAATATTATATGTAATTTGTCAGACAATAACAACGGTTACCATGGCAACAAACGTCGTCGCCTCGCCCGATCACACTTTTCGTAACGCTCTTGTCACGCATTCACCAGCTTACTCCTCAAGTCAAGCGTGCGTAAAGAAGTTTTACTTCAATAAATGAATTAACATTAAGTATAAACAATGAGCACAAGTACCTGTGATCCATATGCCGGTCGGGGTCCCTGGTGTACCCGTTGACGATAACGTTCGGCTTAGTTATCTTGCCGGCCTCTATCTGCCGGCCGGTCTCTAGTATCTTTTGCGCGAGCAACTCGGGGTTCTGCTCCTCTATCTTGCCGACGTCGGGCACGTCGGGCCAGTCCTGCGAGCGGGAGCGGTGCTCGCGGGCCTTGCGCGGCTTGGAGTTGACCGTGTGCGGCTTGACCGTGGCCACGGGCACCGACGGCGCCGGCGGCTTCTGCTCGCTGGCGCGCTCCATCTGCACTATCTCGTTCTGCAGGTGCCCCACTTGCGCGTGCAGCCGCTTCCTGTGCGCGAGGGTCGCCGATATCTCTTTGAGTATACAGTCGTGCGCTATGTTCTGGGTGATCTCTACGTCCGGCGGTATGTGACCCATCTGTCTGTATTTCTCTGTTATCTCAAAAGTTCTCTGCTTCACCAGTATCGCCTGGTCGGCCTCTATACTGTTTACCTGAAAAATAGAATTTCATAAGCACAACATCTATCGGCCAAGAATCACATTCAAATATTCATAAATAGATTACCTGGGCCTGAAGTTTGCTAGCCTTGCTCTGGAGCTCCTTATGGCGACCGACGATTTCCTTTGCCTTGGCGAGGAGGTCGACTGTATTGTTGGCGTGGATCCCGAGCTCACTCATACGCGCCTTTAATAAAGCTACGCTATCACTTATAAGCACGTTGATTTGTTTGTCCAACTGTGAAGCGCGCGACTTTAACTTCTGATTTCGTTCCTAAATAAATAAAAAAACATTTAGCAATATTGTAATTATTTGTTTCCATATTTTCATTAACTGTTATAGTATATACTACATAATATCGCACTACTATTATAATTACGTATGTTTGTGTTCTGTGTTTATATCACAATAGCTTAGGCAAGGTCGAAGTGATACTTATAGTTGCATCAAGAAAATAAAAATAAATGTTTATGTTTATGTGTATATGTACACCACCTTTACGATGAATCAGCTGAACGGATTTAGATTAAATTTACTATACAGATAAGACTATAACTAGAATAACAATACAGACATAAACGTGAACAGTTAGATGAATACCTTTTCCTTGTCAATCTGGTTGCGCACATCGGCAGCGTACTCGGGCGTGTTCATGCGGCGGATGAAGGCTAGGTACTGGTCGCGGAACATGTCGAGCAGCAGCTGCAGCGCGTAGGGCGCGTGCGGCGCGCGCGGGATGTCCAGCTCCGAGTGCAGGCGCTCGGCCGGCTGCAGCGCCACGCCCAGCGCCGACAGCCGCTGCTCCACGCAGCCCGGCGGCGGCGCCGTCACCTGCGACCGGCGCACACTTTATGTGGATAACTGTGTCGAATACGGACTATCTTTTCCAATTTTTTTGGCGGATATTTTTTTTAATATAGTGACTTGCTGTTTTAAGCATTCGAAACGTCGCGAACGCATGGACATAAAATATTTATGGGCATAACTGTGTCGAATACTGTTACTTTCTCGATTTTTTTGACAGATTTGTTTTTTTTTTATTATAGTGACTTGCTGTGAAGCATTCGAAACGTCAGGAACGTAAAATGACGATAAAATCAGCAAAAAATCCGAAATGATACGTTTTATTGCAAATGTCAAATATGTATTTATCCTGAACCTTTTTACGTTTTATTTATAGGATAATAAGCTCAATTCTTGTTAGCTAAGGCCTTCTCTAACTCGTCTCATTGTTTGTTGTTCCTAGTAAACAACAAGCAGGCACATAAATTTATAATACTACTAGATTTTCAAAATACAAACTTATGAGTGAATTATATGTTCAGTAAATTAGAACAATAATTTTGATATGACAACATTTACTTTATGTTATGTAATTGTATGAAAGGAAAGGAATAGGAAATGGTGTATGGCAATTAATTGGAAATATAACAATATATATACAAAAATTGAAACAATTTTAATTAAGAATACGTGAAATTGAAGCATTCTATTTGCTATACATATATATATATATTTGTACAAACAGTTTATCCACAGCTAATTCGATATTCGAGTGAACTTAAATAATCTTTATATGAAGACCTTCTTCAACATAGATTCTATAGCACCAAATGTTCACACTTCTCTCTAAGTATATTACCTACAATTACATTTATCTATCTAATTATTTATAGAGGGAGCCTCAAGTCTTAGGCTTCTATGAGAGGTGTCCACTACTTTCCTCGCCTAACTTGGTAGCTAAGCTAAAAAGCTAGCGCGCACGAGTAACTTTTGTCACCGTGACCATAAAGTTTTTGTCATTGAATATGCGAGGAAAGTCACAATATTTTATCTAAACCTAACAGACAGTTTTGTCACTGGCTTTTCACCCGATTGCCACAGACCAGATAAGAGTGACAAAAAAAGGAACGCTAACAAAAGTTACTGTTTATTTACTAGCGCGCTAGCTTTACGAGCATACGAAAATGAAAATCAACAATTAGTGAGCTTCGCTATAACCGCACAACATATACTAACAGCGCCATTGTGCAGCGTGGAGGCGAGCGTGGTGGAGTGCAGCAGGTCGAGGCCGGCGATGGCGGCGGGCGCGGCGCGGCGGCGCTTGGCGCGCGCGGCGCGGCGCCGCACGCCGCCCGCGCTCGCGCTGCGCTTGTTCGTCGCGCGCCGGTTGCGGTCCGCTGGCGGGGGACAGGTTTTATAAAAAAATAAATTATTTATTCACGACCAAATTATGTGGAAAATCGTTGTAATCATTTTATAAATAATTAACAACTTCTTTACCATATAAATGTATTTTTATAAATCAGAGTTTTATAATAACTGCCTCAGTGGTGTAATTGCTAGTATGTAAATGTGCATATACGGATGTCCTGGGTTCAAATTTCGGATCAGGCCAAGTTATTGAGTATTTCTGATTAAAAAAGTCCCAGTAACGGGTATTTCGCCCCTCGAGTCTCGAGATCGCGTAAAATCGTCGGCCCTGCGCCTGATCTCTCACCAGTCGTGTTGAAGTATCGGCCTTTCGGAAATTGAAGTGAAATGATTAGAGAATGCACTGATGTCTACGCGAACACTTGTGCGTGTTGATTGAGAGGACATGATCATTTTGTCCCTGGGTGCCTAACAGTAGCCCATGTATTACTCCAGATCATAATCTATATGTTTACTAAATTTAATACAAATCAATCCAGCCGTTTCAGCTTAAAGGGTAGCTTGACTCACACATACAAACTTTAGCATTTATAGTAAGTAGTCCCAACTCCCATGTATCACCTATACAGAGTTCATACTATAGTGTTAAGAAAAGTGAATAGTAAGATAGAGACAGACCGGTGAGTGAGGAGGAGGCCCAGGGCGCGCCCCACTCGCGCGGCGCGGGCTCGGGGCCGGGCGGCTCGTCCGTGCCGCTCGACTCCTCCTCGCTCTCGTCGCTGGAGCGCCGCACCACGCGCCGCTTGGACGCCGCCGCGCGCGCGCGCGTCCTGCCGCCTTCACCCCTACTGATAAACATGTTCGTACTTAATACTATATTTAATGTTAAGTATGTAATAATAGCTTCTTCCTCTCGTTTGCATCCCTAGGTGCCTAAAAGTATTATAGGAGTTACTCCAGAGTCCAGATCATAGTCTATCTGTGTACTAATTTCAACCAAATCTTTCCAGCTTTATAGCGTAAAAGAATAACATACATATTTTTGCATTTATAAAAATAGTCCGTAATTTATTGTAATTATCGTGTTTTTATTGTTTTTTATTCATTTTTAGGGTTCCGACCGTACCTCAAAAGGTAATAAAGGAACCCTTATAAGATCACTCTCTTGTCCGTCTGTCTGTCCGTGTGTCACCACCGATTTTCTCAGTAATCCGGTAATTACCACTTTAAGTTTACTTAAAACAATAAGTGACAATATTAAACGTTAAAATGTACACATAATATATGTGTAACTATAGTAATTCATTACCACCCATTATTGTTAACGAACTATGTAAAACAAAGAGATTTTTTTATTCAACATAACCATATTGTCGCTTATCTACTGTGGAATGAATAAAAATAACATGACCGATTACACTGTGACGTCATATTTAACAAAATTATCGACTCTATTATCAACATTGCGATCAGCTACATCGCGTTTTGTGAACAATCGACACCAAATGGTATGTACCTACTACAATAAGGTCAGAGATTAAGGTAGAATGGGTAGAGTGGGCGGATGTTGCGTAGTAGTTCTTTCATTAGTTTAGTAAAACTTTATCTTATATTATTATTTGTTTATAATTGATTTGGTCGTTTTATATAGCACTAATTTCGATAATAATCATTTGAGTATATTAACTATTTCTTTTGCTTACAGCTATCATCAGAATTAGGTATGTGATAAATATTGTATTTTAGTCAATATTTCCTATATAATTAAACAATAAGGTATAATACATCAGTATAAAACCTTTATTGTACTGTTATCACGTTCACGAATATATGGACAACATAAAACTTAGAACAAATACCAGTATAAGTTTAAATATTTGGCCTATATATCTACATGTGCCATATTATGTTTATAGGGTTGCCAGGTATCGGGCTGTCTTTTACGGTTGTATCTAGCCGAATATTTTGAAGTTCGGTTTTAATTAGCCGTCGTTGGTTCTGTATCAGAGTATCATATGGAATATGTATATTTTCTTACGCAATTTGTTAGTTAAAAAAACATTTACGAATGCACCATATTCGTTTTTCAACGGCAAAAATACATTGATATAAGTATTTTTTTAGATATAGTATCTTTAGAAAAACAATGGTAATTTGGGTCACTAAACTAGCACGATGTTTACGAGCTTAGATTCGAGCAACTAATTATTATTATTCAAAAATAAGTTGCTTATTAACATCTTATTTTTGAAGAACCAACCGAATTTTCTCCTTAAGCTTATGTGCATTTAAATTTTTCACCTATCCAGTTACAACTATGAAGTGACATCCCCGTCCTTAGTATCATATAGGTTCCTATTGAAATAACTGTGATGAACATATGTATAAACAGATAAACATGACGGATTACAAGTGTTCCAGTGTTGTCTGTTCGCTGTGGAACCCTAAAAGTAACAATGTATGTAATGTGTAACAAGTAGACATAACTAAATTATAAGTGTTCCGTTATTGTCTATTCGCCATGAAACCCTAAAAGTAATGCTAAAATGTAATTATAACAGATATAGAGAATAGACATGACCCCTAAAAGGGACAATATGTAGTAGGTAGTGTTTGTGTGGGTACCTGATGGGTCTCGGGCGCGGTATCTTGCGGCGGCGCTCGGGCAGCGAGCCGGTGCTGTGGTTGCTGTTGCCGTTGAGCAGGTCGGGCGTGGGCTGGCGCGTGGGCGGCGCGCTCGCGTTGCGCTTGCCGTCGCCGTCCTCGCCCTGGCAACCCTACGTAACACACACACACACACACACACACACGCTATAGACACTGATACAATCTGCACGTATCACAAATCATCATATATTTATGTATATGTTATAACATGTTTGTAAACTTTCATTCGGACAAATATTTTTTTAAAGGCAATGGCAAATAGGAATAGAATGTGATATATTTGACAGGTCAAATACTTATTTTTGAGGCTACTATTATAGATTAATATAGTCATAATCAGACATGGATAAGTTACAACATGGATAAGTACACAAATCGTGTATTTTAAATAATATCAAAAAATATTGATTACCCTATAATCATAAACATAGATTATAATATGATGATTTATATATTATTGTGCGCAACAATAACGGTAATAAAAATTACGTGATTGGAAACAGACCCTTTTGCTGACCTTGAGTTTCGGATTTTTCAGTCTTTGAAAGTATCTCTCCAATTTGGTCCTATCGATTATGTGCAAATAGTAAGATACTGGTTTGCCCGTCCACGAGACCGAGCCCTTCAGCGGCGACATCTCACTGACGTGCATGATGGTCCCGATATCGCTCAGATTCCTGTCTGTTATTCTAAAGTTCAACGGGCAAAAGCTCTTCGATGATACTATTTTAGCTCCGTCCTTCAAGTCTGCGAATCTCTCCTTCAACTGATGATCGACGTGCGGACCGAACGCGAAGTTGTTAACGAACACTATGGTGGCTGAATTAATTTTCTCCCTATGCTCGTCCATAAGAAAATCGCCCTTTATTAATTTATACTCCCCATACTTCTTTCCATACCATCTCATCCACATTCGAAAATGAAGATCCATACTCTGAAAACAAAGAAAACATATCTCAATGCCAAGACACGTCGTAAGCGGTAAAACTGTCACGTTACACGAGCATTAGCATCATCACTATTTACGTCGGTAATCCAATAGAATATTCAAAATAATTTACTACTATCGTGTAACTTATTATTGATATATACATATATGATGATAACAAACGATATAATTGGAGACATTTAATAATTTGATTAATAATTATAATAATGGTTTTTTAGCAATTGATTAGGTTACAAAAAATATACCTAGTTATTTTTTAACTCTCATTTATGAATATCAAACATGAGACAAACCTCAGCGTATTTGCTGGGTACCTCCGCTTTCTCAACCCCAAAGCAGATGCGGCAGGGTGTGGCGGCGGCCATCTGTAGCACCACCTGCCCCACTCCCGACCCGAGGTCCACGAACACATCTTCCGCCGTTATATCTATCTGATCTATCATCTGACATACTAACTCGTATGACGTCTCACCGTATACCTGCAGTTACAGAACGTTGCATAAAAAAGTAATCATATTTTTTTATATTCAAAACAAATAAATGATTTTGCTGTTGAAAATTAATTTATGTAAGTAGACCATGTTTTTAAATATTAATATATTCAACTTACTTCAGGTGAAAAGGGTTCATATTGATTCAATTTATCAGGATCTGAAACGGCTTGGTTGTATGTTTGTTGCAAAATGTGTTTTAGTAGACCTCTCGACGGATACTTGTTCAACCGCTGAGCGGGTAACGATGTACCCTTTTCCTATAAAAGATTGTTATGTGTTTATTTTTAAATGTGACATTTTACATATTTTATTATTAGACGATTCTCATATTATAAAAAAAAACATCGACTTTAATGTTTGTTAATATTAAAAAATACCAGTTATCTAAATATAAATCCAGCAATTCATTATTTCCGTATTATGAATAATTTTCAATGGAATTATAATAGGTGATATGAATATTTTTCTAGCCTTGACATTGCCGGCATGACAAAATAACCGAACGATAAAGGCACTTGATCGCATATACGTAGTATAGGAACAATGTGGTTGGCCTTGTGTTCGATTACGATTCGTGATTGATACTATACAAATAGCGAGTTTAATGTGTACAGTAACCTTACTATTAATTTTATATGAATTTATTGTCATTGTGGAGTGCGTTTAATTTTGTTAATAAGCCACTGACTAACCCTAATCAACTGTATTGTTCTATGCTATTTGTAATACATCAACTAAGTTTTGCTATGTAATCATTCAAGTTTTATATTAATGTATATACATATATTATAATTTATAAGAACTAAAAAGTAGAGATGTACCGACTAGTCGGAAAAGCCAACTATCCGGCCATATTTATAGTCGGCGACTAGTCGGCCAAAAGCACCGACTAGTCGGCCTATTACTTTATTCATATTAGTATTCTTAAAAAAGGAAGATTATTGTTATTATTAATGAAAAACATAATTTTCATTAAATTTCATTTTATAATTTTGTGGGTACTGGGTAGACACTGTCTGTAAAAGTAACTGAAGTAAAAGTAGCTTAAGTTACTCCTTATAACATCAGCTATTTGCCAGAGAAAGACCCGTCCGAAAATCGGTCCAGCCATTTTTAAGAGATTAGCCGGAACAAACATACAGACAAACAAAAAATTTTAAGTTTTATTTTTATTAGTACAGTACGTATATAATTTCATATGCATTTAGTAATAAAAAACTGTTATTTTGACATTACAAACAGGTAGGTACTTTAATTTTATTTATCTGTATAGCTATAATAGAGTAAAAAGATAAAATAATATTAAAAAAAATTTCATTGAGGTTTAAAGCAAGCAAATGAAAGCGCTACATGAACTGTAAAGTAGGTCAAATATTTTCAGTTTTCTAGGACACGCTTTTTACTGTAGCCGTAGCAATTTGTGTTCAGAAAATGAATACACTTGTTAATAATTTTACTGCTGTTTAATTTGACTAGATGCAGACATTTGAAAGAAATTGTTTGATACTATTGCTAAGTAAATAAAACTTGTATTATTTATAATATTTAATAGTAATGAAAAATACAGCTCACAAAATAGATATAATAATTATTAAGTATAACGTTAAATTAAAGGTTTTTGTTAAAGCATTAGTTAGGTATTTAATAATATTGATCAGTATGCGAAAAATAAGAGAAATCATTTTACAGTTTACTGTTTATGAAGTAAAACTATTGGCATTTTTATATACAATATAAATTTTATATATACTTAAATATAAATTACTTATACATTAAAAGTTATTTTCTTGAACATAATTTTCAATCACTGATGCTTTTACGAAACAGAGCCAGTTCGCGGCAACGGTAGTGGGCGCGTGGCCTCGTGCGTTCCTTGTTTACGTTTCTGCAGGCATTTCATTCATGCATCCATCGTTATAATATCGAAATGTACCTACACTTGCGCTCAATGTTAATAGCACACGCCTTAAGATACATCTATACTAATATTATAAATGTGAAAGTGTGTTTGTTTATCTTTCTTTCACGTCGAAAGGACTTGGCGGATTGGCGTGATTTTTTAGTGTGGAGATAATTAGAGGGCTGGAGAGTGACATAGGCTACTTTTTACCGCGGGAAATTATCTCTTTCCCACGGGAAAACACGTTATAGTACAATCCAACAAAATATTTATGATTAATATAAAATTATTTGAAACTTGGTATAAATGCTCTTCAATACAATTTAATACGTGTTTTAGCATTTTAGGAAGTTCATCACATAAAGGGGTAAATAGCGGATGAAAGTTTGTATGAAACCTACCATTGTAGAGTTTTTATTTTGTGGTTTTAGCGCGAGCGAAGCCGCTTTTGCTAGTATTTTATGTTTATAAGTATACCAAAACTTTTAAACAGTTGATGTTTGAAAGGCGAAGTTAAAAAATAATAATTATTATAGTTTATACAAAATAGAATAATTTTTAATCTTTTTATTTACTTAAGGTAGTGTGCTAAAATAATCTTAAAATTTAAATAACAGCTAGGCAGGAATAGTAATAATATATCACAATAGGCACTTGCACAAAGCAAGACCCTCAAATTTTGTATTAAAATACTAGCCACTTAGTAGGTACGCGTGTTATCGAAAGCAGCACGAAAATGAATAAAGTGGCAGTTTAATTCGTCTTCTCTATTAGATCTAATGGATTCGTCGTAAATATTTTTTTCTTTATGCATTATATATATTGACTAGTTATATAAATCATATTATTATAATATACGTTTAAATCAAATTCCGAGAGCACGGAGTCGCTAGCGCAACCAAAAAAAAGGTCATTAACACTACGTGAGACATTTGCGCTGGCTCAATATTGCGGTCAACGCCCCCAAATACGACCTGAACTAACATAATATCTATTATTATAATTCGCAGTCAATTAATTTTCATATTTTATTTTTTTTAAATAAAGAGCAGCAATGTGTCACTTGTAAAACAGGACCCAAATTAAAAAAAAAATATATAATATTTTCTTGGCGATATATGAATATTGTTAATATTAATCAAGAGGTGCCTAAATTCTTGAACAATGAGTGAAGGCAATCAACTTTTAGTAGACGCCTGTCCGCTGCTAAGGTCACTCAACTTAAAGATCGACACTAATGTCGATGACTGAGAGTTAGTAATTCAAAGACTTTCACAAGCGATAAAATATGTACATCGCACATTTTCTTATGTAAATAATAAAAATATTACGTTAAAAGTAATTATTGTTTTTTTATGTTTTTTTTTCATTAAATAAAATTTTGGAGCCAGAATCATGATCATAAAAATAATCATATTAATTCCCGCCATATTTTAGTGGTACATATATCCATACATACTAATATTATAAATGTGAAAGTTTGTGACGATGGATTGATGGATGTTTGTTACTCAATCACGCCAGAACGGCTGAACGGATCTGGATGAAATCTAGCACAGAGATAGGTTATAGTCTGGAATAGCACATAGGTTATTTTTATCCCGGAAAAAAGGTACGATTTCCGTTTTACGATTCCCATGGGATAAATTTGTTTTTTTCCAAGAACGAACCGGAAGTGAGAGTATGTCGCTAGTAAATTATATAATATGCAATTACGCACATTGATAAAATTTTACTAATTCCTACTATATTTATTTTTATGAATAATGATATAAATATGATAAAATATTTAAACCAATTAAGTATTAATTTTAATGACTAAACTTTTAATGCTCATTTCATTAATGAAGAAATATTGGGTAAAGAATCCTCTTATGGAAATACTATTATAGAAAATTTGTTTTACTTCTTCACGCCGAAACGGCTGGACCGATTTGGATGAGTACACAGATAAACTGATCTGGAGTAATTCTTAGACTACTGTTATGTAGCTAGGGACGAATGCGAGAGCGGAACGAGAATAAATAAAGGAATAGCCATATTTAAGCGATGTAAATAGAACGAAATGATTTCTTATTTAATTTTATTAAAATTGCAGAGAACGTCCCACACTGCAGACGTCTTCTATAACTATTTATACCCTACTTCATAGCTTAAAACTATTAATTGTACATAATATATTCCATTAGTTTTTGAGTTTGGCTCATTAAATATTAGTATTTTATGTATTCATATTAAAAATTAATATTTTTTTAAATGTTCATAGTATACCTATTGACAGTTGGAAACAAAGGTAACGTAATACTATAATGGCACATACTACAATGTTAGTTCCTAGATCGTAAGCACAAGGTTACGGACTTGTTAAGTATGCGCATACTAGTCATCGATCACTTGGTGACATCATGACCGAATCTTGCTAAACTATATAGTATATAGCCGTCACTATTTATGTGTTTATAGTTTTTACGCGTGCATATTTCATATCTGTGTCAAACTTTAATAAAATACAAACTGTTGTAGATTATACTTTTAAGAAGACTAAAAATATAAACTAAAAGCCATTTTAAGTAGTGCTCTTTGTATCCACGTTTCTATTTCTAACTAGCATTGCCCGCGGCTCCGCCCGCGTTCAGATGACCAAAAACTAAATTCTTAGGTGTTACATATTAGTATACTCTTACATTGCAGTTTTTGTATTTTTCCTCAGAAATAAGATATTTTCCCGCGGTAAAAAGTATCCTAGGATCGCGCGCTACATCGCCCGGTTTATATAGCTTGAGCAGGCGGTCGAGCGATGCGGGGCAGAGGGGATGGACTCGCCGTAGGCATCTCAATGCTCGCCAAGCATTAAAAATGTTTCGCTACTAATTACTTCTAACAACGATATCTCAAAAACTATTCATCTGATTGATTTAGTGTAAAGAGCAATTTTAATCTGCATTAAATGACTAAGCTAACTAAAATATTCATTTGGATAAGGATTAATACCGAACTAAAGAAAATAACTTTGAAAATAACGTAATGTTTTTAATTAAAAATGTTAACATAAAAGTGGTTATTGTAAGTCAACCGTAAGAGATAGAGATATGCTATCGCGGACTTTTTTGTAGCATTTTTATAGATTTTGAATTCTCTAGTACATTACTTAACTGTATCTTTGCTAGTTTACGCGGCGTTCGCGTGGAAAGTTCCCATTTGGCGAGATTTTTTGCGACCTCTTCAACATTTGTCGCCGTATTTCAGCTAATTTACATAAAAGCATAATAAATTATATACCTAAACCTTCCTCAAGAATTACTCTTTCTATTGTTGAAAACCGTATAAAAATCCGTTCAGTAGTTTTCGAGTTTATCGCGTACAGACAGACAGGAGGACAGACAGGAGGACAGAAAGACGCGGCCGGGGGACTTATTTTTATAATAAGTATAGATATGCATTGGCACTGCCCGGTAACAATTATTTTGAGCTTCGTGTATTTATAAATAGCCTAAGAGCATGCTGCTGAGAAAGCATAGGGAAAGAAGGCATGTCTAAATACAAAAGTAAGAGTTTGATGAAGTATTGGTATGTAAACCCATATCATTATATATAAAAAAAAGTAATTATCTGTATAAATGACTATTTAACTTAAAATTATAATGTTAATTTAGCCGGAGTTGTTCTTTATTTAATTCAGTTAAACAGCTATTTCAAATCTCAAAACTACTTCCATGTCGTGGTAAGAATTTGTGTGCAACGTGTATAAATAGAGTAGCCTCGTGCGATGTCTGCTACGACCATCGATCGTTGCGTCCTCGCCGCCATCTTGGCCCTCATGTCTCCCTCCTGCAGTCCGCGCTCCACTCCCCTCTAATGCCCCTCACTGCCCCACATTCACGTTTCGTTTTGCACATACTACATATGATCGTCTTAGAAACAATGCATAAATAAAGATACTTGTTGCAATGTAATGTAATATATTGTAATAAATTTTTATTATTTAACTTTCTTATTGTATTACAAAATAAAAATACTGTCTAATTATTATGGTTGTTACTTATTGAATATTTTTTAGATTTCATTTGTAAATGTAGGAAGTGTAAAAATAAACGAAGGTGACATTGAAGATCTTTCCGCGACCTGAAAACTATGCCAGTGCTTGAATACAATGTGAGGGAAAGAAAGTATAAAATCAAACATGGTTCCATTTTAGTGTTTTAAATTTTTTATGTACTACCTACGTATTTAAACACTAAAAAGAATAAAAAAATATTGCGCCATTACATAATACAATATATGCATTTTTTAAACGAAAGTATACTTGGTTAATATTTTATTATATTTTGCACGTATATATCAATTTTTGATAATTAATACGCGTCTTTTATTTTAAGTAAAATATTTAACCGGACAGAGATTTTGTGGAATAAATACTAATATGATCAATACATTCGACTCGAACTAACGGTGTATGATGATCGCAAGTCATCACATGCCAGACTATCTGGTGCAGTTAAGACGACCGTGAAAAATATTTATATATTATGCTTTTTCTCTATACAAGTAACACGCAATATTTCAAATATATTAATGATGATGATCATCATTGATTTGTGAATATTTATTTTTAAGAGCTTAAGATATTTTTTGAATTCAATTAAAGAAGTGTGTTCTAATTTACTAACAAACATGTTCCATAATGAATTTTAAAATTATAAAAGTTAAAAAAATATTTTGGGTATAATTTCCTATATTATCTTTACTGATTTTATAACTTCCATTTAAAAGCATGTTTCAAATACTTTATAACAGTCGTGAAGGTAAATCAACAGTATAAAATTGACCTTCTGAGATAACATGCTACTACAGCAATGATAACCGGCCCTGTAGTCTACACATTGTGACGCGTTCCCATGCGATCTTAGTATAACTTTAATATTCAGATTATAATTTAAGGTAGATGCAATTTTATAGTTTTCACTGATTTATCAACGCCTAGACCTTACAACTTTGATAGCCTATTACCATCAAGGCATAGGTTAACCATTAAGGATTCTTTGAAATTCAACCATGGGGTATCTAAAATCCAAAGGAATGAAAGGGGACGACAAGTTTTTATAAATAGAAAATATTTTTCTGGAATAGTTATTTAAAACTTGGCAAAGTTAATGAACTGTTAATTTTGTGTTTTAAATTAAATCTTTTAAGATTAAAAGGAAATTATTATTGCTGGTTATACTACTAAGTGTAATATTTTTTCGAAAAAAATTGTTTACATAAATTATTATAAATAAAAAAAAAGTTAAAATAACTTTCACGTACACAATACTTCCCGTCTTTTTTTAATATCCTATTTGAATTAATAAAAAAATATACAAGAATAAATATTGTAGCAGTCTTTTTAAAAAGAACTATGTCCTTTATTTATTCTAATTACAGCATTGATAATAACAACAACTGTTGTTTGATTAGATAAAATATCGACTGTAATATTGTAAACAAAATAATTGTAATATTCTTAGATTTTCCATTAAGCATATATTGATATAATATAATAATTTTCTTTATGAACAGAGAGCAGCACGTGACCAGTGACCATAGTGAGCCATGAATGAGGCGAGAATTGGTAGGTACTGCAGTATTGCTAGGTACTGCGGCCGGTAGACTATGAGACCCCGGCCGTCTCGTATCGTTAATGCATAGACCTGCTATTATAGCATTTAATCGTACTGTGTATCGATCGCGAGGGCAGAGTTCTCAACAATACAAGCTAATGTTATTGTACATATTATATACTTAACAAATAGATAATTATATATTTTGAAGTATATAATTTATACTAATATTATAAAGCTGTTTTTTTTGTTTGAACGTTATAAACTATGAAACTGTCTGTCAAATTAAGAAGATTCTGTATGCATTTTATAGTCTACTAATTATTTTTGTAGAAGAATATTTATCTAACATCAACCACGACCCTTGAGATCGTGTTATCTATAAATAAACTACTGTTAACAATGTGACAATTTAGGAGATTAGCTGAGATGTATAAATTATACGACAACAATAAATTACATCAAACTTAACATAATATTTACCAAAGCGACAACGGAGTCTATAGCGCGATTGAAGCGGTCGCATAATGCTCTCATACTTTCGTATGAGTGGGTGTCGTAATCGCTTAGTATGTTCTTTTCCAAAGCACCTTTCATCTCCGGCAAGTCGTCGCAAACCCACCTGGACAAGAAAAAAATCTTAATCGTTTTAAATTAAATTATATACGAAAGTATAAGGCTAGTTAAAATTATTTGAAAATATGTAAATAAAAATATAATTTATTATATTATTTTTATACTAAACTCAGGGTTTGTAAGCACCAGCTGTTTTAGCACCTTACACTTATTATATTTTTAACCTTTGTGCAGTTCAATAGCAGGTGCACAAAACTGCGACTGAACCGTCTATAGATACCTATTCAACACGCACCTGTCATTTCACTAACGTTTTAAATGAGATTTAAAGACGAAACTGATATATATCTCAAATCGAGAGACATAAAAAACTAAATTATCTCAAAAATTAAGTTTTCTTTATCAAACCTATCTACCATACCTAAATAGAAACTACGTAAATTTCAATAATATAACTGACAAATTCCACATATTGTGTATGTTGTCTTTAATTGTATTGAAATAAATTTTATATTAAATAAATTCAAATACAAATAAATACGTTTCTCCGTCATACATTTGATAATTATAGTAATAAAAGTCCGTATCATTTATTTGGGCCATTCCTGAATCATAACATTTCAAGGTCGTAAAGGAAGAGTGAACGCGTCCGGTCGAGAGGAGGTCGCGACCGCCCTCGCCACCCCGACCGCTCAGGACCGATCGGGTCAACTTGCCAAACTAGTTATTTTATTTCCGACCTGCATAACAGGTGAGCAGTAAGCGTCATATCTGGTAATTCCTTATATTATTTCATGCGAAAACATATCCGACTGACTGACTGTACAGTGTACACATAATGTAAATGCCGGAATGATTAGGTAATATATACAGCTATTTTAAGTACAAATGAAATAAAAATGTATATTATAAGAACTTGTTGTATATTGCGACGTCATTTACGAAAGTAATGTTTTTATTTCAGGTTAGACAGTAGGGCTGCATTACAAGTAGGTAACTCATCAATGCGCGCGAAATTGTTTCGGGCGGTCATCGCCCCTACGTCCTTCGTATTATGCGAACATTCACGCAACTATTAGTTATTAGAGCGCATTGTCATTTAGAGTATAACTAGATATTTGATTTCCGTAAATAGATGTTGTTGTAAAACAATTTAATTGATATTTATTATCTGACGACACGTTTGGCTCAGTTTGTAGTAAACCTACTTGTTGTACCAGCTGTCGCGGGTTCGAGTCCCGCTGGGGCCATTCATTTGTGTGTTGAGCAAGAATGCTTGTACTCCAGTCATGGGTGTTTATATTTATAATATGTATGTATTTAAAGTTATATAACAATGTGTAGTGTGTCAACTATCTGGTATCCTAGTAACACAAGCTCAATAGCTTACCATGGAACTAGATGGTGATGTGTGTTAATGTCCCAATATATTTGTTTTAGAGAATTTGATTGTATCAGCTATGCACTAAACTCCACTTTTTCTAAGATTTTTTTTAGTTTATTACATAATATTGTTCTTACCTTATTGTTTCTACTATTTCTAAGGCTCCATCGTGTTTGTCCTGCAACAAAGATAAATTGCATAACTAATATTTTGTTATTGTAAAGCAGTTAACTTATTGCCTTTTTTGTAGACATTTTTATACAAAAGGTTGTCATAAAGTCTCAGTAAGTCATTGAAAAATTGACTCAAGCAAACTACTACTGTAAAAGTAAGCAATAACATTGGGGGAAAGTTTATAGGAAACCAGGCAAACAAACAAACAAACAAACAAACAAACAAACAAACAAACAAACAAACACACTTAACCCTGATTGATTACTTGTTAAGTCATATAGTTATATGTAATAGAATAAAATTTACTGTTTATAGTTAACCTACTAATATACATCCACTAATGTATTATTATAAATAGCAAACTAAAAACAGTTATAAATTAAATGTTTTCTTACATGACTTGGCGTTTTAGTAGAATACATACAAACTAGTTACGGCCAAAGAATAAATAAACGGTAATAGACAGACAAAAATTCTAAAAACTATAGAATCGGCCTCTGTATCGATAATAAATAATAATGACTATTTCAATAAAATTTTCCAAAAAATATACAGATTAAGCCTAGTTAGAATTTTATTATATCATTATTATGTTCTTATTTTTATGTATGAAAATGTTTTCCTTGTTTAAAAATGTGTTTCTTTGACAGGTATAAAACTGAAATTGTTAATGAATAGAATTACTTTAATTTTACTTTAAATTAAATGATATCTGAAATTCATATTTCTATGACTATTTCAGATATTATGTCATTCAATTTAATTTCAATACTCAAAATATAAATAAATTAAGATTAAGTTTAGTAATGAAGTTTTACTATTTTGATATATTTGTACTCAATATCATAATAAAATACTGATAATTTCTATTCCAATTATAAGTAGGAATAATATAATAATAATGTGACAAAATTGATTTTTAAATTAAAATTGAATTTAGATAAAAATGAAGAAATATATATAAATTATACTATGAATATAAAATGAATAATTTTATTTGACAATACCAGTTAATTATTATTAATATATATTTTGTTACTATTCAAGCCTTATTATATTACTATATAACAAGTTTAGCTAATACTTGATAAATAAAAGAATTTACATGGTCATTTTATCTCTAAAACATCAACTTTAACTATATAGTGCTTTTAGTTTTTACTGAAAGAATACACAGACTTAGAAGACTCATAACTTCTTTTTGTCAACTATCAGTAACCTAAAATGTTTTGGACATAATAGTATACAACAAAAACATTTAATTAATTGGCCTAAAAACAAAATAATATATTTAATACATATTTCTTGAAATTATGCTAAAATCTAAGTAAATAGAGGACTGTTAAACACTACGCAACAGTGTGTACATATCTAAAAAAAGCCGACACCTTGACAAAACACGAGGTCAATACACTCAACAACACCAGATCCATGTGATGAGACAGTATAATAAGATATATGTTTAATTTATGTTTTGAAAAGGTCTTGATAAGTTCTGAAATAATAAATTGTATAATATCTTTGGTGCTTCCTTACTATTTAACTTCACGCAAAGTATCTACAATGTACATATACACACCTAGTTGTTTTAACTAGTCTGTATGATATTTCATGTCATATTTTTCAATGAGGCGCTAATTAAAGACATATATAACAATTTAAATCATATATTAACGAACGTTTTGTTGTGAAACAGGTAATGTTTATGTTTTTAAGTAATCAAGTTTTTGATAAATATTCCTTACCGAGCCATGACCCGATGTGAGGGGCCATGTATAAACAACAGGTTCCGCGCCTGCAGGAGAGTGCAAGCGTAAATCCAAAGCCATGATAAGATAACCGCTGCATTAATGCACACTCTTTTCACTTATACACTAAATTTATCACTATAAACAATTGATATTAACATAATTTCACTGCACTTTCACACACACACACTCTGAACTAGGCTGGGCGCCATGTTGAAAATAATATCAATCTAATCATGGCCGACGGCATAATGTTGTCATAGCTAACCAAAACATGGTTTGTTTCAGAAAATATAAAAAAATATATGAATATTATTTTAAATATCTATATATATTTATGTATTAACTAAGCGAATAAAAATATATTTGTTTAATTTTATGAAAACAATATTACTGCTATAGTGCATGTTACCAAATAATGACATAGCTGCTTTTTATATGGGTATAGGGTTTAAAGGTGTTGTGTAACAACAATAATTTGAGAATATTATTTATCTGCAAATAATAATTTTATTATATATTTTATTTTTTTTATTCTACTCAGAATGTGAAATTTAAATAATTTATTGAATTATATTTAATTTTTGCTGAAGCTGAAGATCGAGCTCAGTGGCGTGCCATAGGAGAGGCCTATGTCCAGCAGTGGACGAAAGCAAACTGAATATGATAATGATGATGATATTTAATTTTTATTATTTAAGATATTCGTATTCAGTAATTAAATAAAATGTTGTATTACGATGTAGAGTTAACCGTATGTTTATTTGAGTCAATTCAATCTTCTTGTTGTATTAGAGTTTCGTGGCTTCTAGGAGTTTTATTATTATTTTATGTGTATGTGGGACCAACGTTAGATAGAGATAGATTGTCAATTACTACTGTCAGTGTCAAATGTCAATGCAACAAAGCAATCAAAGACTAATATTATTATAAAGGGAAAAAGCAAATAGCAATTCAAGGACGAGAAGTACACAATTTTATTGATTGAAAAAATTATAAAAGTTTGTGAGTGATTAAATTTAATTAATCTTTAAAAATAACGGTGTGTCTATTCGTCCGATAATCTTAATCATAAAAAATATATACGTCCGACTATGGTTGGTGTGTGATTTATTGCGACTGCAATTATTTATTTATTTATTGTTTCTTAAAAACATTGGGATCTAAAAGAATAAATTTTCAGCTCGGTAGGCTAAGGTATTTATTTTTTGCATATAGAAACGCCTGCACCTAAAAATCACTTATTTTCATTGGAAAACAAAAAAGTGGTATTGGATTAATCAGTCAAATGGATTATCAGACGAATAGCAACAACAGCCTAAAAATAAGTTGGTAATTTATCAACAATAAACCATATGTTTTAATAAATATTAAATATAATAATATGGTGACTAAAGCTAACACTACTATATATAACATATTATACATTTTCTAGAATTCTTTGGAATGTCTGATTCAGAAGATGAAGGTAAGATTCAAGATTTTAAAGAAATATCTGAAGAAATAGAAAAATGTAAAAAAAATCCAGAAACATCTGGAATGTTCGTATCTGGTTGGGATGACGCCGATCAAGATGTTAATATCGTTAAAGATCCTAAAGGTATTACATTTATTTTTAATGCTTATACAAACATCTAGATTTCTAATTGCTTTAAAAAGTGTACCCAATTTAGTTACTACAAAATCATCCTTTTTCCCTGCACTTTGATTTGTTGTCCATATCTTTCAACTGTGGAGCAGTAAGATGAATTTGTAATCTCTTTATTTTAATTTAAAATGGTGTATTGTTTTTGTCACTATTCTGTTTAAATAGTCAGGAAATTCTTCTATTTAAATATATCATATATTGCATTTACAAAGGTGTGGTAGATGCTCCCTAACCTTGTGTTTGCAGACAGTATGTTTAGTATTTGTATGATTAAATTGTTTTTGTTTTCTGAATATAACAATAAAATGAGTTAAAACCATTTTATTTTCTATATACAACCTTTTAATCATTAAAATTATGATGCTGTAATTATATTATGTATCATAGAATAAGATATTTTTATAGTTAATTGGTAGTTACAATTGGTTGATTTTAACTTTAAAAATTGTTTGAAATCATCAACTTTTTCATATAATATAGATGTGCTTTGATTTAAAAAATGTGTGTTTAACCTTTAAGTGTGGTTGAAGTAAAACTTCTTTGGTTTTGTGGCAGATACCGCAATTAAATTAAAACAAATAAATTTTTTTTTTTTTATAAAATTATTAGTAATGTGGGATTGGGGATACCAGCAATAGAACCACACCACAATCACCTTAATACATTTATTAATTTTTCAATAGTTTATTATGTCTTCTCAATATGTATCCTTCTTTATTTCTTTATCCTTCTTCGTCATTAACTGCCTCGGTGGTGTACTGGCTAGCATGTGCGGCTGCACCCGGAGGTCCTGGGTATGAGTCCCGGGTCGGGCCAAGTATAGTTATTGAGTCTCTGTATATTAAGCCTCAGTAGCAGCCCCGAGTTAGGAGGTTGGCAATGTTTCACCCCGTGCCTAGGAGAGCACGTAAAGCCGTCGGTCCTGCGCCTTAACTCTCACTGGTCGTGTCGAGTGGTCATCCCACCAGAGTATGAGAGTGACAGGAATAGAGAGTGCACCTGTGTCTGAGCGTACACTTGTGCACAATAATATCTCCTGCGCAGATGGCTAGTCTCAATGAGATTGGCCGCCGTGGCCGGACTCGGTCAGGATCATCCTTCTTTAAAACTAATGCTTTCTGAAATTTAGCATGGCTGAACACACTCTGTCCCTTCCACTTATTCTTTCTTTCATTCACACTTCACACATAGTCATAGCTTATATTTAATTTATAATAGTCAATAGCTTTTATTTAATTTATGCCCATTCATCCCACAGTAATAAATGTTTATTTTTATCAATTATTATTATTATAAAAATGTAAATATATATATATTTTTAAATGATTAGTGATGAATTTGATTCTAACTTCCGCGGTACTCATTTTTCCAATGTCTGTACTTACATATCAGTCACACCTAAAAAAGTTTTACTCAGCTGTTACATGGTCTATTCAGAATTTAATACTACATTTAAAATGCACTTTTTTCTCACAGTTTCATCCTGTTTTTCTTTATTTTAACATTTTTGTAAAAAAATTTATAGCTAATCCAGTTGATCATGTCTTGTGGGCTGCTGAAAATGGAGAACTTCGAATTCTTAAAGAACTATTAAGTAAACAACCAGGACTTGTCCATGCAAGGGATTCTGATGGCTATACTCCTCTACACAGAGCTGCTTATAGTAATCACATTAATGTGATATCATATCTACTTAGTGTGAAGGCTAATGTTGGTGCAAAAACTGAAATGGGATGGACACCACTGCACTCTGCATGTAACTGGAATAATTATGCTTCTGCTGCAAGATTACTAGCAGCAGGTGCAGATCCTTGTGCTTTGTCAGATGGAGGTAAATAAAAAAAATATATATAGTATTAGTTTCTGCTTTGGCTTTATGTAATATCACAGAAACCTCTTTTTTAATGAACATTTTATTTATTACTAGCATTGCCCGCGGCTCCGCCCGCGTTCAGATGACCAAATACCAAATTATTAGGTTTTACACATTAGTATACTCTTAAAATGCAGTTTTTGTATTTTTTCTCAGAAATGAGATATTTTCCCGCGGTAAAAAATATCCTATATGTTGACCCGGATAACCAGCTACCATCATACCAAATTTCATCAAAATCTGTCCAGTGGTTTTCTCGTGATGCGGTAACAGACAGACAGACAGACAGACAAAAAGACAAAAATTCTAAAAACTATAGATTCAGACTCTGTATCGATAATAATGTCTATTTCAATTAGATTTTCCAAAAAATATTTCATGTACAGATTCGACTTAGTTACAATTTTATTATATGTATAGATTATACAAGATGGCATTAGTGAACCATCCATTTATAACCTGACTTGACTAAACTTCCGATATAAACATCAGTTTTACAATAATGTATTTAAGTCTGCCTGATGTGTTGACATTTATAATTACTGCTCCACTCCCTTGGGTAGTAGCATGGTGATATATAGCCTATAGACTTCCTCAATAAACGGGATATCTAATGTAAAAAGAATTTTTCAAATCGGTTTAGTAGTTTCTGATTCTTTTCTGATTTTTCTGTTTCTGCGTTCAAACAAACAAATTCTGTCTCTTTATAATATTAGTATAGATACGCACTGCACGCGCTATTGACACGTGCTCGTCGCGCGTTTGTACATATAGATTTTTTGAATTTATAAGCTTAAATATGAGTAAATAACGTATGTACATGATACGTACGTCGTCAGCGAATTTATAAAACGTGGTTCATATGCTCTTTAAAGTTTATCACCCAGAACACGCTCGTTTGTTATTGTGTCGACGTCGCGGTAATTGGTCGTGTGATTAGGATAATAAATTGAGAGCACTTGAAAAAATAAATATATTGAATTTTGTGGTTATATACTTTATGGCAAAACATTTAATTATAAATAGAAGAAAATGCGACCTAAAGATCTTATGGCATTGCCAACATTTCTTCATTTTTTTACCTACCGTTAAACAAGTATCATATACATAGATAGAAAACATTTAAATAAATAAATAATTATCAGCAATATACTTATGCCTTTTTCCATGTGTAAATGATTATACCACATATTGTAATGTTACCATTGTACATAGACATACAATGATTTCTAAAACATCTATTGTGAGATCTTAAAAATTAGTTGAGTTATTATAGTAATTAAATAAATTTTCATTTATGGCTTGGATAGATTCATTTAATTTCATGCATACTACGATTTTTATTTAGTTATTAATTAAATTTTTATTTCAGATCAATCACCTTTGCATTTGGCGTCAGCAATCAGTCACTGTAAATCAACTTTACTCATTTTGCTTCTCCGGGAAGATGTTGTGGAAATATCTAGAAAACCAAATAAATCTGAAGAAACACCGGAGCAATTAGCTCGTAGCCATGGAATTTATTCATATTTATTTGATATGGTCCTTCCTGCAGCTTCACATATTCGTTCCTTGTCATTCACTTGCAATCCATATGTGAGAACTTAAATCTTTAAAAAATGTGTACCCATGTTTAAAAGATTTTCTTAGGTATAATTATTTAATGTCACCATAGATCTCTTATTATTATTATAAGTTAAGAATCATTCCCATACATTTTTTTAAAAATTTAAAATAACAATAACTGTGAACTAACAAAAAGATGCTTATGTACACAATTGTTATTAAATATTTTGACAAATATTATTTTCCCAATTATACTATTATGTAGTACTTTTATGTAAATGTCATATTAAATAAAATAAAATAGTTACATATACTCGCATTAATAATGACGACTTTGATTAACTGTACCTTCTGTTGGACTCGGAATGGCCAGTGGAATCTAGTAAATGACCTATAATAAATTGTAACCACCAATCTCTAATTTCTAATAGTATACCTAATTTAAGCAGTGGTATCCCAGTGGTGGGATATCCCGGGTCTCGCACCTCTGATATTTTCATGTGCAAATCATTTCCAACATGATTACCCTTATTTTTTGGTGAAGGAAAACATCGTGATGACACCTGCATGTCTGAGAGAACCTAGCAGTTTTCGAAAGACATGTATGTCTTTGTAGAAGTGGTGGACTATGGCCTGATCCCCTTAGTATTGAAGGGAGGTTCATGTCTAGCATTGAGACGTTAACAAGGGCTGAACACATACCTAATTTAAAATTATTTCATGCATTTTGAAATATGTTTTAATTACTGTGCAGATTAAAAATTTTGTATTTTTTTTATTTTTTAGTTTTGTAACTTTAACTACTTTGTTACTTCACCCTTAAAAAATGTGTCTAAGAATGTATTATAAAGAATAATATTGCTATAACTGTTAAACTTATAGTATTATCTCTGTTCAATTAGTCTTAGCAACATTGTACTTTCTCTTCAGAAATGTATATGTAATAAAACTGCAATTATTATTTTGTTTTTGTTATACATATTAATATTTCTAGTCCATGAATGTCCTAACTTGAACAAATAAAACAATAATTTGTCCATAGTGGTACACTATATGCCAGGAAAATAATACTTCTTTATTTATCGCAAGAGTTCCATTCATACAAGCCCTTATCTTTCTTTTTTACAGAATTGTAATGAAAGTAGAATTTCATCATGAAGTACTTAAATATGTAATCAATGAAGGATTTTCTTGTTATTTTCACATTCTTTAAATAGTTTAATGATATAAGGTTTTAAAAAATATATAAAAAGTATAGTAACTTATTGATCAAGTTCTTGTGATCAAGGATTTATATAATACTTGCACTTTCTTTCAAGCTAAATTTTTGTGATGACAATATTGTTTGATTGAAACCCCACTATGGGTTAGATATTTAAAAAACTTAAAAGTGATTAAATTTTTATATTATTTACAATATTATAATTATTTTATTAGCAATTTAAACTACAGAAAATTTAATTATAGCATACAATATTAATAATTCTAAAGTTATATGATTAATTATTATACATATTCCAAATTAGAGATTATTTTCAACTAACAATTTATTTGTAAGTTCGTGTTGTTAAATTATCTAAAACATACATGGCACCTGATACAAGATAACTTTCAGAAATTAAATTTTTTAAACTTATTATAAGATTTCTTTTATCAATTCGATGAAGTTCGGTTAAGCTTTGTCTTGTTTTAGGAGTCATGTATGGTAATATTAAGCAACCTAAGCCTAAACATTTGCATCTTACACAATTCTTCCATATTTCAATTAAATCCTCATCTTTTATTACAGGGCACACTGGTAAAAGGTTCAGAGCCTGAATACATTTAGCCTTTTGACGTTCCGTAATAGGATAATCGGCACGTTTGAATGGACTCAAAATGATTGCACGCCAAGCCGAATAGATAGTTTTGTCGGGTGGATGTTGGAATTTTAACAATAAGGGGATCATTTCCTCAAATAAACAAGCGCGTAATAATAGAGGTATAATTTCACGTATAATTTCGACATTTCCAAATTTGTGAGCCAATTCTGCTGCAATTTTCATGCTTTCATTATTGTTTCCGGAAGCTTGAATCAGTTGATTTAAAGCAAGCGTTTTATTTTGCATAAATGTTGCTACAATCCAAGGCATATCAATTTTTTCAAGATTATCAATGTAAAGTAGTTCTAACAATGATGTCCAAAGTACATCACGTTCCCTATAGCTGACTTTCATGACAGTGTCTGGTTCTACTACACTCATCAAACATTGCAGAGCTCTTAGTTTTTTACATTTGTTATAATCACTTTCATCATCAAATGCAATCCTAGACAAATAAATAGCACCCATTTTCGGACAAGTAGCCTTCAATATATATTTAGCAGTAATTAAGTCTTTTGTATCTAGTCCTGGTGAATATTTCTTTTCTTTATGCACTTTATCAAGCATATTTTCTAATATTTGAATTCTAATTGAACTTATATTGATGTTATTTTTGTCAGCTATTTCATTTGCCGCACGATTTATATCATGGCGAGCGATTTTTTCTATGAATTTAGGATGTAGGTATAAAGCTTGTATAAGTTGGCCGGGCTCTGTTGAAAGCCGAATTAGCTCTTCACATGCCCAGTCTATTTTATGTAGCGCATGACGAGTTGAAAGAGTGGTATGCAATTTTTCCATTTGTCTAACGGCACGATTGTCTGGTTGGACAGTTGCCCACCTCTGCGAAAATTGATAGCAAAGTTGGGCTGCAGCAACTTGGTCTGCCCCTCTGGCACATCCTTGTAGGACATAAAATAAACAGGCACTCGCCCATTCCATGTTTGCAATGTAACTTACACAACGATGAGCAGTTCGAAGTAAGGGTTCCTCACGCGATATCAAACGCCACGGTTCATTCTCTTTTGAAACAACGTCGTTATCAGGTTTTTTGCGTGCAGTCATTGTTTGCTTTACTGCGTTACTGCATATCATATCTTTAGCTGTTTGAATATCGCCATCTAGTGATAGTAATGCAACAACAGGCAACCAGTGCTCATAGGTCTCAAGCGTTATTTCAGACTTTAAATTTGACCACATGTCATCGCGCATAAAGAGATGAAACGGCAATCGGTAATGCCCGATTTCTGGAAACATTCCTTTACCTGAAAATAGCTCAAATTCGTATTGTTTAGGATTACTTTTTCGTTGATATCCTTTTAAAAAGTTTAATAAATAATACTCTTTTAAATATTTAGACTCTGTGACTGCAGAAAACATTAACTGGTATATGCAAAAATAAATTTCATAATAATAAGGATTTATAGATACTAGACATCCATGTATTATAACTTCACCGTTTTTCCAAAAATCATTGAGCACATCTATAAGAAACTCTTTATCGTTTATACTCTGCCCAAGAATTAAGCATTTTGGTAATAAATTCGTCACATCGTTTTCAACAATTATTTCACGAAAACCTAAATCGTTTTCAAGCACTTTATACTTTAAATCCCAATTTGTGAGTAAAGATATGAGTAATAATGAGAAACCGTTATTAAGTGAAACATTAAGTGTATTACACAATTCAACAACTCTGTCCAATTTGGTGTACGGATTGTGCCGTAAAAAGTAAAATAGCAGCACTTTGCCATCCCATGTTTCCTCTGTGTTTTCCGCGATAGCTATTTCAGATAGATTTATGTTGAACTTTGTTTTTAGTATGTATTGTGGGGGGTGTGACATAGTGCTTGCAGGTAGAATATTTTCAAGTTCAAAAGTATGACGTATAACGGAGGATGAAAGATAATTCATAACAACAGGCGTTAAAGACTCGGACTGTCCCTTCAATAACTCTAAAATCCACATTTTGTCTTCTACTATGTCGGTGGTTCTTAGCGTCAGTAAAAGAGACGTCACTAAAGTTTGATCAAAGTCTTGCGAAGCGATTACTTTTGCAAGTAATCTTTTAGTAACTTTATCCCTTATTTTCAAAATCTTATCACACAATGCCATTCCTGTACTTAGTGACCAGTCCATAAATTTTGCAAATACTCTGAATGGGATCAAATCGCTTTTTATCAATATGTCGGAAATCTGAGCATCTAAGAAATTCTTTGATGCAACAGACGAATGAAAGTCTATTAAATCATTTAAGCCATTGACTGACGACATAGACAAAAATATATACTGGAATTTCCATGCGACAGAGAGATTTTTCAAGATGACACTAGCATGGAGAAGTCCATTAAGAATAGATAAATATTTGAGCAAGTGGTGGATATCTTCTTCTTCGCAGTTGCTAATAACTTCTGATAATATATTATAAGATTCTAACAAAAGAGTAGGATTTTGTCCATCTTTATATTGGGATAAAATTGTTATATTATTACCATCTTCCATATCTTTATACAAAACTAATGATTCAACTAGCTTTCTTGCACGACGACCACAAGAAGTTTGACATAATTTAGTAATTAATTTTGATTGCTTCAGGAGATCTTGTCTCATAAGCTGTGATACACATCTTCCACGTCCTGAACTTGACAAAATTTCTTCATTTTGTTTAAATTTGGAAAGTTCCCTTGTACAATTCTTATGATTATTAATACTATTTAAGTCGAGTTTTATATTGTAAGAATTTTTTAAATAGTAAAGATTTTCTAATTTATTGATTTGTATATCATCCAATAAAAAGGAACTTTTCATAAAGTCAATATAGTTTCTTTCCAAAAGTGGATTATATGTAACACCTGTGATAATTTGTTCATATTTGTTTTGTAATGTCTTTATTATAATTCTTCGATCTCTTAAAGAAAGATTTCGAAAATATTCTAATGCTGATTTTGTTTCGCAATTTCCTAAGCACTTGTCTATATACAAAGTGTTGGCATAGATAGCAAAATCAGTCAGGATTGTCGTGATTACTTTTAAATCTTCTAAGTCCACAGGAGAGGAATTTACTAATTTATGAATAACTAGTATGTAATCGGTACAAGTTAATGGAAAGTTATATTTTTTTAATATAACCTTAATTTTTGCATAATTTAACTCAATGTATATTTCTTTTGTAAGCTCCAAATCACTTTCTGTTATTGTAAAATCTTTGTGGGTTAAAGCAGCTGAATTGGTTGCAATTGTAAGTACTGTTGGATTCCAAGGGACATCTAAAACCTTAAGAACATTAAGCAGGCATTCTAGTCTGTTGGTAAGAGAGTGAAAAGCATTAAGTAAAATGTTAAGGCGGTGTCCATCGATGTTGCCCCCACAGCTGGCAGCTTCACTTTCTATGTATGAACGTAAAATGTCATCCATATCTAACAAAAAACGTGACGCATATGATATTAAGCTTTCTTGTAAATAGCTTTCTAAATCTTCTGTATAACATCGTCGTAGCATGATAAGAGCAATTTCCGATGGACTTTGTGAGCTGAATTCACTGAGTAACATATTAATTTTATACTTCTCTTTTAATTCTAATATATAATTAATATGATCTTTAATAACACCTAAATTATCAATTGAGATTGGTCTAATGCATATAGTTTTCATAGACGTTTCTAAAACATCTACTATAGAGTCTATAAATTTTAAACCAATTTTAGGCCAGTAAGTAGATTGTTCTAAGTGGAGAACTCTATCAGTAGTCCATTTTACAAATAAATCGATATAGAATGGATTTTGTTCTAAAAGTGGGGGTATAAAGTTACGAAACCATATTACAAGTGCACCCATTTTGATATTGAATGGTATGGCATTTAAAATATCCAGAATATTCTCTGAAGTAATGGTTGAGTTTATTTCTGAATACTTTAACCAACATATGGATGCCAGGTCTGCATCTGACTTAGAAATAAATATATTACAAAGTTCAATAAAGTTCATATCAAATATGTTAATATCATTGTAAAAATTTCCACCTCTAAAGATTATATATTCAGATAAGTCTGTTTTTACCATAACATCATAAATGAGGTTAATTAAGGTCTGATCATTAGTTGCATAAATTCGTTTTTGAAGAGTATATAATATAGCCTTGTATGACAGACTTTGCTTACAGAGTTTTAAAGCTATATTTATGAGGAAGTTAAAATCATCAATGTCATTAAATAGGATCTGCATTTCAGGAATTACCTGATCCGGTAGAGTATTACCTACCATAGTAATTTCAACTAAAGATTCCAGCTTTGATTTAAGTATTTCTTGTGATGAAGGTGTCTTTTTTATATCAATAGCACCATTACTCCCATCATTATGTTCTTCAATTGCAGAAATGGAAGCATAGTGAATACCAATCTGAAAAATTGAAATTTATTATAAATAACATTTTGACTTTTGTTAACATAAGTCAAAATTCAGTGAAACTATGGTAGCTATTTAAAATTTAGTTCAAAGTTGCAAATTTAATAACATTTTATTAGTCACAGTCTCTAAAGTCCTGTGTAAGTTTTTTGCAGTTCTTGGTTTTAATTTTGTTTTTTTTAATACAAAGCTATGTGAACTTACCTCATTTTTATTCCATTCAATGTAATAAAATACGTCATTGTTTGCGCCTATAGGATAATAGTGATAATTAGGACTGTGGATTTTAGATGTCAAATTAAAATTCTCGTTTAAAAACCACATTTTGTCATTATCACCGACTATGCTCATTTCATTCCACTGAACAAAGTATTGCAAATCTCTATTAGTAGGTATTACATTGATTAATCCAGTAGTATTGCATTTCATCATGAGCTTTTGAGAATCTATGTAAAAGCCAATTTCGTCTTCAACATTTTTAACATGATATTGTTTGTTAGCTGGTATCGATATTTTTTCGTAACAAATAATTATTTCCTGATTACCCTTACTAATTTCGTTTTCTAAAGCTTCATCAGATAATAAAGCACGAAGACGTTCTCCACTCTCACTGATTAATATTAAGTTTGAGCCAGAAGTTGTGAATTTTTGTATTCTGTAATTAGCGTAACTATTGCATTTTATTTCTATCATGAGATTATTACAGATGTTTATAACGAAGACCTCATTTGATTTTAAAACAAGCCATAAGTGATATCCCCGCACAATATAATTTACTATATCACTATCAAAAGAGTGAGTATAATTATCGTTTGTTTCTTTTGCTTTGCTAATGTCCACAATAACAACACTTCTTTTGTTTTCAAAGATTATAATTTTAGGAAAGGCTAACTCAGCACTCATAACATGTAACGGTTGTAAACAATCAAATTTTTTTACGCACGATTGTATTATAGTCATGTTGAAAATAATTTTCTTGTCTTTTAGTTATTTAGAATGCTTTAAATAAATTCTCACTCGCAATTCGATCACAAACACAAAGTAGTTGATAACGACTTTTAAATTCGAATGTTTGAACTTTGAATTGTACCTGTTTTAAAACTTTGACAGAAGCATATTAGTCCATGAACCAAAGATGAATAACATGAACTACAAAAGTATATGGAGACTGGAGACGCTATAATTATTATTTAATATATTAATTATTATATAATATATTAATTAATATATAATACATTAATTAATATATAATATATTAATACTAATCTGTAAGTTGATAAATTAAAAAAATGGGTGCGTATAACCTTTATGCGCGGTTGTATATGCCTAATAAATCATTAAATAAGGTTTATTAGGCATATAACAATCATATATTACTAGAATATCATATACGGAAAGAATATAATACTATATATTTGTCAGATAATAACAACGATTATCATATTGCAACAATTAGTCTTATCAGCTTTTATTTAATTTATGCACATCCATCTCACAGTAATAAATGAGGAGGTTTTTTCAAAACTTGACTATTACACTTTTTCTGTTTTTTCACAATCTGAGAAAATAGTTTTGCAGGTATGCAGAACAGACAATATAACCTATGTCTGTGGTATGCAGCTATGTTTTTAACCCAAAATTTTGATGCATTATTATTTATTGTAGACGACAACAATAGTCATAGCTTCGTACAGGATTAAAAACTTTAGCAATAATACGTTTTGAATAAATCAAAAATTTGAAATGGAATAATCTAATATTGACGCGGCTGATTGGAATAATCAAGTTTTGTAACCCTTTCCTTGCAGTCGGGTAAAAAAGTAGGGTTGGATTTTAATTGTTAATGCTGGATAAAAATTGACAGTTACTTAATATTTACCTCAGACCAATAAAAAAGTATAGACGGAGCCGTTGTAAACAAACGCGACGAAATAAGTGATGCAAAGTTTTGGCTTTGTGTGCGTAACTCTGTGTAAGATAGTGTAGATTTGCGCATGTGTGCTAGAGAAAAATGTTGCAAGCGTTGTGCTTACGACTCCCAAGTGCGAGAGATATACTTTGATGAAAAGTTTTATTATAGGCAGTATAGTTTTTTATTTGCCTTGGTTACATGAAATGAAAGGTAAATTAGTTTAATGAGTCATTTATTCTTAAATAAAAATAATTAATAATTTAACAATAGGAACACACAAAACTTGCATATATAATAGTAATAATAGTAAATGTTTTTATTTCAGGCTTATTCGCCAATATAAAATGTCTACAATATTATAATTACAATAAAATTATGATAGAATATATACATAAAAACATCAAAATACTATTATAACTAATATATTAGAATAATTATAACTAATTTGACGCGTTTTTCTTTTTAAGGCCTTTAACCTTCTGATTAAGTGTTTTGATTTTGCGTGCATGAATTTGATAACGTAATTTATACTTTCTAGCTTGTTGTCTGAGTTTATTTCTTTTGGGAGTGTCAAATATTGATTCTAGTTCGAAATCACGGTTTTGACATTTAATAATATACCTATTATACTCGAAAACTAAAATACAATAATAAGATTTTAAAAAAATAAGTTGTAAGGTGTACAAAAATCACAACTTCCCTTACTTTTGGGAAAACATTATGTTCTTAACATTGACACAATGGCGTCAAGAATTCGTGTTCGGAGAATTATGTTAAATATTGCTGCGATTTTGTTTAAATTATACAGAAAATCAGTTACTTGTGAAAAGTTATACCAGAAGACTTTTTTCGAAAACATGAATTGTTTTTGCAACAGTTTATGACACAGGACGGCTTAATTTCGCAATTATTATTTTACCAAAAGCACTTCACGCGCTCTTACTCGCTCGCGGCCGACTACCGAGCGGCTGTCTTCATATCGCTGAATCGTCTTCATATTACTTGCATCACTTTTTGTGCGCAATGCTCTGTCTATACTTTTTTATTGGTCTGAGATATTTACCTATAGATTAGAAGTTATATACTTAAAAGGGTTTATAGTTATATTAAATAGACAAAAAATATTAAGGCATACTTTATAAAACTTTTATTTATTTTTTGTATAAGTATTTGCACATTTAATGTTGCAGAATACTGCACAAGACAATAACTATGAAATTACATTATTGTACTTAAATTGTCTTAATAATAATTACTTAACGTTTATTAATAATTTGCTTACATAATAAAACAGTTAATATAACTGCTTTATTACTATTCGAGGCAAATATTAGATAAAATGTATATATCCACATTATTTATACGTATATCTGTTATAACATTAATGTTTGAAACAAGGTTACAATTATTTACCATATTATTAAAAACAGTATATATGTATAATGGTATATTATATAAAACAACTATTTTAAACAATAATATAAATTACACATAGTTTTTTTTACATGTACTCTTAATCTTATTCTATTAGGTGCTTAAATGCTATTCTAATAAGTCTTATATTAAAACAACAAAATGTAATTTTATGATTATAATATTAATAGTCGTATTTAAGTATATTAAACGATTTATGTTGAATTCATTTAATAGGTATACATACGTCAACAAACATATCAGCCCTAAGGCACTGATGGTAAGGCATCAAATTCTTACTTAATGTACTTACATATTATGTATTGTTTATTTTATTTTAATATATATATATATATATATATATATATATATATATATATATTTATTGGGTGTGGTGCCGAGGTAAGTATATACTCGTATATATAAAGAAAAGTATATATTTCATTGTTAAAAGTAATAAAATATAGAGAGAAAAATATCAACAAAGAAGCACAGCCCAAATTCCTTTTGAAATGTGCTCATTGTATTATCGTTTCGTTTAAATAAAATTACATAATATTGCTCAACCAACACGTATAACCCGTTACTGTCTACTAGTTGCAATAATTCCTTATATTATAAAACACCTAACTGGATAAGTCATTAAAATCATAGAGATCTGAATAATAAACGTATTATTTTCAATAAATGAAAACTTACAGCGCACGAAAGTTTATTAAGTGTAGGTAGATTCTATATGGTTATTATTTTAGCAGTAGTAATCTCCTTATATCTAATAACATACTACATAGATAGATATTTGTATAGCTGACTCAAACTAGCTGCTTCCAACTGACTGACTAATGCCCGATTTCACCAACGTCATCTAAGTTTAAGGGATCTCCTAAGCATGGTTAGGGTCTGTTAGGGGACAGTTTCTGTTTCACCGACCGGGGTCACCTAAATATTAAAAGGCCCCCTAAATTTAGGTGCTCGAAATATGGGCTTAAAGACGATCGTAAAACGAAATTTAATTTAGGGGCTAGTTTAGGGGACTTTTAAGCTAGGGATCCCATACGTAGGTGGTGGCTTATGGGTTGTTGGTGAAATCGGGCATAAGCCCTTTAAACATCTTTAAAGTTTAAACTATAATTTTTAAGAATAATAAATACTACTAACACAATAATACGTATATTTTAGACTAAGAATATAAAAGTCATTAGAGAAAGGCTAGCTTTAAATATTTATCTGTTTTTTCCAATATAATATATTATAGGCGACATGTCACCATGTCCCTTACTAAAATTCATATTAATCTGTCGTTTTTAGCACAAGCTTAGAATGAATTTTATTTACTTGTTTCTTTTACAAATATTGTTTTCTATCTACATTTTTGCTTTAATTACTTTCCCTGCTCTAATGTAATATGTTTAGTTGCCACCGTAGTCGCGTAACTCTCGGTTCCCAAGAGGCAGCGTGGGGCGATAGTTGTGAAGCAGTTCCATGGCCTCTTCTCCACAAGAAGCCTCACCGCATCTTAGTTTTCTCATTAAGGCCAACTGAAATTTATAAAAGTTAAGTTATTATTTTTACGTTTTAATAGGTAACCATTCTATTTATAAACAAACTATAGATAAATAGGCAGCTCATTGTAACACACTTATCTGTACATTGAAAGTTTAATACCAATTAAGAATTGTTAAAATTTGTATGTTGCCTATTATTGGGATTTGTATATCTGGGATCTGGCAGAGTAAGATTCAATAGAGCTCTTTACGTTTTGCTAGTAGGTACTAATCCGTACTTAAAACCTACTACATCGATTCGATTCGTATCGATTAAAAGACTAAAAGGATGCTTAAACTCCCCTATTAATATATGCTTACATATAATAATAGGGTGTGTTATATTAAGTAGTATAACAAAATGTCTAAAACCGCAACTTTTTTTGTGAGGTAATAGTCATTCAATGTCTTCAATACACAACAAACATCGTCAAGTATATTTTTTTTTTACAAATTAACATAATATTCCCTAATTTATAATTAAGTTATAAATATGCTTAGTGATAAAAATAAGTTTCGTTGAATGTTGTATAAAAATCTTACTTGTTCAGCAGAAACTTGTACAGGTTCTTTGAAGAGTATCCACGTAACAGATTCAGTGCAAGGTGGCGTAGTGAGGGAGCCGGGATAAGTCCAGTAGGCGTAGCGTTTCGGCAACAAATTAGCGGGGTTCAGAGGTTCTGAGAATGTCACTTTGTCGCCCTTATGCTGAATGTATGGCAGCAGCCGAACCACCTTATCGAGCTCGTTGTGTTTGGAACCCACCTTCAATAACAAATTAATTCTTAATTAATATATTATACTTATAGAATTTTAATATCTTTTAATTTGGTGTATTAATTAATAAAACAGGTTTGCATATCAGGTCAATTATATTTATATCAGGTCAGTATAATTTCATGTAGTATTACGCAAACTTTAGACTTGACTATGCCTGTTACCCGTTCGTTTTTACCTCAATGTTCACTTTGTAAATACATTATACGAGATTGTGGTCGGTATTTTGTTCCGTGATCGAACTTAAGACGAGGATGTGGGAAATATGAATAAACATTTATTGATCTTTTACAGAGAACGATTTCATCGTCACGAGTGCTGAACTATCCGCTTTAAGTTAACAATGATGCTGTTATCGCAGGCATTAGTATAATGGGTTTGAGTTAAGGTGTTAACAGATTAAAATGTAAGTAAGGACACGTATCACTTTCTCTTTCTAGCTCGCAATTATGCTTATTGAATAAACGCTTCATTCAAATATGCAAGCCATTATATAAACAGAAATAATACTTTAAAAGGATTGCATTGAAAGGTTTCATTGATATACTCATAATGAATTTTATTTGTGCACGTTAGAATATCCAAAGAAATATATTTTATATATAAGGATATATAATTAAAACTCATAAATATCCTCTTGATTCCTTTTAAATACATGTAAAAAGAATGTGACTAAACGCGTAACGATCAAGAGAAAGTAGAACACGCCACTGCACCGGAGAGAGTTGTACAAGAGACAGCTTTATATTACATCCAAATCATATTTATGAGAGCTGTGTATTATCACACATTAATAGACTGTATATGACGGATGTTCCCAATCATAACGCTTAAAGCTATGCAACGAGTTTATTCAATGCACCAGTTCAAACGTTATAACGCGCAAATAACGTTAAAATCTATAAAACGTACGTAGAACTAAATACACTTATTCAAGTAATCTAATTTGCTCTTGCTGCCTACGTAAAAACGTATCTACACATTTGGTCCAGTTGATTGAATGTTATTGTTTTCTCAGTGGTTTATATAATTTATTTGTAGTAAAAGATAATAAGAAAATTAAATTAAAAATTTAAAAAACCTCCAACACGATAAATAATTCATTGAGCCTAAAAACGATATCTCGATGCAGTATGTTAGAGTTCAGTATCTTGCAGATTCAAAGTGATGCTGCAGCATCAGGCCAGGGATACCATATTGTTGCAATGTCATTGAGTAACGGGATACGAAGTTTCGAATGAGTTAGATCTGTGGAAGTTGCCCAGTTTTTGTCTTTTACTACCTAGAAAAGAGCTGATAGCCTGCAAACGGCTGAACGAATTTTCTTGATTTATAGCTAAAACACTCTCGATTAGGTCACCTTTCAAACAAAAAACTAAATTAAATTAGGTTCATGAGTTTAGACGCTAAGATGCCACAGACACATACGTTAAGGCTTCATCACCCTCTTTTGCGTCGGGAGTTACAAAGTTATTGTTGTACACTATGTAAATTATTAAGATTCGGTAAAACACATGTTTACAAATATAGATCACATCATCACAATGTGCCGACAGTATAGTCACAATTTATTACCAGTTGCCACTTACCAATCACCATTGTTGTTGTAATTCAAATGATATAATATAATGTTTAAGAGTATTATTACACATAATGCTATTTATACTTATAGCTTTAAGTATTTTAGCTTGTTATGTATATTTAATAATAAATACTAACAGAAATCTAAGGAAACACTATGTATAAGATACCTATGTGTTGCTTCAGCAACGTCAGCTTTATATAAAACTGGATCTCCAGCTAGATCTTTCTTCTTGGATCCAGTTTTCATGTAGTTATATTACGCAGTTCACGTTTGCATTGAGTAAACCAATTTTAAATATATTTTTTTTAGATTCATCACAAATAAAAAATTAAATACTTTTCGAAAAATGAATTCGCTTACAATAAATTTCTACGTGAATAAAATTATGCGAAATTACTAGTGCAAATAAAGAAGACCAATACAACTAGTAGAGGACATAATGTTGCTATTGTTCTTAAATATTATAACAAAATATATTTGAGTAAAAAAGAGAAAAATAAGTAATTTACGTCTGTAATTATGCATGATTTATTATTAGGTTTTCTAATAATTTACCGTCGATGTAACTACTCACCATTAGTAATACTCCAAGTACGGCCAGCCCGTCTGTCTGTCCTGCGGCTTCATTGAAACTGTTATATTTGGAAGTATTCCAGTGGACGAGATGCAGTTCACCAGAGAAAGAGCGGCCGTCAACCGTGTGCTCCGAGCCTTCGCCATTCACAGCCCCCCAGTGACAGTGCCACTGCTGCAGCTTGTACACATCTGAGCCTAGAGGACCACCTCGGAGTTCTGCAAAAGATTTTTTTTAAATTATTGATAAAATTGTAGAGGTGATCTCTTCAAAGTTACGTACGTGCCTTTGATTATTTTAGTTGGCTAAGAATTGACATTCAAAAAACACAATGCAAAAAAATATAGAGTAGGTAACCTAAAAATAACGAAAAAATGCTCAATTATGTAACAACCATAGATCCAAATAGTGGAGTACTCATGGCCGACACCTAATAAGTGTTAAAAATAGAAAAATAATCAGGTACCAGTTTGATAGTTGAATGAATGTAACTTTATTTCATGTTTAGCATAGATCTCTCAGAGATGATATATTTTTATGCAGTAAAAAGAATTCTATATTTTGACCCCGATAATCAGCTATCATCATGCCAAATTTCATCAAAATCTGTCCAGTGGTTTAATCGTGATGCGTTCCCAAACAGACAGACAGACAAAAATACTAAAAACTAAAGATTCAGCCTATGTATCGATAATAATGATTATTTCAATAAGATTTTCCAAAAAATATTTAATGTACAGATTCGACTCAGAATTTTATTATAATATACCTATATGTATAGATTAAAGTGTGATTCATACTTAAGAAAATCTTAATATTGCAACCCTTATATTTCGATCAATACTTTATCGCATGTTAGATAGATTGACGAAATTATATAAACGAGGGTCGTGAATGAGTCACCGGCAAGGGAAGTCCGCTTGACGCGATGGTTGGAATTGCAAATTGGCATGCACCTATTAGGATAAATTCTCATTTCCATTTACACGGCCTATTTGTTTGATTACATTTTCGTTACTTATCTTCATAAATATGTAATTGCATGCCTAAGTAATCAATATTAGCATAATTTGAATGTCTACATACAAAATTGAGTTTTTTTTTATGTTTATTGAATTCATATCTGTTTTTTGAGTCAATTAAAGGGATAGTTCGTGTAGAATGTAGATACAGTGTTTCTATACAGTTAAATTTCACTTTAAAGTTAGGCTTAATTATAATAGTTAGGATCACAATAATGAAATAAAAAAAAGACAAATTAAAGTAGTACAGATAGCAATATTAACAAAATCCATACCCGAATCATAACCGTTTTCATCAACACGCCAACAGTAGCCGGGATTGACAACTGAACGGGGGTGGTTGACGGAGTAGCGCCACTTCAAGGGAGGCGCACTGCCGCCGCTACTGGCCCGGGTTGTGTCGATGTCCACGGGACTTTGACGAGCACCTCTGGCTTCAGGGAATTTTTCCACCCATGTTGCTGGACCTGAAAGGTATTATATATTAAGTAATTAAACGATGTTTGTATTGATATTTACGCACCATAAATGATTAGAAAAGGTGTTAGTAAAATTGAAATAAAATTGAAGAGTATAAATTACTAAACAATTATAATTAATAAAAGTTATTGACTTTTCACTCTTATGGACTGAATTTTTGTGGACCTCTCTTCATTATTCTTTATATCTATTAATTAAAAAAAGAATTATAAAATTGCCAAAATTTTGTGCAATTAGTATATTATAGGTAGCTAAATGATAAAAAATAGCTGAACTGAAAGGTAGAATATTTTTTGAAGTCGGCCAAAAACGTAGTTTTGTTTAACAACTGTACTTATGTATACCTACATACATGTTTTAAAAGATAGAGATATCTATAGATATTATAATGAAATAGTAACAAAGCGAAATCTCTACTTAATATTAATATTTTTTTAAACAATGACTGTAACGTATTGTCTATACACTACAGAAAGAGACCGCAATACAATAGCTATTAAAAATCTTGATTGTTTTTCTATAAGTCTGTATGTTTGTTTGTCTGTTAACCTGTGTGCTTTTCTTGCAACAGAACCGAACCGATTTTAAGTAAATTTTGTGAAGTGATAGGTAAGTAGTAATAGATATCTTATTACTCGGATCAATATTTGTGATACTTTTTACTATAGGAAAATCTTTAATTCCTACGGGATAACACAATCATCATCAAGTCATCTTTAGAAATTTACATGGCTAATGCTGGCTAAACTTAAGTGATACATTAAAACTAAATGTACTAGAAAATGGTAGGTCTTAAAATGACCTACAGAAACGTCCGCAATAGAATTATATGTCTCTCTCCTAAAGTACACTCGAAATAACTATTTATATCTATTTAAAACGTACCTAGGGACGCACCCGAGCAAAGCGAGGGTAAGTTACTAGTATTATAATAAAATTTAATACTAACATGTAGCCTGTAGGTACATTAAAATATTACTCAGACAATTTTATTCCAATCTAACGTTTCGACTAACCCTCGCATCGCTCGGGTATGTCCTAGATAATTCTTTACATTGACCTAACTTTTTTATTTATGTACTGATTGAAATAAAACGAATACTAAATGTTAACGGAAGCTCCCCAAAATACATTAGTCAAAACCGCACCCGAATTGGTTAAGCCGTTTCTGAGATTAGCGCGCACAAACGCACAGACAAACAGACAAATATTCTAAAAATCATTTAATACTTTCTTAGATTTACGCGAATATTTGATATTTTAAATAAAACTATCTTTTAGGATTACTTCGCAGATTTATTTTGATTTTTGGTTCCCGACGTTACGAATGCTTTACAGCATCTTGGTCACGGGAGAGACGTCGGGAACCAAAAATCTAAATAAATCCGCGAATTAATCCGAAAAGAAAGTTTTATTAAAAAAAACTAAAAATAATTGTTTTGGGTTCTATTGCGTTAATAAAGACCCCAATAATAGTTTTTCTCAAATATCTTCCATGTACAGACCGCGATCAGCTACACTTTTATTATATGTATAGATTACATAAATATGATAAATATTTATTTATTTATTTATGTACCATAAAATATATGTTATACAAAATAAAATAACAAAATGTTGACAAAGGATAACTTATCTCTTTAAGAGATTTCTTCCAGAATCCCTTCAGAAGTGAGAAAATAAGTTAATATAGTGCGGTGTAGGTACAGTACAGCATCCCCCCCAACGTGCGTTCACCTTGTCGTGGTGGGGGGGCTCAGTAGTGCCCGGCAATCCAACCGGGCGCGAAGCTAAGAAACGCACAGGGAGGTTGCCCACTTCGGTGGGCGGTGGGAGGTGGCCCTCTTCGGAGGGTATGTACCATGCGGGTTGCTCCTGGTACTTCTCTGATAGCAGAGTGGACTGTGGAGCAACCCCATGGTTGTGGTGGTCTGCTTCGGCAGACCTGCCGTCGGGGCGTCGTAGTTGAATGCGCAAGCGATACTGCGACGACCCATTAAGACGGGGGAAGGTTTTGTTGGGTTTTAGTGGGTAGTACTGGCTGTATTACGCCGGTGAGTCCCACACGTCGTGCGTAAATGTATTTCCCAACGTTAAAAAAAAAAAAAAAAAAGGTACAGTACAGCATTAAAAAGTAGTAACAAGATCATCACATAAACATTGAATAAATATTTTTGTTGCTTGACAGGCAAGAGAGACAGGCAAATCCTCACATTTAACATTTGTATCCATAAGAAAAATTTGTAAACATTACATGATAAGCACCGTAGTGTAGTTTACAAATACAAGCTTTTTGCAAACATGTTGCCAAATTAGATGATTGTCATCGCGGAAGATGAAACGGATGAGCAAGTGACGAAGATAACAGTTTGACATACTATTTTATCACACAGGCTTCATTTTACGTAATATTTTATTAAAATTTAATTTAGTTACATGACTTTGAGATGAATTATATTATCAAAAAAGTCAAAATATTATGTACCTAGTACTTAGTAATGATATGATAAATAATTAGGTTAATTCACACAAAGAGCTTGAGATATATGTAAATATTAAAAAAATATGTATAATGTATAATATAGTATACGATATATTATAATATATTATTTTTTGTTATTCGTTAACAAATTAAACTTAACGGCTTTTTTGGGGGTCTGTAACTAAATAGGAAACAAGTGTACGCAATGTTAATCTTATAAAATATTTTTTTAATTAATTATTTATCTAATAGGAAGAACAAATATTTTTTAGGAGTAATTTGTAAATATTACTCAATTGAAATATTCTTTATTTAGTAACCCATTTAGTTGTTTATATAAATTTAGAGACTTTAAAACAAAATTGCTTAAAATATCATTTCACACAAGAGCAGTCATACACGAATACGGGCTCAAATTTCATTACGGTGTAATAATATCCTTACATAGGAGGACGTTTAAAGCTCAAGCGTCTACGTTTCTATATTATACGAGTACCTATTACCTAAACACTATTCTATAGCATACACTTTTTACAGTATACTTTGTTGTTGTATGTATTCTAAAATAGTTCCATTTATAGTTTAATGACTCACTCCTCTGTCTTGTCAATAAGCTTAAAGCATACTAGCGACTTACAGTCGCTTGGCTTGGGCTCGTCCCTAGCTTGATTCCCCATATAAACTTTCATCCCCATTTTCACACCCTTAAGGGATGATTTCCGGGATAAAAACCCTATATCCTTCCCAGGGTCTCAAACTATCTTCTTACCAAATTTCATGTAAATCGGTTCAGTAGATCCAGAGGTTACCACCTACAACGTTACAAACTCACAAACTTTACCTCTTTATAATATTAAGTATAGAGTAGTATAGATTGCATAGTGTAAACAGCAACAAGTGATAGCCCATTGGTAACGCGAAAACGATTACTTAAAAAAACCCGCGAAGTAGGTTTTTACCTAGGTCTTACACCTCTGAGATTAACAGCTATGAATCATTTTCAACATGATTACCATTCGCTAAAACAATAAAGGAAAATATCATAACCTGAAAATCTGTAAGAACTTAAGTAGTTGTCGAAAGACGAGTAATGTCTGCCAACTCGCACCGTTGAACTATGGGCGCATATCGCTCTTGCATTGAGAGGACGCCTGTGCTCAGCACAAGGACGTTACAAGAATATATCATATGTTAAGGTATCTATAATAAAAGTTATCCTAAGTTTTATTTATACGTAACTGTTATAACACTATTAATCACTATTTTTGTAATTAAATTGCTTAAATAATATTAACGTTGAATTATTTAACCAAATTTGGTAAAGGTGACATTGTAAACAAAGTCCGGCAGGGTCACTCAACCTTCTCGCATGAAATACACAATTATGTTGAAGCGGAAGCCAATTTCGGCATTTTAATGTGTATATTTACAAGTTTTTCATTAAATGTTAGAAATCAAAGCTATACCAAAATATGAAGAAATAAAACCACACTAGTTTTAAACCATTCGTTATTCTACAAATTCAATGTGTATAATTGCATCAAAAATTTGTCATCAACGAAAATCCGTCGGGTACATTAAATATTTTTATGTGTTTTACATTAATTAATTAGAAATATATCTGTTTAATTTCAGTATGGGAAAATAATACATTATATCTATCTGTCTATCTGAATGAAACAAAAAACACGACCATATGGACATTAATTGAGACCTAAGTATGATGGAATGAGGTTAACGTCAGAAAAAGTAATCCACATGTGGGTGCTTATAGAGCACATAATAATAAACTCGATACATATTTACCAAAATAACACTCTCGTTTGTTAGGTGTGGCGAGCAATCATTCAATTTGCTTTACGTTACCACCGTCTCTACACGTGGTGCACTTGCAGGGCTCTAGATAGACTCCAATACGATAATTATACCTATGAATTGTATTCAATTGATTGGTATGATTTGCGATGTGCACAATATGAGTTCCTACCTATTAAAACTATATCTATACCAAATGTTACTTAAGATTCGGTGTTATGAATACAAAACACGATTCACAGAAATCTATACATATAATAAAATTGTAACTCAGCCGAATCTGTACATTAAATATTTTTTTGAAAATCTTGAAATAAACATTATTATCGATTCAGAGGCCGAATCTATAGTTTTTTAGAATTTTCGTTTGTCTGTCTGTTTGTCTCTGTTACCGCATCACAAAAAAACCACTGGAGGGATTTTGATGAAATTTGGTATGGTTATCCGGGTCAACATATAGGATACTTTTTACCCTGGGCAAATAATCTTATTTCTGAGAAAAAATACGAAAACTGCAATGTAAGAGCACACTAATGTGTAAAACCTGAGAATTTGGTTTTTGGTTATCTGAACGCGGGCGGCGCCGCGGGCTAGTTAATTATTAAATCATATGTGTGTAATATATAAGTACATATGTATCAATGCCAATTTAACATTTCTGTAGGTTGATGATGAGATATTTTTTTGTTT